TAAAGCGACTGTACAGCCACAATTCTACTCTGACAGGTGATGCTCCAACAGGAGCTTTTAAGCTTTTATTCATGTAATTAAAGAGTCAGACTTACTAACTATGTGGGAAAAACATCAGGAAAACCTGGCACAACAAACCAAAACAAAGCAGGCAAGCTACACTGGAATGTAGCTATACTAAGAATGGCAAAAACAACAATCTCATTTTTAGTTGACTTACATAAATACAAACTTATAAATAGGATAAACACTCCTTAATCGCACAACTACAAATTGAGCTGTTGCTAGTCAAATATAAGTACTTAGTTATATATTAACCATTCCAGATGGAGACAAAACCAAAACTCACTTTAGCATCCTTTCCTTTTACTTTGTAAAACTAATAATCATAAACTGTGCTCCTCAGGTTTCTCCTGTGGCTCGAGAGAATCATTCCATCAGATCTTAAAACCACACGATTTTCAAGTATTAATCCAATCACCTCTTAATCCCTAGGACCAGAAATACAGTTTTCCAGCACTTGCTTTGGCAGAGGTGGCTGGCTGGCTGACTTTAGATGATTGAATACAGCCTGGTGTAAAATACCTCGTCAATCAAGCAATCAGAAGGGTTATGTTAGAAAAGACTGCAGCCTAAATTTATCTTCATTGTATCTTTACTCTCTACTTCTTGTTTTCAGTTTTACCACATCCATGCTATAACTATATACCAGTTCCTCCTCACATGCATTGCAATAATCACCTCTACAGACAAAACAGCACTGTCAGTTCAGGTGTCCAGACAGGGCAGTGCAGCCACTTCTGGAATTTTCTCTGTATTACTCAGGGTTTTTCAGCATGAGGTTGCAAAGTCTTTGTCCGAGACCTGCCTTCTGGAACCAGGAGACCCCACAGTCTCCAGGAACAAGTTACCATGTGTTCCCTATTCTGCAGTACAGGTGCTTACCGGTTAACAGAAGGGTTGAAGGGTAGGCAACTCCCAGTTACTTCTCATTTATTTTAAAGAAACAGGATTTTCATAGGCTCTTACTCAACTACACTGTGGTAACTTATCAGGGAACTAACACTTGTAACTACAGAGAAAAACCATGAAGCAAGCGTCTCCTAACCATTACAAAATATGAAAGCAAGTACATAGAAATGTTTTAAAAACTAGCATTTTGCATTTGTTCAAGAAACTTTCTATTTTTAGTCACCTCATTTCTTGGGACCTGACGATTTTGCCATTCCTGAGTTTGGCAATGCAATACTTGCACTGTCTTATACAGGCCAGTGCCACTCAAACTTAGCCAGCAATTATACAGCAAGTTTTCAACGGCTCTGTATGCTGTAGATCATTTCACTGTACCTCCTTCTGCTTACTTACCCACGTTTCACCTGCTGTTCATTTATTAAAGAATTTGGGGGGATATTTTACTCTTCTCTCCAATACTCCTTTATGTGGTCTTTTTCCTCCTCTTTTTTAAATGAGATACTTAGATCTACAATTTTAAGGTGCTTTTGACCTGCCAGTCCTCTTTGAATCTCTGCAGGGAAAAAATAGGGTAATTTCATGGCACTCTACAGAACTCTGGCAAGCCTATACCACTACCTCTGTTCTGCTACAACAAAGGTATAGAGACCCTCTGTCAGTAGATGACTGGCAATGCTGTAATATTACCAAATTTTTGCTTGAAAGAGACTAATATTTTGTCTCAGGCCATGGCCATTATCTTGCTCTATAAAAGAGTGATTCAGAGCGAAAAGCTTTTAAAGTAAAACTTCTCACTTCATATAACAGTGTCTTGGCTCTTAACCCGCATACTCTTCCACCTGTTTTCTCCTTCTACCTCCCATTTCCTTTCTTGCCTTTCCAGAACATTTTTCTGACTTTAGAGCCAATTCTGTCCTAGCACTTTGAATCTATGCAGACAAAATACTACAAGGCAAATGGCCATTAGCAAGTGCACCCCTAGGGACCTGCTTCTGCCACTCTGGCAGGAAGCTCAGAGCCGTAACGCTGCACATACATGAGTGTCTGTACAATCAGGGGGGAAGATTCCAGCAGTGACTGGCCTTGACCCTCTCCCAAGAAAACACCTAATCAGACTCCAGCGTGGTTTTACCTTCAGGCCCTTACTTATTTCTGGGATCAAGCTGAGGTGCAGATGACGGAGAATCCCTTGGTGCCTGGAAGACTGCCCCATCCCACCAGGCGCTGGGTGCACATCCAAAAATCTGCACAAACCCAGCCTTTATCCCAGGGAACAAATCTCCCAGTCTGCTTATTCATAGGGATCCAAGGAGCTGCCTGTGCATTCAATCAGGCGTGAACGCTGTACATTTCAACTCCAACCCCTTCTTGGAACACATAAATAAATCAGTGGCTGCTGCTTTTCCCATCAGAGAAGGCTGCACTATCCATCCCTTCCACAGGTGCACACAGCAAGGTTGACGCTGCTAAGGGATGCTGGGACACAGACTGGAAGTTGCACAGCTACCACCAATCACAAAAGACAAATTTCTACGTGGCTTAAACAGTTATTTGCTTCTTTGTAGGCAGCGATCACTTTTTTTTTTTTTTTCTAAACAAGTCAGAATTTTAAAGGCCTTGAGGCACCTGACTGCCACTGAAATAGGTAACTCTAAGGTTTTACCCTAATGTCCAACCCTAACCACCAAGCAATCCTCAGGCCACTCTTTCCTTGTCAATCTGAGGAAGAAAGTTTGCTGCTGCTGAGGAGGAGTCAGGTGTCCCAGCAGAAGGGGATGGGTTTCATCTGGAAAAGACCAAACGTAGGGAAAAGCCTCCCTTTGCAAATTCAACTTCAGCGCCGCTGTCCCTCTCAACATCACATTCCCAGCTGGGCTTCTCGTGGGCTGACCAAGTGACAGGGCCAAGGCAAATCAAGAGGAATGAAACCTCCAGCAGCGAGACACAGTCCAGTGTCTCGAATTAATGTTGCTCCCCACCCAGCACACCTCACCCCCTGCCTGCTACACCACTGGTTTGTGTGGTTAGCTGGAAAAAAAAAAAAAAAAAAGCAACTATTGCCCAAAGCAAGGAAAAACGGTGACAGGAAAGCTGCATTTACTTCCCCAGCTCCGCACCTGCAGTGTCTGATTGCTCCTGCACGTATCAGAGGTTGGACGGGGCTTGGAGCACCCCGGGGCTGGTGGAAGGTGTCCCTGCCCGTGGCAGGGGGGTCGGAACTAAATGATCGAGGTCCCTTCCAACCCAAACCCTTTCACGAGTTTAAACCTACCGGGTGATCTTTAGAGCGTGAAACGCCGTCCCCACGCTTCCCCCGGTGCCACTCACCGCCTTACTTCCACTCCGCGGACAACGCGAAGCGCCAGCGGTTTCCTGCACCCCGCCCCGCTCCCCCCAGGGAGCCCCCAAACCGCTTCCCCGCCGAGAAGCGAAGGGGAACGTCAGGCAGGCCGGAGCCCCTACCCCGTTGGCGGCGGCGATGCGGACGATGAGGTGGATGGCGTCCCTCATGTAGAACCGGCCGTCCCCCCCCACCACCAGCGCGGCCTCTTGCCGCTCGCCCGGCGGCACGGTGGCCAGGATGCTCTGGATGAAGTTCTCGGTGTAGTGGGCATTGCTCTGGAAGACCTTCACCCGTTTGCGCAGCCCGCTGGTGCCGGGTTTTTGGTCGCCGTAAGGCTTGGTCTTCACCGTCACGATCCCCACCATGGCCGGCCGGCGCTGCCAGTTCCGGGCGGCCGCGGCCCCGGGGCGGGGGGAGCCGCAGCCGGAACGGCCCCGCCACCGCACCCGCCCCTTAAAGGCGCCGGGAGACCGGGGGGGGGAGGGGGGGGGGGGGGGGGGATCCCTCCCGCTCCCTTCCCGCTCCCCGAAGCGTACCGGCGGTAAATTGGAAGAAGCGGGTCGATGAGAACCGGGGAGCCGCCGCGGCGGGAGCCCTCAGAAGGTGCCGAAGCTGAGGCGCCGAGCCCTGTGTGGGGAGAGGAAGGCTGAGGTGCTCCGGCCTGGCGTGGCACCGAGCACCGGCCGGGACCTCCGTCCCCACCGGCCCTTCCAGCTCGTCACCCCGAGCCTCTGCTGACCCCCCGACACAAGTAGGACATCCACCCAATGCCCCCCCGGAAAGGTGGTCAGGGAAGGGCAGTGTTAGCAAAGCCCAGGAAGAGGCTGCATTTTGTTATTCTAGCTCTAGTTCTCAAAGGTAACGTTCCAGAAACTCAGATTAGTGTTACAGACATTTTCTCCCAAATGTCTCCCACTGAAGAGGCTAGTACCTGTGTTTGGCCTTAAAAAGAGAAGCTAAAATGTTTTTCCACCTTGGCGGTACCTGGTCTTGGAGCAAACTGGAAGAGAGTCTGCAGGTACGACTGACATCTGTCTCTATTATCATCTCCTCCAGGGCAGGAAAGGTAGAACCTACCATGGAGAGATAGCTTATGTTTCCACTTAAAAAGTTAGATAATGAAACTATTCCCAGCAGCAAAAAGATCAGAAAAAAGGTTCCATTCTGTATTGCTGTGTGTTGTTTAACCAGACCCTACCTGTAGCAAACCCAAGTCTTTCCACAGGCAATGATTTCTCAGTTAAATACCTTCCTTTTCAACCATTCCTTTCCTAAAATGCAGAAAGAGTACCATGCTGATTCCTGCCACATCTAACAAGACTGATTTTATAAACAAAAGAAATGCAAATAATGGAGTGCTTTGTACTGTCTGCACAGAAAGTGTCTCATTATTTCCCAGCTCCTTCTTAGAGATGGAGCTAGCATCTCCTAATGCATCCACACCTTGCCTGAGGCAGCATTTACAGAGCTCCGTCGTTTGCTAAAAATTACCAAATATTTGCAAGGCCTCTTAATACAACTTCTTCTAGACAATTCTGAAAATCAACATGATATCTCCTGTGCTTGATAAGAAGGGAGAAAAAAAAAAAAAAAAAAAAAAAAAAGAAAACTCAAAGATCACCAGTAAACTTGCCTGAGCACAGATTGCTGAAGCGCATAAATCACAGCCAGGCTCTGGCAGGGCTCTCATTTTGTAACTGACATTTACTTGCCCAGGGTACAATTACAGCAGAGCAACAGCAGTGTACAGGAGTTGCTGGCAGATAAATATAGCTTTTCAAGACTACTTGCTGCCCTTGCAGATGAGGTCACGTACATTTAATGTCTATTTTAAACTCAGACACTTTTTAAGCATCCAGTGGCCAGGGTCATCATTTTTTTCCACATTAACAGACATTTAGAGGAACCAGAAAAACATAATGGGCTGAATATTTGTAGTACCTCAAAGCTGGTTTTCATTGCTATTGCAGCTTAAACTTGGTGGACTTCAGTCACCTTGTTTCAGCTACCCTGGAAATAATTAATTGCTGTTAACAGTCAAGAGCCCAAGACAAACCTTAATTTTCCTCAAACAATGTTATTTCCTTATCGCATATGAAAAGGCAGACTTTATTTTATATAAAAGAGTATAAAAAACAGGCAGTAATTACTCAGAACAAGTGTAAGATGAGTATTATCATCAAATGACAAAAAAAAAGAAAGGGAAAGAACCAAATCCTTTATCATGAATGCCACCTCTTTATACTTCTCACATCATAACTGTGAGAATGTTTAATTTGGAATCCATCAGACCCATTTAACAAAGTAAGTTTTTCCTCAGTGAAGCAGTTCCAGCATGCAATGGAACTACATTACACGTTATAGAAAACAAGAGCATATTTAGGGAAACTAGTCCTTATAAAATGTAATTATATTACAACTGTCAGCTATATTACTGAACAGCACTAATTTTTACTGTGTCTCAATGTTTTCATGCCAGTGTATTTCATTAGACCATGTGTGATGAATACTCTACTCTGTCAAAGCATTTTATATACTTACACTTATTCCATCCCTAAGCTATCTCTATACATGTTTCTTAAAAGCTATTAGGAGAAGTGTGAAACCAGAAATAAGTTAAGTACTTGTGATTCATTTGCTTTAACAAATCAAACTCTGCGAAGTGTAAGTGTATGCCAGCTTTTTAAGAAGGACAAGACTATGTCTAGAAGCTGCCAAAAAAAATTCCTGGTTTAGTCTGAATGCTGCCAAGAAACAGCCCTCTAACTAGAATGTTTAACGTAAGAGGGAATGCACACAATTATAAAGCCATTCTTCGTGCTCATTCAGCGGCATCACATGCTGCGAAACCTGTATACAAGAGAGAAAACAGAGGTGAAATAGTTGTTTATTAGAGAACTGTGTGTATGTTACCTAAAGTGCTATGCAAGCAGAACGAACTGTTTCAGTACTTATACCACTAACGTTAAATGACGAACATGCATCATCTACAATGACCACTGGTATTAAAAAATTTAATTGCATGACAGCAGAATATCCAGAAGGGGCACTGAGCTTACAGTTTATACTGAATGAAGCCAAAATTAAAATTAGTAAAACACTTTACAGGATCAGGATACAGATATCTAAAGTGTCAGCAGCAGTATCAGACTAGGCCCCAACCCTGCCTGTGTCATGGGACTGTACCTGTTTACAATAGGTTTGAATGCATCTACACTGGAAGGCTGTGAGAGATAAAATAGTTCAGATGCCTCTTCTTTTAAAGAAAGAGACCATACTTTTACAATAATATAACCTGGATTTCCTTCATAAATGAATGAAGAAAAATATCATCTGCATTTGTAATGCATTTTCAATCTCATTCTGTCCCTTAGAACCCTCGTTTAGGATTTTCACTAAAGCCTGCCCAGCTATGGAAGAGGGATCAGCAGATTAAACTGCCTTGTGGCTAAACATGATCCATAAGCCAACTTTAAGAAAAAACAGCCATCTGCAAATCACACTGTGCATAAGGAGTGCAAAACATATATTTTTGTTTCTGACTAGCATGTGCTTGGTCTGTTTCTCACAGACACCAATACAACTGATTAAAATTTTCTAAGTAAAAAAAAAGAAAATAGAGCTTAAAAAAATAATATTATAGAATATTAGTAAACGGTACATGTATTGAATGGACAACTGAAACAGGCCTATGTATGAAAAACTGAACAGCTATGGACCTTTAGCACAATCTGCACAGGGAAACATGGATACATCAGGTACATGTTCAGCTTTGAAATATCAGGAACTCTATCTGATCTGTACTGGTGATGAAGGTGCCACTTATCCTGGTAATGAGCATGTCGATAAGGACCTGCAAAAGGAAACTCTAAAAGGTACCACATGATTTTTTTCTTTTTGCTTACATTTTAAGTTGGCTAAACAATAAAAATCTTACCATCATGGATTTTGGTGCCACTTCCACAGCAAAAACAGTAAGTCCCCTGTTACTTAGGCAGTTCTTACTCTGCTCGTTGTTGACATGAATAATTACTTTGTTTTCAGACTGCAAGTGAAAAAACCATGAAGGAATCCATTAGTGTTAATGGTTAAGTGGCTGCTCTTTATGTAACAACTACACATTGGTCTTCCTTCCTCTGACTTTGCTATTTTATGGGATAGAAATGCCTTAAGGATTCTGATGTCTATTCTCTTTGAAGAGTAACAGTTTCAAATGTACCGTAACATCATCAGAGCCCAGATCCATTGTCAAAAGTTATTTAAGACTTGTTGAAATAACTTAAGCACTTACAAAGACTTGGGAATAACCATTTAGTGACAAAACTATTTGCCACAGAATGTTACAGATTCTAACAGTTTACATGGTTTCAAAAGGTGACTGGACAAATTCATACTAAATTTTAAGTGCAAAGAAAATATTTCTGTCTCAGGCAGTCCTTGAACTGAAAACCACTAGAGGCTAGGATAGTGATCTAGAGAAGTGTCACTGGTTGCTTGCCAAATTTTTGTTTGCAACATCCCCCACAGGCCATTTCTGAAGTCTTCATTAATAGACATTTCAAAAAATATTTGATGAAATTAATATAAGTATAATCAGTTAAAGAACAGATGCTCTTGCTAAAGCCATGCAAGAAGGATCCAGTATATAAAACTGAAAGCTTGGGTAACAGAAAATTCTTTAACCACCAGTTTATCCGAGGCATTACTCAGACACAAGACCTAAGGACATGCTACTATACCCTGCTATTCAGCTGTCTCTAGATAAATCTCAATTTGACAGAGACACTGGGAAATGTTTGATTCTTAGACAATGCTATCCAACAGCCTCTGTATTGAGAAATGGAATAGAAACACAGTTACCTTATGCAGTCGGCTTTATGCAGCAAAGAAGCTACTGTTAGCTTGGTAAGGACTGACCTTACAATAAAAAAAAAAAAAGCGTGCAATCTCTGGTGCTCACAGTACAAAGGGTTTGTGAACAGCAGAGTGCAAATACAGTAATTCTTGAAATATGGTATCATTGCAGAAATGTAAACACAGTCTAGTGTTAAGCTGCTTATTACTTTGACCTAGCAGCTCTGACATCACTTTTATGAAGTCCTCATTTCTACATGGCAGTGAGATAAAGGCAAACAAAAGAATTAGATGTACAGGAAGATACTTCTGGTAACAGGAACAAGGTCACAGACATTCACCTAGCACAGAGTGTATATTATAGTAAGTTTGTGCTTTGGATGATAGGAAATGCCTCATTAACTATTTATTTTGGCATATAAATGGGTAGACAATAGACTGGGTACTGCTCACTCCCTGAGAAATTTGAGGCTCTGCATGCAAGGTCTTTTAATCTTCCCAACTGACACCCTGACTAGGGAAGGTTAGAAAACAGAGACCTTTTTCTACCCACTGATTAAATACATATGCAAGACTAAAATGGAATCCCTCAGGAACCAGCATATTTCCTTAATTTAATTACAGAAATAACAAAGAAACAATTATTTCCATTGAAATAATCAGTACAATAACTGCAGATATAATCTGACTGCTTGAACTATGGGAAGCTTAGAAGAAGACAGATGCATAAAACTGCCTTTTTATTATTTCTTTCCAGACATTTACAATACAAAAAAGTCTCCAGTCTACAAATTGTAATGAGATTTTCAGGGAACTACAACTATTTGCTTCAACGCAGAACAGAGGTATTTATGAAACCTGAATTATATAAATGGCAGTGGTCAGTGATTTTAATCAGAGAGCATCCAGTTGTCTCAGTACAGACCTCATCTCCTTCTTTGACATATCCCCAAACATATAAATAACTCAAGTATATCTACCCTAAAGGGCGAAGTGCAGATCTAAACCTGTAGTTCCAAGGAGCCTCAGCATTCAGTCCTAATATTAGTCCACCAACCTACACCCTTCTGCATGTTTGTCCATTTAAAAATATACTCCTTGCTGTGATCTTTCAAGATTTAAAGCATCTTAAGTTTAGCCTCTTACTGCACTGTATTTATTTACTCACAGCTCATGATATAAATGAAACTGAGAATGAACAGCACATTCATTAGGATCTGTGCAAAAAGGTTTAAAATCTCTGCTTCTCACCAACCACTTTTGCTTGGATTTACAATTGTTAACTTGGATTAGTAATAAAGTAGACCTGCTAGCCATATTATCCATAATAAGCTTCTAAAACACAATCAATGCAAATCACTGCTCTTTTACTTTCTTATACACACTGAAAATATTAAATAGTGTAAATGCTGTAGTCTTCGCCCTTCTGTAATTGTATTTCTTGTTCTCAGCGTTTGATACTATGATCGTATTATGTCTCCAATAATTATCAAAATATTGAATTGCTGGAATGTGAACACAAACAAATATTCTGATTCTATATGATACTTAAAACTGCTTGCCTTGTTATAAGCTGTCCCTGCCAAGAAGGCTGATCCAGACTGTTTTTGAGTCATATGTCAGAAACAGCTTTGCATCAGGCACTTTTTTGTTTTTTTTTAAGTGAACTAGATACAGAAACTTGATATCAGAAGTATCAGAAAATGTAATTCTCAAAAATGACGCAAAGAGGGAAGAACAATAATAATAGACATTAACACAAAGTACTGTACAGAAGTCTCATGCCATACCTTATTTTCAATAACAGAAGTGATTCTCCTGCCTGTTTTGTAGGTATAGACGATTATGTTTTCACAGCCATCCATTACTTTGGCCTCTCCTTTATTAACAACAGACTTGCAAACAGCCCTGTTGAGTTGAGAGCTCCCTGCCTCTAGATATATGGCTTTAATTCTGGGTTTGCATTTTTCTGCATAGATGTCAATGACAAAGGGGCATGCCTGCAATGGAGAAAATCAGTTTTATCATCACTTCTTCTGTAGTTTTTCCCCTCAAATTTTAATCCACAGCTCCTGAGTATTTTCATATACGCTCTGAAGTAGAATTACACAAATATAGGTATGTCACTGAATATTAAATATTCAGAACTGAGAGCTGTGGCAATCTTTTAAACCAACAGAAAGCTCAGGACGAATGAACATTTTTCGTGTCAGTCACAGTACACTCAGTATGCCATTTGGTGCATTTGGCTCCAACATAGCAAACCCTTCCTTAGTTAGCAAAACGTACAGGAATTAAGATGAAGTATGAATGTCTTTCAGTGTCTGAAATAAATCTGTCTCCTTTACCTGTCACACTCTCGCTATTTGTGCCACTTCATACAGATTTCAAATATGTGAAATGGTGCGTTGAGCACTCTGCTCTTACAGTATCTTGGCTAAGATTTCTACATGTAACAACCAGGAGTTTGCATTTTCTTAGACTCAACAATAGTGCCACAGTTTCTTTCAGATGGCTACTGGAATCCGCTAGGATTTCTCAAGTTCTGCCTTTAATTTGTTAGAGGCTCAATGCTTCTGAAATACCAATCTCTTAAATTATCTGAAATCGAGGAATTAAAGGATTAAGTTATAGACACAAGTTAAGTAGATGTAAGTTTTTAGATGAATGACTAGAGCATTCAGAGAGCTATGTTGTCATTTGGACAGCAAAGACTATAGCCATAAACCATAAACCACAGCTAGTATAAGGCACAAAATACCTTTTTGAAATTTCTAACTTGAGAAAAACATCCCCAAAATCTTCTTTCTTAGAGAATAGCTCCCTCTTACGTCTGAAATGCAGAAAGACAGTTTTGTAGTTTCTCTGCTAACCCTACTCAGGAAATGAAGTGCTCATCATGAAGAACTCATTCACCATGATCTCAAGATTTTCACTGAGAGACAACTGATGTTTCTCAACCATATTCAGTATTTTGGTTCTGTACATATCTGTTTCACAGACATATTTTTATATGGTGGCTACCCTGACCTGATTTAGTTTAACAAAGCTTAAAGAAATGATATAATCTGACTATGAATTCTAAAAATCAGCTTTTCTTGGGAATGAAACTTAAATGATTATCTGCATATTTAATGTTTTATTTTATTTTTCATATTTTTTTTCTCTTCATTAAAGAGATCCCCTTTCTTCAGTGAGAACTATTAACACCAATACTTATACTGTTACTGTAAAAATTAAAAAAAAATTTTAAATCTGTAAGCACACAGAAACGTCAGAGAAATAATCCCTGGTCCTGTAAAGTAGAGAGTGTGCCACCCAAAGCCCCTTCATTAAAAATTTTTGTTGAACACCTTCAGACACTGTTGTGAAAGGCAACAGTAACAGAAATAGCCATGTCTGAAAATTATCAATTCTGAATCATGTGGGGAAAAAAGTTATCTTAGCCTTATCCACTTCTGTTGTGGTGTGGGTCAGGAAAGTGACTTTAAGCAGAGCAAGTCCTGCATTTTGTAGGTTTGCTGACAGGCTGCAGCTTACCATCACTGTCTTCTTATCACTACCCACCAGCAAGGTGCGCAAATTCTTTCAAAAAGTATAACACAAGATTCCTTCCTCTACAACCCCACAAGATACTGGCTTTCTCTAAAGCAAAAGGCAAATTTCCTCTTCAACAGTGCCAGCGTTATCCTAAGAAGCAGGATACCATAATGACTTAAAGTCACAGTGTAAACCCTGTATTAGCAGTGTTTGGACTGGATCGCTGGCCTACTGAAATCAATTTGTGATAGACAGAAACAGTAATGCAGTTAAACATGTGCAGCAAGTTGTATGTGAAGCAGTTATTTTTGCTATATGGCTATCATACCTCTGTCATTTCTAATGCTTTATTGTAGCCCAGAGACAATAAAGTCACCCAGAGGTCACTAGGATCCCCTTCACGGTCATTGGCTTCCATGAGATTCAAATCCATAAATCCTTGTCTTGTTAGCTCATTCTTCTTCATATCAAAATTCTCTGTTTAAAAAGAAATACAAGGTAGCACTTAAAAATCTGTTCTCTCTGCAAACGCCCTTTATCCTTCCAAAACCAAACTCCCACTTACATTAACGAGGTTTAAAAGATGGAGCCATCTTGCAGCCTCAGACTCTGCAATACTATTTGGGAAAGAATGTCCTTGACCAGATATGTGCTCTTTGCAGAGCTTTCCTGTGGATTTTGGATGATGACTAGAAACAGCTGGCCCCTTGTATAACCCAAAAGAGGGTGAGATTTCAAAAGAGGAAGAGTTCATATTGTTGTTTTTTTTTTTTTCTTTTTGCTAGCAGTATTTGTTGTGGTTGAGATCTGCAGAATGAGGTGTATTAGGAAAGGGAAATGAAAGTCTGCTGGAGCCAGCACCCTTAGTGCTTGAGGTCCTTGATACAGAAATGATTTACTCAGTTCCTAAAAAGCAATAAAATGCCAGTAATCCTAACACGCCTCTCTAGATAGAATATCATAGATTGACCACTCTAATGTCAGCAAACACATAATTGAAATGTCCTTGTGTCAGAGATTTTTAAAAATGGTTTTCTCATCTTCATAACAATGCTAAATCTTTACTATATATTATTAAAAAGGGATTACCAATTTAATAAATCTATCTAAGGGTACAGATGCTATAATAAATGGCTTGAACTTTGCTGTCAAGATTTATGATATTCATCTGAACCCTTCGACTGATTAATGACACCTGGTAAAACATTCACCATATTCTCTTCTTTCCTCTCTTTACACACTTCACACACACATATACACCCTTCCTACTTATGTTGGGAGCAGTGCGCAGGGGCATAGCACTGACGAAGTCATAAAGCGTGGAACAGCATATACAGACATGAAAAGGACAAGAAACACACATATAGAAAAGTATTTTTGCATGATCTCTCATCATTTAGGAAAAATTCCAATATCTTAGAGAGTTTGGGGGAGAAATAATTAGCAGGACTTGTCTGATCTAAAGTATTTTGGCCCAAATTAAATAACGTGTCATAGCCTACAATGGAATTGTATCAAACATGACATGGGCCAATACAGAATGATATGCCATACTGGCATGTCAGACATGAATAGCAGAAAAGCTGTATTTGTTATAGAAGCTTATAATTTTCATACAATGGCTTCTAAATTTTCAGTTTGTCACTACAGCTAAACTATCCATGCTGTGAAACCACCGCTTTCATGCACTGTATTATTGGAGCAGCCTACAGTCACTGGTGATGGAATTCTTCTAGCACTGCTATGAGGTAAATATGTGCATTCTCAAGGTCTTTACAAACTTAAAGCAATGCCACAGAATTACTTTTTTCTTCAAAATTGACATTTGTCGCTCAACACTCCTCCTACAAGCTGCCAAGATGTCCAGTTACACTGGTGAGATGTATCAGCAGACAGAAAACAAAGCACAGCTGAGAGAGTCATAACTGTCTGCCAGCTTCCTTATCTCATTCATGGAAGTTTCAGAATCTCACAGCTGTCATATAGCACAATACGGACAAACTGACACACCATATATGAACCTTCAAAAGACAGACTTTTAACAAAAAACTGCTTACATCTGAAGATAATATATAGTCGCAATAGGCATTTTCTAATGTCTCATTTTCTGAACAATCGTAGTTCTAGATGCCATTTTTAAAGCCTCATATACACACTCATTAAATGTCCCTCTCAACACTTTATGAGATATGAAAGCACTGTCAGCTTAATCCGCAGAAAGGAGATTGATTAAATGAATATCTGTTACAGTTTAATTCACCATATGATCCATGATTAGAAAACCTGTAGTTTTTGGCAGCTACAAAATCTTTCACCTACAGAACTTTGCAGTTAGCAATGGGAAGAATTTTCTCAGCAGAAGGTCAGTGGCACACAAACCAGAATGAAGCAAAACAAAGGACAGGAGAATGGAAAAAGAAAAAAAAAAAAAACAAAGGGAGAAGAGAACAATATCTACATGTATTCTTGGTATAGGCTACAAAATACTCCGTTCTTCTATCCTATATACATAGTAGGATGCTATAAACAACAGCTTGCAAGTAGATTGATAGCCTAATTAGTTGTATCAAGCACAGCAATGAACTTACCCTTACATACAGTCCATGCTTCTTCATCACATTTCTCACCACTAGTTCTCAGTTCAAAGAAATTGTATTCCTCCAAACTCAGAAGGCCATTTCCATCCAAATCAATTGTTTCAAATATATCCAATAAAGCAGCTCTAAGATGAAAAAGGCAGAACCATTTCCAAATACTTCTGTTTCCTTTACTGTCACATAATATTGTTGATAACTGTTCAGTCTATTTGAGAATATTCTGTACAAACAGTACTTTAGTAACATACAGCTTTCATAAAGCTAGATGCTATTTGGAGCACACACTTTTACAATAGTTACTGTGCCTGTTTGGGAATATGACTCACCGGAACTCTTTGGTCAGAGCCAGTTCTCCATCCTCACCTCTATATACCAGTGTTGCTTCTCCAGTCATCTGTGTTTTTAACTTCTTCAACCTGCAGCCTGTTGTGAATGGGAGCAGCCAATATACTCCTGATCCAAGCTCCCCTTTCCATCCAAACATCTACTCTTAAAGGAAGACAGACAAGTTTGTAAGTTACTTCTCAAATGATAGCTTGCTTTATTACTAGTAATACTCATATAAAAGTGATTCATTACTAAAAACATGTTTACAGTGAGATGCCATTTTAAAGACACAAAACCTAGTGAATCTCATAGTTACAGTAAAAGTTAGAAAACCGTACAAGACCAGAGATGAGGGGAGAATGGTCATTACTAAAAATGTCTAATAACGGTCCTGTCATTTTTCACATTTGTAACACTCTTTAATTTTTAAACTTTAAAACAAAAGCAGCCAGAAGCAGGCTGACAAAACCCATTGAGATTTTAATTTTCTCCCTGATTTATCAGCTTTGTTTAAACTAGCAACAAAAACTTCATATGTAAAAAGCCACAAGTGACTTAGGGTTTAAGCAGGCTGAGTTACCTGCAGCTTGGAAGGGGGAAGTAAGTTGATGCTGCCATTTCTCCTCCCTTATTTCTGCCACAGGATAAGACTATTCTGTGCACTGGGAAATTCAAAATCATATATATGGCAAGGAGAAAGAAAACTAAAGGAAATTTTAACAGATTTTACCTTTGAAATTTTGTTTTTGAAGGTGCAGGAATACAAGTGCGCTTCAACAGAGTATCTATACAGATAACCAACAACTCAGCAAGACCTCCAACACACCACATGGTAATATGGTCCTCCCAAGAATTTCATTAAACTTCCACACACGTGACTTGCAGTTCAACCCATGCAAAGGGCATAACTAAGACAGTATTACATCTTACCTTACATAAATTTTGCCAATTTTGAAAGGGATCACACACAGTACAAGTGCTTCTTTTCTCATCTAGTCTGATTAGGTACAGTTTGAATTCTTTCCAAACACATGGGAACTCACCCATGTAGCATTAACACATACACTAAAGAGATAATAGTTAAAATAAGAAAACAAAGAAAAAAAATCTAACCTCTTTGTTTTGTTGTTCAGTAAAACTCACAAGCTGTAGATTTTCTTGGGTTTCGTTTTCCTTCAGAATATACAAAGCTGTATCCACTGACAACCATTGACAAGTTTTTCCTAAAAAAAAACCAAACAATATTCCCAAAGACATTTAATAATGGCACAAAATTGTTTTTTCTTTGAATCCCAAAGTAGATATTTCCATGGTATTTATTACATTGATTCCTGTTAATATAAGATGGAAAAACAAAAATAATCATTCTGTGCTATCAGGATTTCCTTTCTATTTAGGCCAATAAGATACATTTTTCCAAGTCTTGTGACTGTCTTACAAATAATGATTACTATTAATAATTCTAATACTAAAACCTTTGGTAGTTAAGGAGCTATTTTAATTATTTTCTACCATTAATACAACATAATTATTTACTACTTTTCTTTATACGAAGGCTCCTAGACATTTTCAATTAAGGATGTTAGCAAAATTATATCATATTCTCTTCTGATGCTCTGTAAAATATGACCGGAAAGCTAGATTACGTGCAAAAGCTAGGGACAGCAGAAGAAGTAAATCTCAGAAGTATACGTTTCAAACATTTTTAAGATTTAAATAGCAAGATGCCCCTACATGGCATCATGTATGATAATGTTTGTCTTGGGTTGGATTGGAATGGAGTCTTAGTCTTACATACATTGAATAGACGCTGTTTGAATCTCTCAGGTTTCTTAAAGCTGCTCAGTTCCTAAAGACAATTAATCAATGAGCTATTAAGTGGTCTTCAAGTTAATCAGACCAAAACAAACCAATGAATGCAAGGGGCTAGTTTTTCTACAGTAAGGAGTCAAGAATACTAAAGAATGGCCACATGGCACACAACTTTGTTGAAAGTTTGAAAATATTTTTGATTTCTCGTAAAAAGGTAATTGCTCTGCTAACATGAATCCTTTCCTTACATACCAATATTATGCCTTCCTCTTCACAACAAAACACAAAGATATTCCTATATACAGGACAATAGTGTTGCGCAAAAGTAGAAATATTTTTACAAAAGACAAGTAAGTACTCTTTTGGTTACACAGAGTGTCTGGACAAGCCTGCAGCAGAATTATTCTAAGGCACAGTTTAAGAGGGTGCCACAGGAAAAAGGAAAAGTTATGAGCAGAACACTAAAACACTCTGTTACTCACACAGTTTGTATTGGACCATGTTTCCTCACCATCTGAAATTTGTTTATCAGCTTCCCATTTCAGCCAGGTAGTAATTGGAGAATTATTACTTTCTGTCAGTTATTTGCAGTGAAGTTTTTATTACCAACCTCAATCAGAATCAATTACCAACCTGTAGCACAACAGCCAGTCCAGATGACTCTAAAACATCTCTGGGATCTAATGGCTCCTGTTTCACAGGATTAAAGAGGAAATAATCTACTTGGGGGGAAAAAAGAATTCCAATGTAGCAACTAGATGAAGCTCCTTGGTAAATCACTGAAGAGAACAAAGCCAAAAGCATTTGGAAAAAAGGAGGACAAAGGCTGTCTAATGTCAGGTGGCTCTAACGCTGGGTTTCACTCTTAAGATGAAAAAACAGGCAAACTAAGCTATAAATCCCTCAGACAAGATTCATAATTAAAACATCAAGATACTGTACTGCCATCAAAAGCCATAGCCTATTTTAAGTATTTACAAAAGTATTTGAGGTGGAGAATACAATATTCACTGAATTTTATATTGTTGTTTCCCACAAAGTACATTAACGCTGCTGCAGAGTGCTAACATTTGAATTTCGTAATAAGAAACTTCACAAATCTATGGACAAAAATAATCTAAGCAGTTGGCTGACTAAAGGGAGAAGATAATGGCCTTAGCTGATTTTCACTGCCCAGGCAGTGAGCACAAAATGACTAAGCAGAAAATATAGTGTGAAAAGTTAAGTTATAGATTTAATAGGATTCTGTCAACAGAGAAAAGTATCACTATATCGCAATATTGCAAAATATTGCAAATGAGAAAGGGAGAGATGTATCAGCAGATGAGAAAATATTTTTTATAGAGGAAAATTCTCCAAAGAAATGCAAATACATTTACCTTCTACCTGACGAATGTTTAAAGGCTTGATGGTAATACATACTGTAGACCTTTGAGGTAAGTGCAACTTGTACTTGTGACTAATGATTTCACCATCTTCTTCTAAGTAGAAGCATCCTTTGGATTGTGCACAGTGCCACTCCTGGAAACCAAGCAAATATTGATCTTTGATTAAGATAAAAGCGTCATCTCTGAAATATATTAATTTGATGATTTAATAAAGCCTGCATAAAATACAGCACAAGATACAGAACTGATCTTCCACTCCTTTTTTATTTAATTGATTTTCTCAAATAGTCCTCTTTGTAGTCAATTTTTGCAGAGAAGTTAGTAACATTGTTTCACTTGTGAAAATGCTTCAAAAACGTACAGATTGCCCCAGTGCTGAAATAGTTGAAATGAAATTTGAATTGCCATGAAGAATCAAACTGAACTCGTTAAATTCTCTGAACTGTGTGACTTACCACTGAAAGGCTGGAATTTTCCTATATTTGTTCCATCCGGCCAATCAAGCAAAGAACATAACTGATTAGCTGGACAACGAGGAAATATTTGCTCAGACAAATCACAGACACAAGTACTGGTGAAACTAAGTGGTTGTTCTTAAATTCTGTCAAAGCTGTTGGAAAGACATAAACTGAAAACTGCTGTATTTGTGAATAATACGGTTCCTAGAGAAGCCATGGTTTTGCCGAGATGCTAAAATAGCTACATGCTTCAAATTTTTTATTTTTTTTTGTAAACAGCAAATCCCAATTTTTATTTTCAAATATCATTTGAATGATATTTCTTTAGCAAAATAAAAATAAAAATAAAGTCCTTACAGACATATTGCAAGCCTTGACAAATGGAATACATTCTTGATTTGCCTTCCCTGGTCTGGATTAAGTCCGTGATTTCTAGTCACCTCCCTAGCAATGGAAGATAATGTTTTGGAATGGAGCCTAGCAGAAGGAATCTTTCAATTCAACTCTTTATACCAGTACTTACATGACTCTTCACTTCGTCTAAGGTCCATTTGCAGTAAATCAAGATTTTTCCTTAAAATTTGACACGGCTGACATAACTGGTTGTTAGCTTATTTAGTCTCTAAGCTTAATACCTTACAAAGCTGTTTGAAAAATTAACGACATTTCAAAAAGATCAAAGTCAAAAGGTTTGCTAGTGAAGCAATATGTCTGTTCTTTGAGAAATAAAAGTGCATAATGTAAATTTAAACAGCAGTCCAAATGTGCTGTAACTATTCAAAAAGGTACTGTGACAATTTTCACCTTCAAAACTTACTCCAACAGCCACGTTCTATTCCCCCCTTTCTCCCTATGGCAGTGGTCTTCAAACCATCATCTCCCAGATAGCCCATGGAGAGTAACTTTGTCCTCTTCATTTACCTTCCATTTTCTAGTTGTTATTTCAGATGAAAGACTACCTTTTTTGCAGTTTTGCATTCAGATGGACATTGTTACAACAGGGACATCAAACAATCCAAGTAAGCAGGGAAAACATCTCAAGGAGCAATGTGCAGGTTAAGATGTGAGGAACAGTAAGCAAAAGTTTGACAATGCTGTAGGAATCAAATACTAAACTGTTATTCTCGCAGAGAGCGTAAGGTGGTGCTATATTCTCTAAATTATCCAGGTCAGATTGCAAACAGGTATGTAAGTTTGGGAAGCTAAAAGATTATTTTCTGGTTTGATTTTAGTACGTCACTTCAAAGCATAAAAAAAGTTGTCAAATAATAGCTAACGTAGCAGGAAATGTTTTTATTAGAAATGTTAATCAGAAAGAAACGTTAGGCACTACCAGTGCTGGTCACTGCCCAAATAATGCATTCTGCTGCTATTACAATTTAAGTCATTATTGACTAGTTCACACACTCACGTATAATTCTAAATAAAAAGCAATGTTTGTGAGAGGAATTGTTCCCATGATTAAAGCAAGTAACTTCAGTTCAACGCTTTGTCTTGTACAAACCTCTTCCATACACACAGAAAAAGTCTCGCTAGTTCAATCACATGAGGCTACTTCACAGGTATGAGTGGGAGCATATAACTTTCTTTCAGGAAACAGACTTTTTCTCAGGTATTTTCTTTGCTACCCACTGTGTGTACAGGTCTTTCACTGACTTCAGTAGAGCAGAATGCAAATGTAAGACTCCTTAGCAGGGATAATTTAGCTACCCAATGCAGAAAGGAGATTTTAGAACATGAAACACTGCTTGCTGGTTTTTGTTAACGTCTTTCAATCTTGACTAAAACCAACACAAAGAATTCTTTGCAGAAATTTCAGATCTCCATTACCCATCCTCTAATGAACTGTGATTCATCTACAGTTGAAGCCCAACAGGTCAGCATGTTGCTTATGCACATCTGTAGCACTTCTGTAACCATCTATTTTTTCCTCCCCAAATTTATTTAAATGTCATTGAACATGTCACAAAACTCTACTGGCAAAAAGAAAACATGTGGAAGAATGTCCTATAAACACATTCCATGTTTTCTAAGGGTTTTTTAATTTAGACATTCACCATGTTTTGACTTCCACTGTTTTCTTCTGGCAGAAATGTAAAGTTGGCATTGGTCCAACCTCATGATGGCAATATTTTCTTACTGTCCCAAAAAGACAGGTGAGCTGCAGAAAAAAAAAATTTCTAAATATAAATTAGAAGAATTTTTGGGTGCTAGATTCTGATCCACACCACAAATGAATCACTGTGTATTTATTCATTGATTTTGACAGAGTTTGCATTGTGCCCTTAATAGAGTTAAAAAAAAATTAGTAGTTCTACTTACACCTTTTCATGTTTATTGATTGATTTCAGATTTTGTACGCTACTAATCAAGAGTAATTGATATCTGCAGCTGTTTTTTTTTTTCAGCCAGTTCTTACTAGCTTGTACAAAGAAAGAGGAATCCAATATTGGGAAACTGTGCAATGGTTTTATATACTACATATCATGTTTGAACAAGGTGAAATTGCAGGTTAAATTGCATGGAGGTCCACATACCTAAACAGACTGCAAAAAATTCCTTTGAGATTATGTTTTTAAATTTTAATATAGAACAAATGTCACTGTATAGAAATGTCGAAGATATAAAGGACTTCAGAGTTCAATAACAAATACAGAGTTGTTATTTGAAACAAAAATGTAACTCATGAGAACAATCAGTTCCGTTTTCTAGCAGCAGTTATACTATGTGGTCATAACCATTTTTTCCCTTTTATACAGGAGTCTCAAGGTGCACATTTTTAATGTATCCTAGCAGTTTCCAGTTAATGTTTTATATTTCTACAGCTATTATTTTCTGTTGAAAGAAAACTAGTAAAGGTTCAGTCAAGAAAGGGAAAACAAAGGAAAAAGATCAATATTAACACTCTACAAATATTGACTTAGCGAAGTGACTTTGTTGTCTTTCTCCCACAGGAATTTATATTGAATGAGTGATTTATTTAAAAGAAAATACTGATAGAACATATTAGTCTAACTAAAAATCACTATTTTCAGGCTACAGCATATTTTTACAAAGTAATGCCCAACAAACTGAATATGCTCACAGAACTGTTATTTATTTTCAATTACCTTTCATATAAAGGTTTATGATACACAGTCTTTCAGACTACTTAAGCATTTAAAGTTCTCACCAACCTAATAAATTATTAAATTTTAAATTTCTCAAAAAGTCATTAAACATTTTATCCAACAGTGGTTTCATTTATAAAAAACACACTTTGTTCTATTAAACCTTCACACCTGAAAAATTATTTTCAATAACTAGATGTCAGCAAAACCAACAGTATATAAAAATGTTAACAATAATATGTAGCAAGAAACCTCTCAGTAGTTTATAGCTGCCCTTGACAAACTATTAATAAAACATAAGCTAAAAATCAGAGAAAAACGGTTTCCGATTTAAAATGCAATAACATATGTGCCTAGAGGAAAACAGCATAATTTCAATAGGACTAGCTTACATACCTTCATTGTGTCTGGCTCAATTAGCTTTGTGTTTCTGTTGCTGCTGGCACCCATGCTAAGAGTGGTAGAAATGGATGCTTTGCAATTTTGAGCTGATGAGGGTCTTGAAGGAGTTCTGCTATCTCCTATAAACATAGATATTCAGTTACAATTACATTATTTCAACCCACTCCTCGTGGAATTTACCATAAAGCCTTACATTTATAGGCACATAGAGAAAAACTGGATGACAAGAACTTCAATCAGATGAGCTGACTTCCCTTATAATTATGTAATATTTAATAATTCATTAGCCAAACATCTTTACCTCTCTGACTGTACATCCCAGGTGAATGGGCATACCATGGCAGAACCTTGGAGCCAAATCTGCCTGAAGGGCAAGAAGTTGTTACCACATGAATCCATTTACACTGGAATCAAGGTAAGTCTGTCCTAAGTGGATAGGTTTAACCTGCTCCTAATTTAAAGTTATTTCTTGCCAGGACAATGTAGCTTCCCTGCCAGATGGCACATCTGCCCCATGCAATTACTTCCAACCTTTTACTTTCTGGTTCCTTATGTTAGGGCAACTCTGCTAAGACAACTGTTGATTTAGCTACATAAACTCAGTCTTCATCACTCTTTCGTCATCTTTGCACCTCTTCAGTGTTGCCTAGAATTGAAGCAACTTAAACAGTGCACACTACGTGAGAATATTTCATACATGGTCCCTTTGCTGTCTGTTATCCTGTGGTCTTTTTCCAGTTTGGGAAGGTTTTTAAGTATCTTTGTAACTTCAGGAAGAACATTAAACTCTCAAATTGATTGTGCTTGAAAAGCAGCCTCGATAATTGAAACAAACAGACTGCTTATTGATAAATGTTTAAGGTTTCATCGCTGATCTGGGAAGGAAATAAATAACTTGCTGTGTTGCAACATCTGAGCATTCATTTTCTCTCTTCCCTCTGGTCTGTGTCACATGAGAGTCAATTAAATTCACCCTTAAGAATTGAGAGCTTCAGATCATAGATGCAGCCAAAGTCCATTTGAACATGGAGGTCAGATATTCAACTGAGACATTTATACAGTTGCCACAGTAGAAATTTATATTAGTCAATAACATCTTCACTAACCTGAGAAAAATTAAATAAAGACTCAACTCTTCATTGACCCAGAGCATGAACTCCAGCAGAATGAAAACTCCAAATATGAAATATCAATACCTTTTGATGGTGCTAGTTTGTGATCAGTTTTCCCTGAGATTCTTGGTGATGGTTTTGACACTGGCGGTGTGATCCCTTCAGAGGAAGTTTCAGCTTGACTTCCAAACTGCTGTTGCCTCAATCGGCTATCAACTTCCAGTTTCTGCCGTGCAGTCTTGCAGCACTGCTCACTGGTTGTCATGTATAAGTCACAAAACTTTAGATAAAGAAAAGTAATTTAAGTGAAACATTGTTTCTCACAGTTTTAAGGATTAAAACGTAACATTAGTAAGAAAAGGACAGGTCAATAGAAGCAATGCATTTTCTCTCAAAGCGCAATATTAATTTTCATTTTCATTAATCAGAGCAACCACTCAATGACACAGTAAAATGGAGCCACGATTCAACAAGGAGGTCCAATATTGTATGAAAATTAAGTGCAACTTTCAACCCAAGAGGTGATTCATATTTATTTCTAGATACTTGAAGACTTTTTTTTAACATATGATTTTAATAGGGGGGGTTATTTTTTCTCTTATGAAACTATATTGATGTACAAATCTTTCGGACTGTTTGTTCAGCATCTTGAAAATTATATGTTCAACATATACAATAATATCCCTCACACAAGAAATTATGAAATGAAATTATGAAATGTCACAGACGAAGCAACTCCTACTGATTAACTAAGCTTGCTGTCAACTGCCATCTTTATCCTGCCATTCCTTTCACTCTTATCTTCACACATGCTGTTAGGCTTCATCCTAACTATTAGGCTCTGCCTAACACTTTAAGTTCACTTGCAGCAAGTGACCTTGTCAAGGACAATAGCCAGGGCCCTATGTTGTAGGATAAAGTGTGGGAAACAAAAATATATACCAGCCCATGTTCCAGTACGCAGGCAGCTGGGGTGGGGCCTGCAGTAAGGTCATGAATAGACCAACACATGGAGGCAGCATGTATTGTGTTTGATAATGCTAATACTGTCAATAATATCAAGCCAATAACACAAGAACAAATAATAGCACAGTTTGCCATACCTTGTTGTAGTCAAGTTTGCCATGGCAGTTAAAATCAGCTTGTTTAATAATGGTACTCACTTCATCTTGAGTCATTCTTTCACCTCTCTGCAATAAAAAACAACCTCAATTTGGGTTCCTAATCAAGAATGCTGTTCACCTCCAGCACACATTTAATAAAAACACAAAGAAAGACTCTTTTAATGTCCTTCCAGGGAATCTTATCTTGCAATATATTTAAATGGATTCTGATCTGAATCATGTACCTACAACGCTGCTCAATACTGAACAGATGAATTGCACTAGTTCATGCAATTTTGTGGTGTCTTCTGGAAATTTACCATGAATGACACATCCATTTCAGAAAATCTTCCATAATCTGGGGAATCCCAGCTGTCAGTCATTCTTAATTACATTGTAGCATGGTAACAACCAAGAGCTAACTTCATGATGGTTAGTTTCATTTATTTTCTTTATATATCCTATTATACCTGTCTACATTTGCAATTCAGTTTACTAGAAGGGTTATTCCAGTCTTGAATTTGCCTTGCACCTATCTCTACTTGGAATCATTAGTGTGAAGCCAAAGCAATTCCTCACCTTTTGGAAGCAAGTCTGGATTGCATGTCAGAACACCATCCTGAGTGCCCCACTTGCAGTGTGGACACAAGGTACATCTCTCAGGAAGAAAGTATGTCTTCCACAAGGTCCTCCAGCATTTCCTTATATATATATATATATATATATATATATATAAATAAACACAGCAATATATGATTGCTGTACAGAAATCTATTTCATATCACTTTTCATCTATAGATGCAAGGTACAATGTTGGGACTGAAAACTCATGCAAACTTCATTGTTGGTAAACATGTGATGTGGACATATGGTTTCAGAGCTACACTGGATTGCCACAGATCAAATCCTGATCCTTTCCTCTTTGAACGGCACCTGCAGCCGTTCTACACTGTGGGTCTATATAAAGCAATGCCCTAACTTTATGTAACAATACAGACTTTATAGCTCTTCATGGCATAACTGCAGTAGCACTCGACATCTGTTACTTCTCTTTTTTGTTATACAAAGAGTATTTCCTTACAATTGCAGCTATATCTTTTTGTTCATGCAGAATGAGGATTGAAAGTTCTGCCACAATGTTTGAAGTAAATAATTTTGTTTTATTGATTCAAACACAACATAGTATGTAAATTGTTTGTTCCTTCTGTCCCAGTTTGCTCTCCTCTATGATTGCTTAAAATTGTATTATTCTCACTTTTTAATTGTTTTATTCTCTACTAGAATTCTGCTACTAGTCCATTTTTAATTGTTACTGCTCCCGAGTGTTTGTGCTGTGCAAGATGATCAGCTTTTACAATGAAGGGGGTTTTTTTGGCTGTACAGAGCAAAAAACCTGACGGAACAGAGAAAGAAAATCATTGTAATTATCTGTGACATACATCTATGTAGTTTAGAGACAGAGCACCAGCTCTATACCAACTTGGAAGACTGTTCTGTTTCAGGGGTTTCGTTTGCTTGCTTTTGCAGATCCTCAGAAGACTTGGATGTTAACCTTGTCAATGCTCATCGTTCTAATATACTCTTGGCTAGTGTTTTCTTTAAGGTTCCATCTCCTACAATTTCGTATCATCATAAAAATCTCAGCTGCTATTTAAAAAAAAAAATCTTTTCTATCCTTTCAGATTATACAATGAAACCTAAAATACGGTGGCAGTTCAGCAGCTAAATAAGAAGTACCAGATATTTTTGAATATCATTAAGTCATATTAATGACATGTCAGGTGGGTCTTATGACATTTGCGTGCTTTGGGTTGATAATTCATAATCTCTAACAAAAGTATTGACTTACCCTAGCATGGTTTATTTTAAGACCCCAATGAACTAACTATAAGATCCAGTGAAGTCACTGGTGTGACAGAACATCATAGCTGTGATAAAACTAAAGCACTGACTAATATTTTGTGTAACATCAAAATATTATTTTTTAACTTTGTATCTGAACATATTTAGACAACAACTTGTGAGAGGAGAACAGCAAAGGTATGTTATTAATTATCTTGGTAGAAGTTCATAACCCCAAAGGGCTGCAGAGGGGCTCTGTAGAGGATAGAGGCATTTGCACTACCTGAACCAAGGCAGAGGCATGTGCTTCCCTTTCTGTTGCTCCACTGCCATATAGGCAGGGTTTCAACAAAAGTGAAAGTATGAAAAATATTTTTTTCTGACAGCTTCCACCTTCAAGGCATAATAGCTGAAAAGGAGAGACAGGTTGTCAACTGTAAGGGGGAAAAATGGAAGAAAGATCAGATAACCACAGAAAATCAGACATAAAATTTAAAACAAAAAACCAAAAAAACAAAAAAAACATGAATCAGTTCTTGATTCCTTTGATCAGAAATATGTGTTTACACATTCAGAACAGATTTACCATGTAATTTCCAAAATCTCTACCAATAGTTAAAGATGGATAATTTTCTACTGATACTTACCATTGTAAGAATTTTATAAAGTTCATCGTGTAAAATATATCCAGTGTTATTTGTGTCTATTTTTCTAAATGCTTCGAGCAGTTCAGTTTTTGTAGCTGGTTTTTCTTTTTTTAAAATAGTACAAAAATCATCAAAATTCAGTGTAGTCGTTTGTGAAGTCCAATATTTATTAACTGTCTTCTGAGATGGATTTCTTCCAGCCTGTTGAAGTACTGAACAATAAAACACAACATTAACTATATATTCCAGGTGTCAGTAAAGAAGTTTTCTCAAAACATCCTTTAATCACTTTTCATTTTCAGACTTTTTTTTTTAAACCAAATCAATCCAAGGGAGAAGCAGTTCTGAAGGACAGTTTTGCTTATAGTCTCAGTCCTGTATTCTACTGATACATACTGACTGTGACCTTCCCTGGCCTTGAATTCTGCGGTTTGTACCACACAGTTTCAAGCAGCCTGAGGGGCAGATAAGTTCACTCACATTTTCTTTTGAAAGGAGTCATCAAACAGGCAGTGCTGGGAGTCCTAGATCATCCCTCATGAACTAGGATCCAGCACAGTGATGACATATGCCCCACTGCTGAGAATCACACCCACTTTCTTCTACAGAAAAAGGAAGAAGCCGTCTGTGACACTTCATAACACAACAGTATCATAGGAATTATTTTGCTTAAAGGCTCTGATCTGCAGCTTCCACTTACTCATGTGCACTGTTCTACTAACTCAATGGGACGTCTCCCTTAAAGAAAGTTAACGGGTTCAAACCATTAATTAAGCAAAATATCCGTGAATTCAAAGACAGTCTCGTCAAGTGACAAGTGTAAAATTCAGCCCAGTGTTTATATCCCCTGCCTTAATATCAAGAACCTATTATTTGTAAGCTTGCACATTATTAGATCCCGTTTCTACTGAGATCCATGTCTTTCCACTTACTTTGCCAAAAACTGAGATCTAGTGTAGAATTTATCTTAAACAATATTTTGTTACATCTATACATTTGAACTTATCAATTCAAATTACACAATAAGAATTTCAAATGTAAAGGAAAAACCATACTGACAGACATATATTGTTAAGGCCAACAGCCAATACCATACGTGCAAACAGTCCTGCTGCTCCTACACCTGGCATTCTTCAAAATCAATTTGCTGGATCTAGTTAGCCTCTTAAAAGTCTTTACTGAAAACATCCTTTTACCAGTTTCCAGTGTGAAGAAGGTATTATGTTAAACTGAAATTAAATTCAAATGCACAGTCTATCTGAAACTGGAGGGATGCTTTTCTATCTTCCCATCTAATTAAGTTTTTTAGGGAAACACAAGACATCCTTCATTCTCTACCTAGGCTGGCAGTTTGATTTTTAGCCAGCTGACCAATGATCAAGTCTATACCAGCTGGGAGCAGCTCAGTAGCACCTGTGAAATGAGGTGATGGCATCGTTACAGTTCTCAGTAGGCAACTGTGTCACCATAAAACCAAACCAAATAAACCAGACACCTTTGTTGCTAACCTCCGACTGAATACCAAGGACTAAATGAAGATTTCTGCCCCGTCACCTCTACAAGCGGAGTCAGGAGAATACAGCAAAGCTTACATCTTTATCCACACAACGCTTGGGCACATAGTAATTGTTTAAGGATGTCAAGGTCAGCCAAGGAAGGGCAGTTATTCTGTGTGTTTGTTTACGTGGATAGCCAAGTTCCCTGGAATGTCAATACGGCACAGTATTCACTTACATTTAACAGACTATCCTTTAAATATACAACAATTCTGTATTTTTATATATCCAGGGAGATCAGCACTTGCCATATCCTACATGACTCTCAAGTTTGTATTTTTGAAAGTTCAATTAGACCGCACCTTTTATTTATACTTCTTTACAGACTGATTCTGCTAAATATCTTAAGTAATATTACAACACAGGAAATGAAGCTACTATCTGTGAATAAGTAAAACTCTTACAAATAAAATTTCACAAGGCCAATCTCTCAGTGAATATTTTACAGTTTAGAATATTAGCCAAACATCACGCAACAAGAGATGCTTAAGCACCGCCACTACTCATTTGATAAATGCCAGAATTTACTTAAGTTGCAATACAAGTCTGTAATAATTCTCAAAGCTTGCAAATTTTAAAAGACGTTTTTAAATATCTCTGAAAAGACTGGGAGCCTGGGCAACTAATTGCCCTTTCTGAGTTGACCTTGAAACCAAAATGCCCAAACACTTTCTATGTAGCAAAGTGGCATATGGACAGAGATGAAAGCCAGAGCATACATAAAAGAAATTACATTTATTCACACCACTCCTATTTTCAAATCCAGATTATCCAAAACTATCATTAGGATGTTATAAAGGCACTTTTATTGAAGCTGAGAAAGCTTGGATAACACTAACTCACATGCTGAAACAATGTGCTTGCTAATGGGTAGAATTTCATCTACTGATACAGGGAAAGAAGCTACAATCAGTGCAACAGAGGAGTACCCTCAGCTTTTATAGTGGTGGTTTCCACACAGAGACCTCATGTATTTTAAGCACAGGCAACGCAGCCATTAGTGAGAACTATTTCCTCACATATGCAAAAAAAAAATACAGTCACTAGGATTATAATATAATTAATTATTTGATAGCTTAGCATGTTTTTGTATTTTCACATCACAGAACTGCAGGTAGAAAATAGGACAGAAAGACACGTTCATGAGTTTCCTAACTATCCCAAACTGTTACATACAACCACAAATAACCTTTTTCATGAAAGGACAAAAATGCTCTAAGAATAAAAACTAAAAATGAATCCCAGACATGGTAAGACATAGTACACAGTCCTACAACTCCAAGAGATAGCAAAGTTGGTATTATATTTGCTTGAGAAATTTTATCTGGGATAGTGAAACCTATTTCACAACTGAATCAGGTTATTACTCGGTCTTATCTTACTCCTTCCTTTTCTTATTCAGTTAATAAGATGTATTATAAAGAAATCAATTTCCAATACACAGCCCTAACTATAATTTTTCAGGTAAACTTCTGTAACTTTCCTGGTAATTCCATGCAAGTAACTTTGGAATTCCACAGGTTTTCAAAATGAATGTTGTTAAGTTCCACAGCTTTTGGTATCTAACACCTTCTGAAGCATTCAGAGGTATTTTTTCCTGTTTTACTCCTGACAGCAATGCCACTTATATACAAATATAACATGGATGACAAAATGAAAATTTCTGAATTTAGTCTGTGGGAACATTGTAATTCAGTAACAGTTTAAATAAAATAAGAATTCTTATGGAACAACAGTACTGAAACAGTCCATTTGATTACATAAAGTTGGCAGAGGAAAGGCAGTATTTTCACATATTACTCAAAGTAGTTTAAAATTGAGCTGTAGGACTAAGTTTAGGAGTAAATTACGATATCCATGCCTCCAGTAACAACCTCTCTTATTAGTCTGCAAGCCTCTGTGCCAATTAATGCCAGTTATCATGGCGATTTTCTGTGCCAGGGCAATTGCTATAAAACTATAAACTGAACTGAGACCAACTCACTTAATCATTTGTCAGGGATAGGGAAAAATTTATTGCAGAAATGTCGCAATCAAAAAGCAGTACCTAGGCCCACCTCAAGTAAGAAACAATCCTACCATCAAATTTGTTTATAAACAACTCACTTAGGTCCCCTATAAGCTGTCAGCTAGCATTGACTTTTGCCCATTCATACTGGTGATTTACAGATGAAAAGCTCTGTATACTATTCCCACTTTCACAAGTCATCTAACACCTAGCGTCAAAAATTAAGGATTTGAGGAAAATGAAAAACTTTGAGGAATGGTAGTTTCTATAAACTTTGAAAAAACAGTATGTGACATTTTATAACAGGTAAATAATGGAAATATCTTGGCCACCAACACTTGAAATCTGAACCCTATCTAAAACTACTGTAAATTCCTTAGAACAGTTACTGAGTTTATGTATTGGGATACTCTCACTACTGAATTTCTGACTGTAGTTTGTAAACTACATGCAGTAATCATCAAACACAATAGTTATGGGGAAAAAATATCTAATCATTACCTAAACTGAGTTGTTCTTTTGATTTAATATTTTCTAAACTGCTTTTTAAAACAGTTAAATAAGCTGCTCGGCAGTTCGTGTAAAAGATTGCTTCTTCAGCATGCTGGGACTTCATTGCTTGGGAACTTTCTGAGCATATGACTTCCTGAACGGAGAGGGATGAGTTATTCTCAGGACTGCCAGCCATTCTGTGAAAAATACAATGACAGTTAGAACTTGTTACTGTCTTGCCTGTTTAATAATGCCTTTGCTTTGTTCTCTGAAACACTGACTAGCACAAATTATCCTAACATCTAGGTCATATGTTTTCCACTCTAAATCTGGGATGGGAATACTTATAGGTAAGTATTACAGGTCCTACTATGTAACACATTACAATAGGTAAGCACCATGAGATCCACAAACAAAAATAGCTTGATTTCTATTTGTTATTCACAATTTATTCTTTATTGGAAATAAAACGTTTCATTTTATTGTTTATTATTTTAATTTCAAACATTTGATATCACAGTGATTATATAGTCATGTTATTTGAAAGCATAAAACCAAATTTTCAAGTTAACTGTGACACAAACTATTGCTATCCCTGTTTAGAAATAAACCACTAGGACTTGTCCTTACTACACATTTTCATTAGAATTTCTACTCTTGTCACATTAGGTAAAGTCTCCTAATGACAGAAACAATGGGAGAATTTGCACAGAAGTGCACTTGTCGGCTCTGATGACTTTAATACCACTTTCTGTGCCTAGCATAATTTGTCACAATGCTAAATTAATGAACATACCATACCTACCACTATTTTGCTCCCAGTGCCACTCTCATTGTTGCTGCAGTTCACCAGCAGTATCAAAGGTACAGTGTTTTAAGGAAAAAAAAAATGCCAATTCTAATTTTGCTGGAAAACTGGGTTTTGCTGGAAAACACAGCTTCAGCAGAGACACTGCCTAATGTCATAAACACCATGTAACATTGTGTTAAGTGATATAATAATTATTAAACTGATTACATGTTTTTTTTACTGGTGCCAACCCATACAAGAATGGGTTTTTGTTTTATGTTTTTACAGTTATAACTCGATAAAACATATGGCTAATAGTAAAATTGTTCAATATTTTAACCCTTAATCCTTCAAGTCTGTGAAGTTAAACACACAATGCTACTTTTAAGAATTATCTAAATATAATTAATAAAAATAAATAAGTCTGAAGCTAAGAATATGAATAAAACTTTGAGCAACTTAGGCCTTTTAAGTACAAGAACACTACCCATATAATTGTAAATGATTAGAAAAAAATATTAAATGCATTTTTTTCCAAATTATTAAAACAATTCAACGCAGTAACTAATACTGTTTGCTCACCAATGGCCAGTAAACTTTAACAGCAGCTTTCTGCTTTTACCAAGGGTGATTAAGGTTTTTAGAAGGCCATCACAGAGGGACACTAAATCGTGTTGTACTGTTGGTCTAACGGCCTCTCATATTATTTTACCCAATGTTGACTTCAGAAAATATATTCCAGTATAATAAATTGAATATCTCAAGTTCAGCAACAAGACAACGACATCATAGGGTCCCCTTCAGGACTCATTGGATTTTTACTCAGGAGGCCTAAATCACTCGCACCTTGTTGAGTTATATAGGCCTTTTACACTTGGGAAAGAAAGATAATAATCGCTTATCATGGATGAAGTACCCTATTTATAATACACAGACCGCCTGCCTGACACTTTAATATTACACTGGCATTAGAAGGACCCCATAGGGACACTGTGATACAGTCTGGTTACTGCAAACGGGTGTCACTATAATTAAGCACCAGTGTTACACACACAAAATGGAAGTGGGTTAAAGTCAAGGAGGAAAAGAAGAATAAATGTTAATTTTCCTGTAACTAGTTTATAAAATGTGAACTCTGTTTATACTCCTTAGACTTCCCATTACCAAGATATTTCTTACGTGGGCCACAGTTCTGCCAAGAAGTGCTGCCAATACATTGCTCAGAAATCCAGTGAGCAATAGCTTAGCGACAGCGCTGCCAGCAGCCCCGTGGCTTAGGTTGTTAAATTTTTACTGGACAAATGACACTTTAGACAAAATAGACGGAGGGGAGCAATGCAGCCTCAGCTGAAGTGGGAGGACGGCACAGCTCAACTATTACTTTCAGTTTGTTGCTATGATTCTGACAAATAAAATCCGTCTTCCAATCAGGAATTAAGCCATACCCATCTTGGCAATACCTACCTTTCCCGCCACGGGTCCGAGGCCGAGGTTCACCTTCATCCACCGCAAACACACGCTAGCAGAGAAGCTTCGCACCGCCGCTTCTTACACTGCCGAGCCCAAGCGCCCAGGCCTCGCTCACCTGCATCATTTAGGTCGGGAAAAGACCTTTAAGGCCACCGAGTCCAACCGTAAACTGAAATAAGGAAACTCGGTTACCACGTGAATCGCATTACCTCCCTCTCCGGTGGGCGCAGGGGCCTCCTTGGGCAAAAATCACCATCCACCCGCGAGTAAAAACGTTACAACCCGCTCGCCGGGTAGCAGCTCTCCCGCCGGGGTTACCCTCCGCCCTGCCCGGCGTCCCCAGCAGCCCTGAGGGGCCGGGATGGCCACACCTCACCTCCCGCCCCACCCGACCTCGCACAAACCTCTTCCCGAGTGGGGAGGCCGCCGCCGGACCGGCTCCCACCGAGCACCGGCGGGGGGCAGAGGAACCCGACGAACCACCCCGGGCTCCCCTCAGCCTCGGCCCCGGCCCGCCGCTCTCCGCCCGCCCCCTCAGCGCTGTTTCCAGCCGGCGGCGTTTGGTCGGTGCACGGCGGCGGGAGATCCGCAAAGGCGGCGGGGAACGGCTCGCGGGCGGCGCGATGTTGTAGGTATCGGGGGCAGGGGCGGCGGGGGGACAAGCTCGGTTCTAGGAGCCGCTTTTCCGCCTCGTCCCCGCCGCGGGGCGGCCGCTGAGGGCCCGTGTGGGAGCCGGTGAGGCGCAGCGCTTCTCCCCGGCTTCCTCTGTGGCGACGGACTCCTTCCCTGAGGGAAAATGTGCCCCACGGGTTACCCCGGAGAGGGGAGGAGCGCGGCGCTGCTTGGGGAAGGGCGGGTTTTGTTGTTAGCTCAGTTTTCAGTAGTTGGGGGGGACTGGGAAGCATTTAAGATGGTGGCCCCCTGGGGCAGCGCTTTTATTCGGGTGGGGTTCGGGTGGATGATGCCCGCTGGTGTGGGAAATACTTTCTGTTACGTGTCTGTTCCCGGCTTCCCCAGTACAAAAAAATAGCCAGGGTAGCAATCCAGACCAAGGGTCTTCCCCAGGCGAAGCGGAGTTTGTTTATCTCTGCACACCCCGTGGGTAAAGCCTGCGAGGCTGTGTGGTAGCGGGTGGAAAAGGGACAGGAGCCATGTCGTGAGTGGGTTGTGATGAGTTTGTGCTGCAGGCCGCTGTGGGAAGGTGGTGTAGGCCTGTGGTGATAAGGGCATGACATGTTCCAGTGTTTATTTTCCTCATCTCTTTATATTGTCTCCAATGGGAATAAATCCTGTTTGTGCTTCTCCTTTTCTTTGCAATTTATCAAGCATTAGTCATATAAGTCTGATGCTATTCTTGTGTATTTTTGCTAATTGTGGGCTCCTGAGGAACAATAAAGAAAATGTGTAGAATCTTGCTGACTTCAACAGCAGTAAGGTAAGGCCCTAAGATTTATGCTGCCTATATATAGGCTTGGGATAGTGTCCCAGTTTACAGCTCCTTATGTGATTTCAGAGATAAGTTAGAGCTAACGTTGGGTCCAGCTTCTGCCACTCTTTCTCCTGACCACTGGAAGTTTAATGTCTTTGTTGGTGACATGGACAGGGGTGAATTTTCTGATGACACCAAGCGGTGTGGTGTGGTTGACATGTGAGAGGGCAGGGATGCCATCCAGAGGGACGTTGACAAGCTTGAGACGTGGGCCTGTGTAAAACCTCATAAAGTTCAACAAGGCCAAGTGCAAGGTCCTGCCCGTGGGTCGGGGCAATCCCCTGCACAAATCCAGGCTGGGCAGGGAGGGGCTGGAGAGCAGCCCCAAGGAGAGGGACTTGGGGGTGTTGGTGGGGGGAAAACTGCCCATGAGCCAGCACCATACGCTCGCAGCCCAGAACCCCCCCGTGCCCTGGGCTGCAGCCAGAGCAGGGGGGGCAGCAGGGCCAGGGAGGGGATTCTCCCCCTCTGCTCCGCTCTGGGGAGACCCCCCTGCAGTGCTGGGGCCAGCTCGGGGGCCCCCAACAGCAGAAGGACACGGAGCTGCTCGAGCGGGGCCAGAGGAGGCCACAGAGATGCTGGGGGGGCTGGAGCAGCTCCCCTGGGAGGCCAGGCTGAGAGAGTTGGGGGGGTTCAGCCTGGAGAAGAGAAGGCTCCGGGGAGCCCTTCGAGCGGCTTCCCAGGGTTTAAAGGGGGGACAAGATAGGTGGGGAGGGACTCTGGATCAGGGGTGTGGGGATAGGACGAGAGGTGATGGTTTTAAACTGACAGAGGACAGATTTAGATGAGATGTAAGGCAGAAATTCTTCCCTGTGCAGGCGGTGAGGTGCTGGCCCCGGGTGCCCAGAGCAGCTGTGGGTGCCCCCTCCCTGGAAGGGTTCAAGGCCAGGTTGGACGGGGCTGGGAGCCCCCTGGGCTGGGGGAAGGGGGCCCTGCCCGGGGCAGGGGGGGGCACTGGGGGGGCTTTGAGGTCCATTCCAACCCAAACCCTTCTGTGATTCTATAAGTCAAAATAATCATGCCAGGCAGTAGTAATACAAAGGACACTTATCAGTACACAAGCTTTGATTTGTTGGTATTTAAGTCTATTTTTCACTGGTTACACACTGAGTTTAACTACCATTTAAGCTGTATGTAGAAAATGATCATGTAATCTTTGTGCTTTTCCAATTTATACGACATTTTTTCTGGCAGGTTTTGAAGATGGAGCAATATGTAAATAGCATAGAGGTGTTTTCTTTTTTCCCCACCGAAAGCAGAAACTTGAGAGGAAGCTGGCTGAAACGGCCTCAAAATGCTCTACAACGCTCTCTAGAGTATTTTTAATGAAATAATTTAACCAAACCCCTGATTCTCTATGTTCTTTTTTTGTAGATCAAAGCTCTATTCAAGTGAGTAAAGGTCTCCCAGTATTAGCAAGGGACTGACAATGTGATCCAGAATGACAGATGAACAATATGCTATAGAAGTAATATGTAGTTCTTTAGCCTGTTACATATTATGGGCAAAATGATCATTGCAGGTTGTACAGCTAGCTATAAATGTGCCATCATACTCTGCATAGTTAAGAAAATAAATTAAGCCTTGTCAGGCTACCTACTCAAGGGTAGTAAACTCAGGTAAATAAGTTGTTATGTACTGTCATCACATGTGCCTCATCTTTCTCCTTCTCTTGTTCACACTCTTACATTTGATTCTACACCACAGCCAAAGGAAGGCTTTTCCAGCCGTACAAAAAAGATAAACCAAAGTAAAGCTGGTGCTCTTCCTTCATGGTGTTTCCTAAAATACTTCAGGAATTTTGTTTACACCTAGATGCATAAATTGTTTTTTCTCCATGTTCATCTATTGAAAGATATGAGAGAAGATACTTGGTCCACATTTGGATTAATTTTGTTTCAATGGTCCTAGCCAGCGACGGTCTGTAGGCTAAGAGCACAAATTTTAACTTATTTTGAGATTTACCTTCTCACATTATGGCGTCAGAAAGGCAATCATTAAAAACAAGCCCACAAGCAAACCCGGCTCTGGGTAGGATGGCTTGGGAAAAGCAAGGCAAAGTTGACCTCCAGAAGCCAAAATTGTATCCATGCAGCTCCTTCCAACGTTGAGGTGCTTGACTAGAATGAGGCTGCCTCTTCGCCACCATAGTTCAGAGTGTTTGCAGGGGTTTTGCAGGCCAGCAGAGAGAAGTTTGGGCTGTCTGCAACTCTACTGCAATGCACAGACTTGACAGACTTTAAAGAACGTAGTCTTGACCAGTCCACAGCTTTCTGTCTTAAGAAATTTTCTAAATGTTTATAATTTAGGGGGATTTTCATGTATTTTCTCATTTATCTTCATCCTACAGCAGTGTTGATTTCAGATTCTGCTTTACTTTGGCTTCCAGCTTCTTTTGAAGTCCATCATAAAAACTTCCATCAAAACATGCCTTAGTATAACATGCAAATGCATTGGCCCCTAGAGCATCCTTTCAGAGTAGATGTATTAATAAATATAATGTTTCTCTGCTGCCACTGGGATGGAAGATGTAATGGAGTCTTCATTCCTTAAGCAATATGGCTTTCTATTTAAAAAAGAAATACATTGTAAAGAATTCCATCAAACTGTTACAGCTTTGACTGCCCTTTGGCAAGAAGTTCATGGGCTTTTTTAATTTAAATGTTACCTGTTTACTTGGCTTTGTAAAGATAGAATACTTTCTTCCCTTTTTTTGTAATAGAGATAAGTTGTAAAACAGTATTCATAAAAGACTGGTGCCCGAGTTATATTTCAAAGATGTGTTTTCATTCTATTTTTCTGATACTTTAATTTACAGTTTTGGAATAGTAACATCAATTTTAAAAGAATATGTTTGGAATGAGGTCATCTTAATTCCCTGCAAGTCAAAATGTTCTTTTCCAAGATGAAAACTGTGAACCAAGTTCTTGAGATATGATGTATTTTCTAAATCTTGTTTAATTTGATATAATGTTTCTTGGGGACTGTTCTTATACAGTTTTTAAATTTTTTTCCTCGTTGTTTTATATAATGCTTTAAACTATTGTTAAGATTTAGGAATGTGCTTAAAAAGTTTCAGTTGTCTCTGGGAAAAATAGTCTTAATTTATGTTGACCTTTCTTTCCTTTGAGCATTTAGTCTGCATTCAATAAAATTTTGATGACTGCTCTTTAGAAGACAGCTGTACGATATAAAGTATTATAAATATTCAGCTTTCCTCTTCTAGCGTTGCCATTAACAGCTGGGCATCCAGTTCAGCAGAGCAGATTTTGCAGAGAGAGCTTGGCATGTTCCTGAATCAGTATAGTGAAGAAGACTAGCAAATAGTTTCTAATGGTTTGGGGACCTGTAAAGACATAGAGCATCTGTTCCCCAGTTAAGTCATAGTCTGGTAGCACTGAATCATGTTAAGAGCTAAAATGATGGGAAGAACTACTTTTTTCACCTTGGCTGTACCTGTGTTTTAAATGCCTAATACATTATTTCTACTAATGGCAAAATAATTTCAACCCTTGCTCAGAAGGTATGTAAATGATAATGCTTTTGCATTTTTTCATTGTTTATAGTCTTTGAGAAAGAGACAAATACACAGTGTGATTTCACTTCAGTGTCTTGACTTTTATCTCTGGTATAAAATGGAGAATTGAATTTTCTTATGCAAACACTTTATCCTTCTAAACAAGCAACATTTTGTTACACAGTATTTTAGTCAGTTAAAGTATTTGCTTTGGATGAGATTATTTTTCTTGTGTAGCATAACAAAATGTGAAACACGAGAAAGGAAAATGTCTTTAAAATTACAGATTATAGACCTTACTGCCAGAAATCTTTGTGTCTAGATGACCATAAAACTTGTCCATATTTTTCTCTTGCAGAGCTAAGAGATCATTGAAGTTGGACACTGTTAAAAAAGATAATGTAAGTATTTTTTGTGTATAGAATCACCTGGGCTGTATATTTATGTATGTATATATATGTATGCACACCTATACGTGTATATAAACATGATATTTAATTAGAGTTGCATTTATATTGTTACAGATTGGATGTTGTCTAGAAAAACCTTAACAAGTCAGAAAATTACTGCTGAAAATATTAGTATGAAATTTATTGTATTCCATTTGTCATAGAACTGCCTGCCTTTAAGTAATGTGCATCTGCATGAATCACTTGAAAATAATTGAGAAATATGCATGTTTTTATTGCCATCACTATTTACCCAAGAACTGAATGAGTTAAGATCCTTGGTGAAATCATTTATTAGAAATTAGTTCCATTATCCTGGAAGCAAATCTTCTGCCACGTAATTGTACATGTAACAATATGGAATTGTGATAATGCTGTAATCTGCATATTATAAACTGCAAAATTAAAATGAAAACATTAAAGACATTTTCATGTCAAGGATATAATTACCTCCCTCAGATAATCTGGCATAATGAAACAATAAAGTACTAACACTGCAATAAATTTCACCACAGTTATCACAATAAAAATAAAATTGTACTGTTGCTATTATTTTTTGTAAATGCAGCTATAGTATACTCCCAGTGCCAGCATGTGATGACATATGTCAGTTTATTATCTGCTCCTACCAACAGTGGGTGTTGCTGCAGACATCAATACAGAGGAGCTTGTGAGGATGGCAGTGTTTAAAGGAAGGAAAATGTTGGAAAAGTATAGAGAGAGAAATAGCTGGTCAGCAAATGAGCTCCCAATAAATCTCCATGTCTGTGTCATTTTGAAGAAATTTGTTTATGTGCAGCACATATTTGGAGGTCTCACTGGTATTTAGCAAAAGAGAAGTTTGCAATTGTAAAAATTTTCTAGATACTTTTTTTTTTTTTTTAAATTTAAACAAAGGTGGCAAAATACCGCAGTGGCACTAAAAAAAATCATTAGCAATTTAATTAGCAGCTTAGTGTACCATTACCCAACTTGTTCTGCTCAGAATGCAGCTGTGACTGTAATTTTGCATCTGTTTCTTGGGCTGTAGTAATGTTTTTGTAGATGAGTGGTCCAGCTGAAATTACACGCAGTTCTTGTTGTGCCTTAAAGCTATTCCTTCCCTGCCCCCTTCCCACAAGATAAAAAGAGTTACTTGATGGTTACCTGCATTCAGGTTCTTGTTCAGCAAAAAGCTTAACAAAAGCCCATCTGCATGATAAAAACTTCTACTGGAATCTCAGTAATGTAGGTTTACACTATGATTTTTATTTCATATGATGCCTCTAACAGATAGATGTCAAAGATTTAAAGTGTACCATAATTAAATAACATTACAGAAGGTAGGAAGGAGTGTAAGGTAATAAACACACAGAATTTGTGTGCTGTATCTGTTTTAGCTCTGCTGTATCCGTTGCTGTTCCTATAATTTCTTTCCTGTTACTCAGGAGGCCCTCATTCCACCTGCTGGTCAGACTACCCAAAGCATACCTGAACTAGCCAGATCAGAAATGAGTAATTTTACATTTTGTAATGTTCATTTAAAAATTGCATAACTGGACTAAGACTCTTCTTCCAGGAAGAGAAATTCTTACTGCCAAATAAATACTTTCCGCCTAAGTGATACAGTAACTTTTTCCAGGTAGCTGCTCAAATGAGTCCTATCTCATACCCAGAAATATGGTGGCTGAGGTAACTGCTGTTCAAGCAGGAAAAATATCCTGAAAGTGTAAGCAGATTGGAGATTCTGTCTGTTACAAAAGACATTTGATGACATTTAAATGCCTAAAGTGTCATTGATACTTTACTGTAAGTAATATTTCATTTAAAGATTGAAACGTTTCTTTAACCTTCTTAAATGTGACAAAATATTAGTGACAACAGACTGAAGATTTCCATCAGGTATTGTTTAAATACTGGTAGACTGCAAAAAGCATATAAACGACTGATGCAAAATTATTTAACGTATTCAAGACCAAAACAAGACAAACTAATATCCAGGAGATATAAGAAAGCTTAGTAAGTGGGCAGCAAATTAAATGTTTTAAAATACGGTGTAAGTCGTATTATTGATGACCAATACTAACATTGTTAGGTTCTAAATTAAGGGTAACCACTCAAGGCAGAGGAGGAGATGAAAAACATTGAAACTGTAGCTTTGTGTAAAAGTGCAGTAAGGTATATCAGAAACAATAGCAAGCAGCACTGTAAGTATAATGCCATTGCATAAATCAGTATTTTGTCTTCACCTGAATTAGAATTGAAGGAACTGTCACTCTGTCTTAAAGTATGATTGCAGAACTTATACTTTGAAGCTATATCATTGTGGAAGAAAACGAGTGTGAACATAGGCCATGGTACAAGCGGCACAAGTAATGCCTTCAAATGAAGATTAAAATATCCTGATTTTAATGGGAGTTCGGTAGTGAAGAGTAGGAAAGGAGTTTAAGAATATGCTGTATTCTTTTTAGAGGGGATATTGAACATTCTTTATACTTTCATAAGAGGAATTTAATAATAATGCAGTGTGAAAAACTGAAAGCTAGTGATGGAGACTTATCTTTTATATGACACATTTAATTTCTAGAACTCATCCTGAAATTTTGGTGAGGTCAAGAACAGAGTAGAAGCTGTAATAAAAATATTCATACATATAACAAGAGTATGCATATCCATGTAGGTGTGAAAAATAGCAGTATTGTGTGTGCTTCAGGGCATTTAGATCAACTGTTAACTGGCTGGAATTGAAAAGAAAAATTCCAAGGGTTACATAATTGTCCATTATACTTCTAGGTACAACTTGTATTCCTAGTTTTATATTTATTGTCTCTGTAAATGTATACTGTTTAGAAGCAGTTTCCTTATAACGCCTCAACAATTTAAGATTAATTATATAAACATTAATGTTTTCTATCATTAATTTACTCAGTAATGAAATTCCCAGGTCCTGGATTCCTGCTGGACTCTAAAGACTTTAAGTCACCTTTGTATATGTAGCTTTGTGATCTGATATGACTTACAACCTGATATGACTTGTGTTATTCACATGTTACCTGGTGAACCCGATTATTGGCCTTAAAAATACTGCTTTTGCCACCTGTATACCCCTTTTGACATCCAAAATTGCTGTAGTTAAATTTTCCAGGGGATATTTGTGAGACCTTAAACCGATGAGGTTCAGGCCTTCTCAGAGCTCTCTTTCCATTCTGTACCATGCTCCGGACGCAGACTGCTTTTGCTCTCAACCATGTCCCCAGCAGACTCTTTACCCAGAGCATGCAGGAGGTTCCTGTGCTGAGGAATCCTTACGGGGCTTCAGTGTTTGTATGCCCTTTGTATAATGTGGTTTAAAAAGGAGTAGCGTGAGGGTCTTATTCCAGCAAAACAGGACAACACACTTAAGTATGAAAAGGGAATAAATGAGTTATTAATTTGAAATTGCAGGGGAAACTCCAATTACCAAAGTGCAAATATCAGGTTGTCTGATTTAATTATTTTTTTTTAAATTTATTTTTTCCCTAACTCACCTTAAGTGCTATGTGTTCTTTAATGAATATAAACCCCCAGATCCTCACCTTGTATTTCATTCATGGTACTGAAACAGTGTAATATGCTTACCTATTATACTTTTTCTAACATTAATAAATGGAATAATAAATGGAACTTAAAGAGATTAGAGAATAATCAAGTACAATAAAGCTTCCATTGAGGAAATACAGTATGAAATTGAGTGACGGTTATGAGTGACATGAAGACAAATGATAGATATTCAGTTTTACAGATGGAATGAGGCTCAGGTTGGTAGGAAAGGCTGGTTGTTTGGAAAGTGGATGAGTCATTCCTTTGCTTGTTATAGTTGCAAAAATAGAGATAAATTTATTTGCTCCTCAAACTCAAGCCCCAGGATTGTAACAATGAAAAAACGAAGAAATTTCTTACTCTCTTTTTCTGTGAGATTTGCTTTGATGATGCTATGTTTAGAAGAGGGGAAAGAAAAAAAAATATCACTATACTATAGACAGCCCTTCTTTAAGCCCTTTTGAACGAGACTGGAAAAAGCAGGTTTACCCAAAATGTCCCTTTATTCATTGCATGACAGATGTTAACACAGTGAAATCAGCTGTGCAGTACTTGCATTCTCCTCTTTAGTGGTGGCTAGTCTTATTTGGAAGCAGTAGTTGGCATGCCTGCTGACTTTATCTCCTTGAAACGAAAGGTAGGCAAGAATAGGAAAGCTGTCGTGCTGAAGCTGTGTTTTCCAGCTTGCTCCACAGTGTACCTTCCAGCTATTTTGTTTAATTATTGGATCAGCTGGTTACAGAACAGTACTGGAAGTCTGGTAATATGCATATTGGTTAATACTTCAAATCCAGCTGCCCGGAAAATCTTGTAGCCACTTGATCAGTGGTTTCTAAAGAGTGTAAGATGACATTAAGATACTGCTGGTGCCAGTGGAGTCTCCTTTAAGTGCTACATGTGTTGTTTCTGTGTATGCCTCCTTTTGACAGTCATTGGTGGTGTTATTTAAAGGTGCTGGACTACTTAGTTGGAATCAAGTTGATACTGGAGCTGAAGCCCTTTCTGTGCAAACGAAGTGTGGGTTTGTTTAGTTTTTTTCTTCTGGGATTTCCCTGCACTACTAATATACAGATGCTCAGAGCTGCAATTCAACATCCAATCTAGAGTGAAGTGTGTCCCAGATAATCCCAGTTAATATTTCAGGATTGCAGGCTAGTGTTTCTCAAAACTTCTCTGTCCAATTCCTTTAACATCATTAAATAACTCCTTTTATAACATTAGACATACTGAAATCCTAAGACAGAGACAAAATTTTGGATTTAAGGGACTCACTCGGGGCTTGTTTAATTAACGCTTGTTTAGAAAATCATTAGAAATAACTATATTTTTATAGAATTAAAATTTAAAATAATTGCTTATGAATCATGTGTCTTAAATTCTCAGTACTGTAGGAAAAATAAAACCCGGTTTTGACTGCTTTAAAAAAACCAAACAAACAAGCAAACAAACCACAACAACAACAAAACTCCAGGTGTTCATGCTAGAATACCTGAATCTCTGGAAACCGCATACTTTTTGTTTATTAAAATTAGGAAGCTAGCATTTGAAGGACTTTTTATTGGTTTTGAGTAAAACTAATGTTAATGAGGAGTGGGAGTGATAGAGCAGCTCAGTGGGCACCTGGCAGCCAGGGAAGGTCAACCCACTACAACATATAACATGGGCTTTTCATAAATGGGAATACATAAAGTTAGGAATTAATTAGAACAATCTATTACTGGAGAGTAAATGTTCAGAGCGGCTTTGTCTGATTTGGACGCGATATGTAACTCTACTGATAGGAAGGGCAGAGGCCAGAATGTATTTAGTTTGCAGAAGGGAGGTTTACAACTGTTGCAGGTTTAGATGAACATGGGTACTTCTTTCTCTTTAGTCAATATTCATCTATTCTGTCTTTTGCTACATTTTAGCCATCTGATGAAACATTTTTGAAGACCGAAATGAAAAATCTAAAGTCTTATTCACCAACAACAGGAACATGCCAAATGAGTCCATTTTCATCTCCCACGAGTCATAATGCGCAAAATTTCAGAAATCACCCATCAAATGGTTAGTTGAACATTCTGTCTTTCTTACTGCAACATTCTTCTGGTTATTGTCTTGATTTAGTAACTTCTGTCTCATGTGGTATGTTTGATTTCTTTTTCTTCTTAAAGAATTTTAATCTCTTTTGGAAAAGCTGATGTTGTTTTTTAAAGCTTGAGTCTTTTCAGTATAAATCCTGGGGGTGTCTATGAAACAAGTTTTGCTTTCTGTTGATCAGTATTTTAAAAGTTTGACTTTGGCTCAGCAATAAAAACCCTGCACTGGCATTTTTGTCAATAATTCCATCAATTCCACTCATTTGCTCGCATAAACATGCCCATGTCCTCTGTTTGCTTTCTTTCTAAGTCCCAGCTTTCATTGGAAGACCTGATACGTGCTACTGACAGTGACTCTTTTCTTCTTTGGATTATATGGGGAGATGTTCTGAGGTTGCTGTGTGCTACTTCAAATTATTGCAAGAAGTCCTGGTTTACTCTTGCACAGCAGTGCAATCTATTGTTTATAATACACAGCTGAGCTCTGGACTCTCTCGTGGTCAGGAGAGCTGGAAAGAAAAGATATGTGCAGTTGATGCATATTTAATTTTGTGGCCTTTTGAGAACTATGTTGAGATTTGCAGTGCAAGTCCTGGTTTACTTCCAGGTTTCTGGTAGTAAATGCTTGCACATATGCATGCATACGTACATACAGCACTTCTCAGCTCTGAGTCTTTCTCTATGAATATTGAAAATTATGTAGATTTTATCAAATCAAAGCTAAAAGGAAAGTTCATTTAGTTTAACTCTTCTGCTTTGCGTTCTTTTATGTAATTTTTTACTATTGTTTTTCATAGTAAGGCACTTCAAGTCAATTTTTAATTAATCTAATATAATGCTGAATGCCATTACCTTTCAGAAAATATGCCTATGGCTTTTTATAATTATATTATTTCAAGTTTCCTTTAGGATATATGTAAATTTAGTTACACAGTCACAGTTTTTAATGCAAACTGTGACTGCTCAAGAAGTATATTTTCAGTGTACTGACCTGCTTTTGTGGCTATATAGGTTGTGGTCTTTTTAAGTGTTAGGGAACCACTAGGTCACCTGGTATGACTTTTTTATATTAAAAAAAAATACAAAGAGACTTTCTTATTACTTTTCCCATACAGAGCCCAAGAGCCTTTATTTCCTTGCAGTATAAGTCCTAGAAAGATGATTAAGTCTTGATTTGAAAACTTCAAATAATAATAATAACAATCCATCACTTCCCTTGTCAGCAAGTTCCTTGTTCGATTACCTTCTCTATTAAAAAAAAAAAAAATTCTCCTGACTGATTTTGAATTTGTCTGGCTTTAATTTTTAGCCATCAGTTCTTGTTATGCCTTTTTGTTGGGTTAAAGAGCTTTTTATGCCCCATATATTTGGGAATTTATGTGCAGTAATTGAGGCCTCACTAACATTCATGAATTATGATGAGTAGAAATAATCTGAGCAGGATAAAATAACCACTGTTTGAAATTTATATAGATGTCTGCAGATTTTTGCACTAGCTATTGCACCATATGCTCTCATGATGGATCTGCAAAAGTGGATTTTCCTCCAGGAAAAAAGGGATTTTTTTTTTTTTTTTAAAGGAAAGTGATCAAGAAATTTTGGGATTCTATCAGAGCTGGCTGACCAAAAAATTAAAATTACTGGAAGCCTTTAAGCTGAAAATCCTACAATCTGTGAGCATTACATCCCTTTTCCTTATTAGAAATAGCAGAGTACTTGAGGAAACATGGAAGTATCGGGTGCTTTGGTGGCTCTATAGCTATGCATAGTTACAGGCCTGTGTGCAGAGGTTTTGCTTTGTTTTTTTTTTTTTTCCTAATTAGTAGTCATACTAGGAAACTAAACAGCAGCAGCTATAGCCTAATTCTTTATCATGCTGCCAGTCTTCATTATGACCTGGCTTTGTGTCCTTGTTACCTGTTTCTCACACAGTTTTAACACAGTCAAGTTTTTCATGAGCACTCATTGCCAGTTGGAATATTCACAGCTTTCCGTCCAAGTTCTCTGCTGATTCCAGTTCTCCCCAGAATAGCTGCTCTTCTCCGCCAGTGCTATGCTTTTGAATTGAGCATTTGCCCCTGGAACTAGTACAAAAATGACGGTTTCAACTATTGACATTCCAAGAAACCTTCGGAGGAAGAGTTATACTAATTTTTCCCCATTCTTTCAGTGAGTAATAGCATGTCTCAACTAGTGTGCAAACGTGGTATATTGAAACAACCTGTATTTTCATGGCTTCAAAAAATTTGAGATATATGTAGTTGATGTGTGTTTAATTTTGTGGCCTTTTGAGAACTATACTGAGATTTTCAATGAAAGGCCTGGTTTCTGTACTTCCTGGTTTGGGATGGAGGGGGTAAATCTCTGTCTACCAGATTTTTTCCACAGTGCCTGTCCTGTCTTGTGAACAACTCCTCCGCTTAAAACTAATGGCTGCTTCTTGATTCCTAAACAGATGATTATTTGGCACGGTGGATATCTCCACACTCCCACATACTTCACATCCAGAAATATTTAGTGACATTTAATCAGCCCTTTGAAGTATTGACCCCTGCATTCTTATAATGCTATAAACAGTTTCTCTTTGGGATTATTTTCCCCTTTAATGAGGTTACTTAAAGCACTGTCTTAAGTATTCCCACAGATATCCCTGGTTATGTGTTGAATTTTCTCCTTGGAGTTTAAACCAAGTTAGATAGCAATCTAACCCCACTGTTTTCCAACTGTCCTCATACTGTGAAAAGTAATATTTCCAGTGAGCAGCATTCTGATTTAATTTGTTAGGGAACTTAGGTCTTTGACATGTAAATTTATCTGCTCTATTTTTCTACAGAGAGAAAGGTATTTTCAAAGTATCCCCAGGTCAGATTTCTGTGGCAGTCTCTGCTTTCATCAGTAAGAAGGAAATTTTGTGTTTGCATGTGTTTAACTCCTATACCGGTCTAAGGATTTGATGGTACTTCCTGGATGAAATGAAGAGCATATGTGTCTTTTTTTTCTTTTTTCTTCATGGTAAATATGACTCTCTTCATCCTGTACAAAGAAACCTTTCAATGAGAAGAGTTGCCAATAGGCATTCTCCATCAGGTTAGAGATATGGTTGTTGTTCATGCAATCAATTGGTACGCCTGTACTGGCATCTGTCATGTCATGGAAAGGTCAGCTCATACTGTACTTCAGTTAATTGTTTTGTCATGATGTGGCGTTCTACATTCTCACCCAGCATGGAGCAATAAGTATTCAGATTCAAGCAAAGTGACTGCATGTTATACCTGATAATCACTGAATGATCACTGAACTAAGATTGCCTGTATCCTGAGGGAAGAATCAGATTAGAACAATCTATGGCCCCACTGACTTCAGTCTGAGGCACTGGGATCACTTAGCTGCACTGGGAACAGTAAGCTTTCTGTTAGTGTTGCCCCATCACAAAAGCAGTTCTGAAAAAAATTCTACTTTTTTATGTATAAGTGCAGATTTTAATTTTGTGGCTGTCTGCAGAATATAGAGCTATACCTCAGCCCGGTTTGATATCCACCTTTACTTTAACACTTACCATTGCAAGAAGCTTTTTAAATTGTATATAAGGATAGCAGTCAGATACAACATTTAAAATCCTATGGCTCTTTAGATATGCTATCTTGAATATCCCTACATGTTTATAATTACCTGCTTTAATGACCTCTTTAGTTTTAGACGATCCCTTTTTGGAAACACCACACATGATAATACACAAACGTTTAAATCTACTACAAGTTTTTAAACTTTGTCAGCATTTCTTCATTTACATTACATGCTTTGTCTCTTAAGTGATAGAAAAAAGAGGGCAAAATGTCTTATATTAAAATGCCTGTATATTAGGATGTCAATGGGAAAGGTGAACATGTACTGTATTTCCATACTGATATTAAGTATGGACATAGGGGAACGTTCTTTTAGCCTATAAAAAGACTGATCACATGATCGTAGCTGACATTTAGATGGATAATTATTCAGTAATGTATTACTAGCCATCTTTTTTTTCCTGTGTTCATACAGCCACAAGATGGTGGTATATAAGACTTCCTCTTATATCACAGATTTCAGGTTGTCCTTTTAAACGCACATTTTCTCTTCTCCTTCTGAAAAAACACTATTAGTTTAGGTGTTGTAGTGTTTTAATAGATTATGCATATCACCTGTGAGGTGTTAGAATATAATGTATATTCTATTTTTCTGCGATTAATATGTTAGAAAGATAAAATGAAAATTATTACAAAATTAATGTCATTAGCTATGAAAACTTACTTCGCATTGTACAGAGTACACAAAGTAGCAGCATCTCACTGAGAGAGATGGAAATTACTTGTCTTATGAACATGAGTTGCTTTTGAATAACAATGTGGAGGAGTGCCTTGGAAAAGACTCAATACCTACAGAATGCTAAGATTGTTCAAAAGTAATGTTTATTTTAGGAGAAGACACGAACCAACCCAATTACAAGATAGTGTGTCTTTATGATGTTGTCCTATGTATGTCCTATTGGGCTGCCTGGTAATTCATATATTGCCTAACTACCCAAAATCTCACAACCCATTTATGACATAAATTTCTAAAATAGCAGAATACTAACTCTTCACTAATTTCTCATCATTGTTGGCTAACATTTTTAAGATTTATTTTAAATTGTTTTATTTTTATTCAAATCAATCCAGAGTTCTGCCATTCTATAATACTGGTCTAAAAGCAGTATCTGTTTGGTAGCTGATGACTGATTTAGATTTAAAGTGAAATCTTTTGGGGTCTTAACCTTTAGCTACTGTAGTGGAACAGCTTAAACTTTTATAGCACCTTGTCATGCTGAGGTATTTCTAAATGTTTTACAAAATATTAAAATTAAAAGTTAATTTATCCTTGAGTGCTGATACTTGTATGTAATAATTTAGATCTAGCAAGAAGAAATCAAAGTGTTTAATGCTTAGTGTGGCCTCTCTTTTTTAGTCTGATGTCAGAAAGGAGACATATTACAGTGAAATGTGAAAAGCAGCTTGTTCCAGAGGGTCTGTTTGAGGATCAGTGCATTTGTTAAGGTCGCAGCAAAGACTTGTAGTTTCCTCCAAATCTTTCACTTAAAGGTGAATTTCACCTTACAAGAACAGCTGTTCAATATGAAGCATTTGTAAGAATGTGTATGTATCTGTTGGAGGGATGGTAGATAAGAACTAATTTAAAACACCTCGTGAACTTTTTGGCACCAGAAAAAAAAAATTTGTCTCAGGTTTTGAATAGTCAAGTATAGTTTGAATGGCTACAAGTACAGTGAACTCTAAAGCTGAATTACCGGTATGCAATTCTAAGTCACTAATTGTCAAATACACTATTGATCTCATTGTTTAAGGAGAAAAAAAGAATGAATGCATGATGCCTCTCCCCCTTTGTATGTATGCATACACCTCCACCATTTTGTCTGTAATGAGTATCAGATGCAAAGGAGATCCACTGCACTGTGTCCAAAAAAGGGAGCTTTTACATTGCAGTAGAAAATGAGACTGGAGTATGTGACTGATACTGTTGAGGGGGGAAATTCCTAAGATGGAAGTTACAAAAACTCCACATTATATGATGTCTTTAACTTCAGCCACAATGAAACAGAAATGTTTTGTGCTATTTGGATGTGACCTCTTTATTGCTGGAACCTATACAGATATAACACTTAAAGTATTGAAAGGTGACCATGTAGATTGTGTGGAGCACAATACTGTGAATAGTTATGGCCTCACTAGTTTCAGTAGATTCACCAAAGATTATTGTACTGTGGGATCCTATCAAATGTGACAGTATATACTATTTCTTAAGTATTAGGAGGGATGCATTACTTTTTTCTGCTAGTACATCACCCTGCTGGTACGCTAATTGGAGGGCACGCAGAATTGAGAAGCTAATGTACTGACTTTAAAAACAATAATAATTGATACACGAGGTTAAATTTCAATCTGTTTTTGTTCTAATGTGATTTCTGTCTGAATTGTGTAGGTTGTGATAGGTTGTGTAAATAGATGTAAATTCAGAAAGTCTTTTGTGATCAGAGGTGTATTGTTACACATAACGGTATACATAATGAGGCCTTTGTAAGTGGCTGTTGAACAGTCTCAGGTAGATAGCAGCCAGTGAGCCAAAGATGATATTTTAGTGCAGCACTAACTTTCTTAATCTGATCAGCGTCACTGAAAACGTCCCCCCTGTCCGTCCACCTGCTTTGGGAGAGCAGTCTGTGTTAGATGCTTATATTGGAATCTGGTTATTTAAGAATGCCCAACCTGCAGTGACAGGAAGGCAGGTAGTTCACCAGTTTACCAAAACCACGTGTGAGCCTAGGTTTTATTAACAAATTCATGGGAATGGACTTTTGTGATAATATCCTATTCCTGTCTCCTCACAGAAACATGCAACTGCTCAAAATATCAGTGCGCTGAAATACAGAAATATGACTCACCATGCAGAATAATGGCAGCTGGCATATGATTTATCATGCCCCCTCATATGATGAGCTAGAATATTATATTGTCAATATAGCATGTCAGAGCCTTTGGAAGTTATTTGCAATATCTCTCTGTAGTTGTTTACAAGATGGAGTTGGGGACCAGGCACTTTTTATCCAAGGAAAATGGAGATTTCATTGCTCAGTCGTTACAGTATTTTCATGATAATGCTCTGTTCTAATGTGCTGTCTTTAGGCAGTTAATAGAATAAAAAGCTTCTGAGTAAGACACAGTAACTATGTGTCAGAATTATACTAACTTCCAGTTATTGATATGATAATCCTAAGGTTTCCACAAATATAAATGTAATGTGAATTGATGAGAGGTCAAATTACAAAAGAGTAAATCATTATGAACTTAATGTGTTTCATTACAAGGAAATCTGTCCTGCTTTGCAAGTGAGGTTTGTTGGTTTTTTTCTCTTCCTAAAAGATCATTCAACAGTCGGGGTTCATACTAACACCTTTTTCATGTGCTTCAAATGCTCGATAGCTTGTTTTCATCTTTATTGTTTATTTTCTTTCTTGTGAACCTGCTAGGAGGTGTAATCGAGGAGAGCGATTCAGAAAGCAGATTATCCAGGAGAGGGCAGCCTCAAACAGAGAAGCATGAGTAAGTGTATCAAGTGCCTTGTCGGTGCCGTGCCGTGATTTTTACTTATGAAAGATCAGTATTTCATGCAGAATTAAATTAATAGTGATTACTTTTTAATACTTCAAATTCCACAGGATTGGATATTCAAAGGCACTGAATGGCAGGTTTACAGTTACAGGTACAGATTAATGCAGGGTTTGCAGTACAACTGTCCGTGCAGTTCTGTTTTTCACTGGTAATGTGGGGCATACGACACTGGCAATTACAGGAGTCACACTCATAGCACTACACAATGAGGTATCATAATTAAATTGCTGAAAGGAAGATATGTTTTGGCTTTCCAGACTCTTCTGAAAGTGTACATTCTGTACCTTGTTTTTGGAAGCATAAACTGCCAAAGGTACAGGGCCAGAAATACAGGACACTTTTTGGTTAAAAATGAGCCACTGATGGTCATGGTGAAACTTCATGTTTGCGTTCCAAAATCTTCTAAAATTCTTGTCTTTTCTGCCACGACCTTATTTTAAGCTATAATCTTCCTGACAGTTAATGGACATTGGGCAGTCCACAGTTGGTAAAGCACTAGAATAAATGTTTCAGGTGTAGTACCTGATACACTGCTTTCCTAAACTTGCTAGATGTGAGAAAGGAAAAGTGATAAAATGTGTTAGAAGTAAGTGTGTCATGTTAGTATAGCTTGATCTTTTCTGTTATGAAAAACAGATTTAATTGTTTGTAATGTTGCCAAATCTCAGCTGAAAAGTGAACTGAAATTTTTTGTGCCAACAGTGAGGTGTCAGGCTAAACATCTTATGTATTTCAGCCAAAACAAATACATCCATCCCTAAGAGCTAGACAAAGGAAATATTTGTTTCATGTATGATAGAACTTGGATGAAAAAGTGCAAAGCTGTGAATCTCTGTATGTTGAATTGTGTCAGCGTTGCCTTTCATCTTTATGGGAAGTTACCCAATTCGGAAATCCTGGAAGTTACGAGTTTTTTTAATATGGAAGTTATATGTGCCCAATAAAGCTATTTGGAATTTAAGCTTTAGTCCAGCTAAAAATCTAAAAGTTTCCTTCCTCAATGAGCACATTCATACTTCTTGCTGCTAACGCAATATTATCCGAGATAGTCCCCCATCCATTTCCATCCTTTATACTTAACTGAAATTGCATTCACCAGAGACTCTTCTGATCTCTTATTAGCAAAATTTAAAAAAAAAATTATTTATTCTCGTTCTTCTTCAACACTGTCTACATTTTTGTTCTTGAAATATTATCCGGTTGTGTTATTCTGCCTTTTTATTTGATGCTTCAACTTGTCCTCTGGTGGAATCTTGACATACATTTTTGACATCTATCCAGGAAAGTCTAATTCACAGCTCAGCATCGGCATGGCTATACCACATCTCTTCTTCTCATCCTCTACAACATTACTTTTTTTTTCATCATTCTGTGTAATGTGACTGTCCCGTATTTCATTCAGGCCCAGTACCTGTGCGTCCAACTCAAATGCTTACCTAAATCCTCCTCTCTGGAGGTCCAGCACACTTCCTCTCCAAAATCTGAGGTGCGTTTCCAATTACCCCAGTTTGTCACTAAGAGCTCACCTCTCAGTGTAATGCAAACCTTCGTTGCCTACATATTCCTTTGCTGGTCAGCTTCTTTCTGTTTCCCTTGTGCTCCTGCTTCTGACACCAGGCCATACTGATGTGTTGATATTGCAGCTGCCGTGCTGCAGCTTGTGTTACTGGAAGAAGTGTCACCATGCTAGTGCAGTATTCCTGCAGGCTAGTTAACTGACATTAAAGAGCTGGAGTTTTGTATGTAAGTGGGTTTCTGTCATCATATGCTTATGTATACATTGATTCTGTTACTCTGCTTCTGTGTTCTGTTGTATGTAATAAATGTTTGTGCCACAGTTGTACCTGGTGTCCAGATGAAAATTCCCTTGGGGCTAGATATTTTATGCATGTATTTATTTTTTACTAACAAACAATATTTGTGACATTTCTTCAACTAAATATTATGTTTGAAGTTGTAGCTTTTCCTTTTGATTATTGTACTTGAACTCTCAATGTGTTCGTTGGGGTTTTGTTTCTTGTAATGGACGCTTTCCCCCACCGTTAGCCTGAAATTTCTTCAATGTAAGACAGTAAGTATCTTCTAAGTGATGAAGCTTGACAGATAGTAGAATTGTTTAGATATTTATTTTTTTTTAAATTGCAAGATTTGCAGAAGACTAGCAGTTACTGGCATACCAGTAAAGCACATTTATAAACTAACACCTACACAGTAATATTTATGTGAACTTCCATACACCTTACTTTTACAGGTGGAAAATATATTGTACAATACACTGACATTAGCATTTACTTTTCTGCATAGCCTTCTGCTCCCATGTTGAAATACAACAGTGATAAGTTTTTCTCATACTGTAGTTCTGTTCCTAAATTTGAGGTTTCTTATAAGGCTGATTCTTCCTTTCGGGGGGGAAGTAGTAAATAGATTATTTCTCTGTTGTCTCAATTTGATTTGCATGTTTAAATGGTTCAAAGAGCCTAAACATTCATTGCAGGAATTTTTTTCAATAAGTATTCAGTGCAAAGCCTTAATCATGCATTAAAGTCTGCCATTTAGATCTAATCTGATTGTATATTATTTTAATTTTTATTACAAAACCCATTAAACTCCGAAAGCTGACCATCTTTATGCTGGTAGTAAAATACATTTGTGGCTTAAAAGGGGAGATAGTACAACAAAGCTGAACAAATAACATCATGCAATATTCTCCGTATTGGGCTCAGTTTTAATTTCTCGTGTTTCCTGCAGCTGCAAGCAGCATCATACAGTCTTAACAGTCCGTGGGTTTGGGGAACTCACCCTCTTGATTAAATTCCTGCTCTTAGGAACCAAATGCGTTAAATTCCTGGGATTTACCATTGTCTTTCTGCACAATCATAAGAAAATCCTATAATATTGCTGAAACTGAGTTCCTGTCCTTAAAATTAGGATATATGTATTTTTATCAGTTTGCTTATAAATCCTAACCAAAGGCAAATTATATTTGGTGTTATATGACACAATTCAGGTTGAACAGTCCATCTGTTCACAGCTTCTCTAGACCCATCTTGATTACAGTGTGAAGAAACTCTGGGAAACATTATAAACACTGGTTTTCAGCAAATGGTAATGCAGTTAATTGAAATTGTTTTAATTTCATTGTTTATGCAGGTTCATGGAATTGCAGTCCAAAGTGAAAAGTTCATTGGTTAGAATTCTGGAAATAAGAGCAAATCTGACAAGCCTACAGGTCTGGTTTCCATTGATTTATTTTTTTTTAATCTACTTTTAATATAGGATTTAAAATAAAAATTAAAATATTATACGAAACATTTGAGTTTTAAGGAATAGGAAAACAAATAAAATACTTGAAGCCAGGCAAGTTTGACCTGGAAGTCCAAAAAATGCAAAAAAACCCCAGAACTTAGATTTTTTTTTTTAAACTAGAGGAGTTGCTTTTCCAAGGACACCATTTTAATTTGTATGACTCCTCATTTTGTACACGAATAAAAGCATATGAAGTAGTTATCAACTATTATTTATAACTTGAAGTATGAATTATTACTGCATGGATTTTTCTGTCCTTGAAGATTAAATATCCCTTTGTGTTGAAGTGATTGTACTATTTAATTTACCACTAATGTATCATCATTTAATAGTCTGTTTAATACATGCTAAAATGCAAATCACTTTTCTGTTTTATTCACATTTTGTTTCCTGAATAAATTTAGCACAAGGTTCGTTGCTGTGTATCAATATCTGAAAAATAATTCAGTGCACACAAAGTATTGTATTGATTTATTTTACTTTCATATGTGGTCTGACAATGCTTTATTTACAAAACAGACTGATACTAATTTATAATATTTTAATTCAAATGTTTATTTAGAAAGCCCTATTGAAAAATCCGTCGTATTTCTCCTGAGATTGATAGTGTATGGTTTTAGGTCTAACATGAAATGCTGAGGAGTGTGTTCAACAGAATCTTAACTGCTGGTAGATATCTATTTTACTAATATATTAGAGCAAGCTTGTACATGTGCCAAGATTGCTTTTCTGGGGATCAAGTGTTAATCTGTTTAAACAGCTGAAGACTTACGAATGAAGAGTAAATAACAGGAGATTTCTAAGTAACACTTTCAAAGGCACCTGAATGCCATTTTCAAAAGTAGCGTGTGTTCTTACACCCTTAGACTTTTTACTCCCGTTGACTTTCTTGAGATGGGGTGTCACGCATCGTTTATAGTTTATGGAAACTTTCCAAAAGTTCTTTTTTTCAGATGTTTTTAATGAACTGTAGGCATCTAAGTAGGTAGTTTGGGAATGAGATTTAACAATGTCTTTAATCATGTTTTTTTTTTCCAGGCTTTAGAGGGCAGTAGAGAGCTTGAAAATATTATTGGTGTCTCCGACTTCTCTTGCCTCTTGAGTGCTGAAGTGCAAAAAACCCAAGTGCTAAGTAAGGAGGATTTTCAATAATATTTATCCCCTTTATAACAGTTTAACAATGATCACTCCAAAGGTCTCCTAGAGTCCTACTCCACTCTCTGTGTTATAATGGAGTGTTATACCCCGGGACTCTGATGTGTGAGTTCTCTCCCTCAGGACAAATGCACCTTAAATGTCCTTGTGCACCCAACCAGGGGCTTAAAAGAAAGGCAACCCCAACGGCCCACTCTTCTAACTCGAACTCACATATGGAGAGGAAAAACTTGCAAGAGCAACGCCTTTTCTTATGTAAATAGTTAGATACTTAGTGGGTAGTTAGCTAGTGATTAGGCTAAACATTTGCACTTTGATTGCATTGCCTTTCTTCTCTTTTTGCAAGGAAGTCGTTTTGTTTGTTTGCCTGTTAGGAGGATTAGGCTGAATATAGGTTTCCAGGCTTTAAAAATTGCTATTCATGTGTCTTTAAATAATAGACATACCAGATGCTTGTTGTGTTTGGGATAAGGGCACTTTACAGATGGCACATCTGTAATACTTCTCCAGAAGAACCCAGAAAGCCAAAGATTTTAATTTATATGTGTCCATTTTTAGGAAACTCTTTATTCTTACTCCCAGTCAGAGGTTCTTGGGACATGTGAATCCTCAGCAGCGAAAACTGAGTTCATACTTCTTTTTCCAATTGCCTCTGTAACTAGAAGGGGAGTATGTGATGGGAAAACAATGCAAAAAAAACTTGTGTTATGGATAATTAGGGGGGGGGGGGAAAGCAAAACAAACACTATTGGCTTTCAGGGAGGAGAAATAAAGATCACACTTACCAGGTCATTCCTTTAAGAGTTAAAAATGGTGAAAGGTAGCCGTGGGCACCCAAGGGGCCCTGATCTTAATGCCTCAGAACAGTTTGTTCCTGTGTTTGTTTTCACAATAGCAACACCTTTTATCTGGAGATGAACAGCCTGTTTGTGGTACAGGTGTGTGTAAGACTGCACTTGCCTACCTACCACTACTTCTCCTCAAAGGTTTTCACAGGTAACATTGTTCTTGTAGACTTTTCATCCCAACCTCTGATAATCTCATTTCCATCTGACCAGGGAATACGAACATACACGTATTCCCTGTGTCCAGTCTCTGGACAGGCATGCAAAGATGATAAAACAGTTTCTTAACCTGCAGCAAATGTGATGTTTTGCTGGTACACGTTATTCTACAACCTATCTGGTTGCTCTGTTTTCTGCAGTGTGTGGAAACACTGGAAATAGCTGTAGGAGAGCAAAGCCCAGGGCGACTGGGAGTGGTACTTCGCAGTTGGAAACAGGTGGATGGTAAAGGCACAAGTGCTAGAGTGTTTTGTTTTGTTTTGTTTTTTTTCCTTACCAAGGAGCACTGTGACTCTTCTAATGCATTAAGTGCATGTGCCCAAGCAGTGGAATTTATGCAACACACAATTCCAGCAGTTACGGTTGTTTAAATTACCATTTCTTTCCTGACTTGTATTCCAATGCACATTCAGTTTTCATTTTGCACATGTATACACGGTACTGGTTCCCACTGCAATGCATATAACCAGATGTTTTCTCATACAAAACGAAGTTTCCTGAAAATAGTCTGTGTTTACATTACTACCCTACAGGGTGGATAGGGCAGTAAGGCTGCCCGAATGAGATGTCAGACCTGCTGTTGACATTTTCTGTTACATTCGCTCTTTCTGTTAGCTTCTTGTTGCTTTCAAAATGGCAAGGAATCGTCTTTTCCCCCCACTCTCTGAATTAGGAACAAAGCACCATGTGAGCACTAGAAGACAAAAATGGGAATAAAATGTGGTATAGGGCTGGTAAGCACAACTTCTCAAATTTATGTTAATTTTGAAAATTTTTGCGGGTTTTTTTTTGAGCACAATTACATAGGTAAGTAGTTTTCTGTCACCACTTGAAGAGAAATACATATGCTTTGAAAGTGAAAAAGGCAGCATAGATATTATTTTCTTTTAAATCTCTGGGGCAATATTTATTGATTTCAGTTTTATTTCTTCACTAGTGAGTCAAGCAGAAGAACTGCAGCTGTTGAAAAGAAACCATGGAAAACTTCCTGCCCAAGGTAAGAAACTTTTTATAAATCTTGTATAACAAATGTCTTGATGATTCCTTTTAGTTGATTCCAAGTTCCTTCCACTTGAAAGAAGTTGGGTAAACTTTAGTATGTGAAAATGCTGATATTCAAATGTGGTTTTTCTGAAAACTTTTGCACTACTCAAATATAAATTTCATCTTTTCTGCTATTTTCATTGTATTGGATATTTCTCCATGAAACTGTGCAAGGAGCAGAAATCATTAATGGTCTTGCACTTGAGGCGTGGTCTAGAAATAAGTGCAGTCTGAACCTAGAGAGTTTACATACCTTTATGTAGAGCAGTTAGCCTTGTTCTTCCTCACTCTCCTCCCTCCCGCTGCATTTTCAGCATATAAACCAAGTAGCACACAGTCTTTGCAGCAAAACCTTTTTCACCTTGTATGTATTGTGAGGTATTTAGCACACTCCAGGGGACTGTGAAATCCTAACTATTAGGTTTCTTCATAACTAGTGCTGTGAAAATATTTGAAGTTGCTGGCATTTAATATAGTGTGGCCCACAGAGCCACTTTAGTGCCTTGTCTAACTGGGAAGGTGGTGGGGGGTTACACACAAAATTTATTTTTTTCTCTCATACCCGGTAAAATCAACAAGCAGTCACCACTAATATGCTGCTATTTCTGTTATCTTCATGCATTCTGTCTTAAAATAGAGCAAAACCAGAATCAAAATCAGTGGTGGCACCTCCACTGCTCTGTCTGCCAGCTGTCCCAACCAGCAGGACTGCCTCGTATCACAAGCAGCCCCTTTGATTTTGGTTCTATCTGCTCTTCCAGGGACCCAGATTTTTTCTGCTGCAGGGAATTCATTTAAAGGAAAGAAAATTGATCAAACTTGAGTTTCCTCGGCTCCAGTAGATTACCATAAAATGAAAAGGAGTGGCACCACTTTTTAAAGAATTTGGCTCATTTGTGCAGTCTGCTATTTCTGATTTACAGCTCCCTATGTCCTTCTGTTCAGACGATCACGGCCCCTCACCATGGGCCACTGCAGATTTAAACAGTCATTGCTTCCTTTGTGCACTGCTTTTTAATGGTCACCAGGATATATATTTATAGTTCCGTCTTTGCTCTAGAAACTAGCCCCTAATGCTAAACATATATCCAGACTTGTAAGATGAGAAATGAGATATTTGGTGAAAGCAGGATAGAATTATGAGTTTAAGTTGACCAATTTTGATTAAGTTTCAATGTCAATTTTGCCTTAATAAAGAATAAATTAGATTTTTCCATCTTGAAAGTACAGTAGTATGAGTGAATAAGTATGTGATAAAAGAAAAGCATTTGGAGATGTTTTAATTTGCCTTTTAGTTTTAGATGTGTTTTTTTATAATTATTTTCAATTAATTATGCTCAAGACTTAAAACTTATGACTGTTCTGTGGCTTAATACAGACAGAATGTCACATTATCATCACATGGTGAGGCATGAAATTTATTTACTTTACATAAACAACCTCTACTTAAAACAACTTAATACAAAACATTCCTTGCTCAATGAGCAGCATTATGTAGAACTCAGTATATCATTTTGTGTGACCAGCATAAAAAATGGCATCATTGTTTGTCCATGACTAGCATTTACAGTAAACAAAATGTTTTTGAATAGAATGTAAGCAAACTGTAAAGCAATTGCCAAGAGATGAAATCTACTCGGTATGTTGCAGTCCAAAGTATGCTTTATGTGTGTTGAGAATAAATGTGTAGGTTGCGATACGCATATTTTAAAGGAAAATTTAATAGGTTGAGAGTTGCAAGGAGTGAAGATAACATTCTAAACAGGAAGGCTATTTAAGCTGGTTGTTAGAAATTATAGTGATACTTTGCTTCCCAAAAAGAAAAACACTGGCATAAATCATGTCCGTGACTCCATCCACTGTCCAAGTAAGAAACAACAAGAGAGTGTTATAGAAGATCAAATACTTGCAGTCTTAAGGAAAACTATTTTCAGACTGTACCCTGTAATGAAATAAAAAATACTTTCTTTTCTGTGTTGTTCATCCCGCCAAGCCCATGGGCCAATATGATCACACCTATCAAGTTTAGTTTTAAACATTCCTAAATTTCATATTGTTTTTAATGTAGGTGACTGGGGTTTGTGCTCTTTGCAACAGTAGTTGTGGCTTTCCAACAGACTAGATCAGGGTTAGCTAGATGGGTTTTCACTTGAAATTACTAATGAAAACAAAACCGGTGAGATTAGGGACCAAGTACTACTGAGTTCCCACTCACCCATCCAATTTTTTGAAGACTGTATATATGGTGAAACATAAAATCCCATCTCAGAAACAGTGAAAAATATAGACACCTCCTTAATAAGCAGAGTTCCTTTTCAAAACAGATGAAATTGTAAGATTACAATATTCCACTGTTTATCCCAATTCATGTCAGTGAGTTTGGACTTTGTATTGGTGTTTGCGTATAGGCAGCTAAATAGCTTGGGTCTGGACTGCTGGTAGGTGGCTGTGAGTGAGGGTAAATCAAATTTACAATACATTTCTACATCATTCTCAAATAAAGTAAAATAAATTTGTTGACCTTTAGACATACTCGGGTGTCTGTCTCGCATCCCCTCACTTCTTCCTCCTTTGGGACCTTCTCAGGGCAAGGGGAATGCATCGACTTCTGATGTGTATTTTCAGGAACATATCTGGATTTTTCTGACTGTAAAAACCGTAACCTAAACCCCCCTTTTTTTTTACCTCAGCCCAACTTTGTATTCACTTGCAGAGAAGAAATGTCATTATGCCTTTTCTGGGAACAGTAAGTCTCGTGAACTGGCTAAGCAGAAATTTATTAAGTGAACAGAATGAATTCACAAGTAAATTTATTCAGAAACTGAGTTTCTTTCCAGAATTTCCATTCCTTCTCAGCAAATGGAAAAAATATCACAATTGTTTTTTCTTACAGCAAATACTAATTTTTCAGGAAAATGATGAGATGGATGCTGCACTTGGAGCTAGGTACTGGGAAAGGCCTTTTTATCTAACAAATCTGTAGGCCTCTTTTGTAAGAACCAGTACATGAGCTGACTGTCAGGGTGAACCGTATGCTCTTGTTTGTGCAAGTCCTTCTTCGAGTCATTTGTGGTAGAGGCTTTTCTGCGGCTCAGTTCTTCCCTGGTTTTTTTCATCTGTTTGGGAAAAGCTGCTAAAGCTGACACAAACTGCAGTTCCTTAGTTCTTACCAAGGTCCCTTCAGTTAAATCCTAGGCTTCTTTCCAGCAAAAGTTTGACAGGATCTCTCCAGCAGCCTTTTTGTGGTGTGCCTCACCTCTAAAAGCAACAACCATGATGCTGAAAGGCTTTTTTTTTTTTTTTATTTTCAAATAGATTGTTATTAGGTGGAGACTTGGAGCTCGTGTTTGCGAGCGATATGCTTACTTGAATTCTTAACACTGAAGGCCAGGTTTGGTGTTTTGTCACGCATCAGAAATGTCTGCTCTGAGTTAATGTGCCTACGTGGTGTTTGAAAGAGAAGTGATGGTCATCAGTACCCTTTCACTTAAGTCCTGCATCCAACCAAGATACGAGTTACCCTCTTGGCCTACGCAGGCTGTGAAACCAAGACAGACATTGAATTAAGAATGAATATTTTCTGAAGGTCCAAAAATATGCACTAGAGCCTGCTATTCAACTGCATTTAAGTTGAGTCAGCCTAGTACCAAAAAGTCTGGATGCCCAAGGCTGCGGAGGCCAGCGATGAGGCTCACACGGACTAGATCTGTAACGTAGCTGTGGTGGTATGGAGTACGTACCTGCCCTTACCACGGGCCAGGGGCCTTCTTGTGGCCAAAGGTGGCACGGAGGGGCTGCAGTCTGGCAGCACTTTGCAGGGTTTCCTCCAGGGGAGCAGTCACTGTGACTGGCACCACTTAGGCCTTTAGGGTGCAGGGGAATGGCAGAGGTTAAAAAGAGAGATTGGGCAGAGGCTCTGCGCACATTCCCAGCTGGTAGGTGAGTCCCTGGAGCTGAAACCAGCCCATGGAAATGAGTGATCCCTTTGAGGGCTATGTTCTATGTCACTGGTGAGACAACTTCAAGAAATCGTAACTATGTGATGCTGGAGGGAATCTGGCCTTGTTCATCTGCTCTTCTGCGTGGAAGATCACAGAGTCATAGAATCACAGGAGGGTTTGGGTTGGAGGGACCTCAAAGCCCCCCCAGTGCCCCCCCCTGCCCCGGGCAGGGCCCCCTTCCCCCAGCCCAGGGGGCTCCCAGCCCCATCCAACCTGGCCTTGAACCCTTCCAGGGAGGGGGCACCCACAGCTGCTCTGGGCACCCTGGGCCAGCGCCTCACCCCCCGCACAGGGAAGAATTTCTGCTTTAGATCTCACCTAAATCTGCCCTCTCTCAGCTTAAACCCGTCACCCCTCGTCCTACCCCCACCCCCTGACCCAGAGTCCCTCCCCACCTCTCCTGCCCCCCCTTTAAGCCCTGGGAGGCCGCTCGAAGGTCCCCCCGGAGCCTTCTCTTCTCCAGCCTGAACCCCCCCAACTCTCTCAGCCCGGCCCCCCAGGGGAGCTGCTCCAGCCCCCCCAGCATCTCCGTGGCCTCCTCTGGCCCCGCTCGAGCAGCTCCGTGTCCTTCTGCTGTCGGGGGCCCCAGGGCTGATCTGTCTGTATTTTTGCTCATAAGGCTTTTCTACCATTAGACATGGGGGAAAAGTTCAACTCGGTTACATTTTTAAGTTACACCTCAGCATGAAGACTTGCAAATGGGACTGCATTAAGCACAACTGAATTAAGACTAATTCAGTGCTGAACATGTGAGTGTGCGTGAGCACAGGAGGACTTAGTGCACCTCACCTGTTTTGTTTACTCCTAAGTTATTTTGAATGTCCCCATGCAGAGACCCAGAGAACTCGCTCTGCTTTCCTGCATTTACAATCAAAACTAATCGTGAGGTGGCCCCGAAGCGTGTCTAGCAGAGGAGTGTGTTCTATTCTATTGTGTGGATTAAAAGTTGTTGTTGCTCAGGCTAAATTTGACTGTACGCCTTCTCTCATCCTGTGCAAGCTGTCTTTATTTTTTTTTTTTTTTTTAATTTGTGACCACGCAAAGTCCTTTACAGTCTAGAATAGGTAGCAAAACCCTCTTGGCCTAGTACCCAAAATCTGCAATGCTAGTGATTTTCCTAGGACAAGTGAGTGATCTTCTCTGCTGAAGGCATGCTACTGAAAGGAAAGGAGCTGGCGGGCAGGTTTCTGTTTGACCCCCGGGTGCTTCGCTCCTTCCCGGCAGGCCGGGGATCTGTCGGATTGTACCTGCACCTTAACAGTGCGTATTTTAAAATACAACCTGAGATTTGAGAAGTATCTGGGTCTGAGGTCACCGGCACGATAAGCTTTTTTGGATGGAAGGAAGGGGGCAAATTGCAAACCTCTCCAATGATTTAACATCCTCTGCTATGTAGATGAAATATTAAGCTATTAACTTTTGTGGCAGATACAGAAATGCACATGAGACATATGACTATAGGCCTCAGACATATATACATATAGAACTGTCAACCTGCATTTTAGATTTAGGTGTCAGCCACATTTTTTCATGAATTTCACACTTGTGTTTATACTCTATTTTCGTACGTACCTTTTTACAGAGGCAATGGCTATTAATTTTTAATTCTAGTGGATCTAGGCTTTAGAGTATTAAGCTTAATGAAAAATTAAAAAGAATTGTAGTTCTTTCAACAGCTACATGTAGCAACTCCTACCTGAGAATAAATACTGCGTTCTCCCATGAATATAATTATTTTAAATAAAAAAGAAAAGAAACATTAGTTTGGACTCACTTAGTAGCAATTATATGTTTAAGAGGTGTAAATAACTTGCTATCCAGACATTACAAATATCCAGGTGCTCTGTATGTGCTGATGACAACAAAATTGAAAAGAAAGACTGTAATAATTCTGACTGGTTTTCTCTGCAGAAGATATTGATTATTTGTGTGTGGTGAGAGATTTGGAAAATTCAATTAAAGGAGTTGTGCAAAGGTTTCATAAATTTTCCTTGTACAGCGTGTACACAGACATTGTTGCGTATTAAATCAATGCAGCACTTCACAATATATTTTCTTTGAAACATAAAAATAAATAACATTTAAACAGTTCTGCTTACTACAGAAACAAATTTTATTTTCTGTGAAGCATTTAGTCATGTGCTATCACTGACTCATACACATTTGCCAGCTGTAACAAATTTTATAGACGTTTTCTCCAGAGACATAGCTCATATACTATGAATTTTTAAATGAGCAAATGGTGAAGAAGGGATGTCAGCAATATAAAAATTGATCAGTTAAAAGATAAAAGCATAAGTAAAGAGATTTGTATGGTAGTCTTAATAGGTTTTATTAAATAAAAATACTATAAAAAGACAGTAATGAATAGACTGAAGGCTTTAACTGTGGTTGAGGTGGAGAAAAATTATTCTGGCACATTTAGTAGAAGATTGGTTTTATATCACCTGACAGGTGAACATTTTTTTTCCCCTCTGCTTTTTAGATCTGTAAATGTTTTAGAGCAGTCAAACTTGGGAAGGAATGGCGCTGGAAGTAGGAGGGGAAAAGAAACTTGGGAAGATTCTGCCCTTTTAAGGCTTTTGCGGGCTGGGGGCAGGAGGCACCGCGGCAGAGGGGAGAGCTGCCCCAGGCCCCGCTGGTGCGGCGGCCCCGGCGGCCCGCCCGCCTCCGCAGATCCCTTCCCAGCTGCTCTGGGTGCAGCAGATTTTCATCCGGCAGTTTTGCTAACGCTCAGTTTGCTTTGATGCCGTTTATCTAATTTCGGAGTTCTGCACGTGAAAATATCAAGACAAGGGTCGGTGGGGCTTTGTTGGGTTTTTTTAAGCGCAACTCGTGATCTTCATTAGCTCACACACCAAAAAAACCCTGACGAAACTAAGAAAACAAAAAAGCTTGAAGTGCTACAACGAGCGTTGTAAGCTTCTGAAGCGTATGACTGATAAATCATACTATTTGCTGATCTTAATATCTAAATCTTAATGCCATCTGGATGAATATTTATGAATAGGGCTGTTTTGTCAAAACGTGCTGTCATGGTATATATTTGGAAAGCAAGCTGAGTTAATGATGTTTTATATGAATCTGAGCTGCTTACCTTTTTTAAGATAGCTTCGCAGAGGGCAATGCAGGTCTTGGCACGGTTGCTTTGGCATCTCTGGGTTCTTTAAGTGTTGCGTCGTCAGAATGCCGCAATCAGGGATGAAAGGGTTCATAAAGACTGAACTAGAAACTCGCATTTAGTACAAAGAAACCAACTTGTAATTAAATCTTAGTCCTTTTCTGTTACTTATCATACAAGACTGAACGGTCTCCCATTGTAAGCAGTAGTTAGTGGTATTTTTGTGATGAGAATTTGTGTAAGCAACTGGTATTCATTTGGTATAAGGCTGAAAAGATGTACCTGAGGCAAAGTTGAATCGCACGCCAGTTTTCTGGAGAGGGCTGGCTCAGGACAGAACCTCTGGCTTGGTCTGGGTGAGCTCCAGGGAACGTCCCTGGCACCTCAGGTCAGAGCCAGGGGCAGGTCCGAGGCGTGGGACACCTACAGCGTCACGGCGTGCCAGAGGGGAACGGAGGAACGTCCTCCCCCCCCCGTGTCTCTGGGGGCTTCGACGCCTCTCTCCATCCAGGTTTAGACACAGCCCCTTTCCTCGCAGGAGGAGTCTTTCCAGCTAGAAGCCACTGTAAATATCTGCTTGTTTTTCTCACTGTGTTCACTATAAAGTGAATAATTCTGAATTCTCTCTTCACCCTTTTGTGGTGGTGGAATCAAAATGCAGCACGAGCCATCAGCAGACACTCCGGGTACTGCGGCCAGAGCCGTTCGGCGATCTTGGCACTCGGATGCTCCTGCTTCCAGACCCCTTCCCACTGTGTTCTCATTCCCCAAGTGCCTTTCTGCCCCGGCACGCTTTTCCTCTGCCTCTTCCAGCCACCTGCTCAGCCCCTGGCCCTGCCCTCCTGGGGGTCGGGGCTCAGGTGGGGTTACCTCTCCCTTTGCCCTCAGAGGACTCAGGGGATGGTTGTTCCTCTCATGCAATCCTTCACTGCGTTCTGCTGAATCTGCTGATGTGGTCCTTGTAGATTTTTATTTATTCTTTTATTATGAAAAAGGAGGGACCAGCTTCTGATACTCGTAACACATTCTGTTCTGCTTTGTCATCACTGGTATCGGTACAGCGTATGTGCATCCACTCACAAGTGACAGGCAGTCTCCCGAAGGACTGTTGAGACAGACACAGTAACTGTATGAAGTAAAAGGGGTTCTGTTAACCACTGCGGTCACTTCTTTAACTCCCATTTGTGCAGGGCTTTTCACAAATTCTGTAATAACACCATTGTTCTGTTTATCAAAACTGATTTTCTTCCTCCACAGGGTACGTTCAGACTGCCAGTAGCTCTGCGTTCCTGGCGGCGCTCCTTGACTGAGGTAAGCAGCCCCTCGCTCTGCTCCACGCCTTCTCCACGGCTCCACATACGGGTGGTACAATCACAAGGCTGAGGTGGTTTGTTTGAAGACCTTTGCAGACTGCTCTGGCATGTAGGCCTGCAGTCGACTGCAATAGCTTGATGGGAAAACAGTTGTTACTCTGAATATGGTATTGTTACTGGTTCGTTAAGCGAGATGACATACTGAATCCGTAGAAACTCTGTCCCACTCTAAAACATCCGATCACATTTCTCCTTGTCGACGCTGCTGGTTTCTAACGAGGTATTTTTTCAAGAATGGCAATTCAGCTGTAATACATGTAAGGAAAGAAAGGAAATTTGTGTGCTTCAGAATATTATTATGATGCCAGGACTGCTGCCCTGGAGGCTGCGTACTGCAACCCTGCTGTGCTGTTGACGGGCGGTACTTCGCTGCCAGGGGGCTCAGGCTTTGCTTTCCTGCAAAGCTGCTGCGTGCACCCTTCCTCCCTTCCCACTCCTGGGCTCGCTCCTGGCAGCTGGGGGAGCTCAGCCAGCCAGGGGCTGCTGGGCCCCGCTCCCGAGAGGGAGAGGAGGGGAGATGGAGAGGAAATGGAGAGGGAGAGGGAAAGGACGGGGAGAGGGAAAGGAGGGGGAGAGGCGCAGGGTAGCTGGGCCAGGTGGAAGAGCATCGCCTGCTCCTGCTCCTCTGTTCCTCAGACAGGCTGGGCTGGCTGCTGATCCACCCACCGTGTCAACTTTCTCAGCACTCCCAGAGCAGAAAGCAGAAAACAACATTGACACCTCAAGATCCGGTTTATGGGGTTTTAAATTCTTCCTCCTTTGGCTGTTCTTCTTTTTTCCAGTGTCGCAGGGAAAAGCCCAGTTAGCGACAGACCGTGTCTGTCGTCGGGTGTTACCTGTGATCAGAAAACTGCTCATAAAGTCTTGTGAGACAAAGAAGCCTCTCAGGATGACAGTATCTGCAGGTTATACCCATGTATAGTGTGAGAACATCTCTCCTTTGGAAGGTTGAAGAATTCTAATTTTTGTACCTGAGGAACGTAGATCTACAGCTGATGGAAGGTGTTAGAACCGAGTTGTTAGTGCAGGGTGAGCTCAGACACAAGCATTCCGCTTTTCAACAAAGGTTAAATTTTATTTTGTAGTCACAAATAACCTAGTAGCAAAAAAAAAAAAGCTTTAAAACCCTGCTAACGTCACCCTAGTACGTATTAGCTGCTTATACCAGAGACTATTTCAACTCCTTACTCCTTCCAACTCAGCTACTGCACCAGAGGCAGAGTAATCGCGGGCTGGGAACCGCTGCAGGAGCGCAGAGCTGGCGTCCCCGCCAGCAGCTCGTTTGCTCCGCTCCGCGTGATTTCCGAGTCCTGCAGAATGCAGAGTGACCTCTCGGGGGTACAAGGACAGGTTTAAGTCTTACACTGCCGCCTTAGCTTGAAGCAAAGTCATGCTGACGACTGCAAGGCTTCCCTCTGAAGTTAGCTCCCGTGCATGGACAGCGCTGACCCGCCAGCGAACGCTGGGTTTGCACCTTCTGTCCAAAAGACGACACATTTGCTTTTTCTGGTTCTCTCTATCCCTTCCCAAGCGCGACCAACACTGTAAAGCCCTTTGCTTTCTTATCATTTAAACAAATACAGTTGCGAGAGCTAAATGATGTTTTAGCAATTATTTATCAACTGTTTCTACAGCTAAAAAAACTACAGCCTTTCCTGAGAACATCTAAAAATGTTGCTGCGGTTCAAGGGAGGCCGTCTGTCCCTCTGCATCGCCCTAGGACGTGCGTGTGTCTGTCCGGCTGGAGTTTTTCAGGCAGTGAGGCCCTGGGCAGACATTCTGAACAGATCACATGAATGATGATGCTGTTGTCTAATTGCTATTTATTTTAGTCATTCCTTATCTCCACACAGGCATTACGTGAAAAATGATTCCACATCAACCCAAACTTCTACATCTGCTTGACTGTACTTAAAAGGAGAGAAGAAATGAGTGTAAACCTATCTCCTCAGCAAATACCAGTTCGGGATTGCTCGTTGCTCTAGGCAGGTGCACATCTAGATAAAATTTCTGGCATCTATTTAAACTTAACAATGTGCACAACCAGATAATCTCAATGCAAATAATACAGCATGGTTGGTTTATGTAACAGGCTGTAGAAAATGCTGATTTCTGTTTGCTGCTGCATGGAAAATAACTGTATTTTCTCTATGTTTTAGATTATTAGGCTGCTGTGGGGTTTTTTTTTTAAAAAAAAAAAAAACAAAACCACACCACTCTAACCTTGCCTCCAAGAACTGGGTGAGAAGAAACCACATTAGATGAACTTTTCCAGTGGGGGACGATCCTTCCTGCCAGGGTGGGGCGGGGGGTGTGCACGCGCACTCTCATTTAATCAATCCATCACACCCCCCCTCATGATTTCAATTAACCCAGCTCGTTTTGCAACAGCCTGCTTAAAAAGTCACAGCTTTTTCTGATGGTGATTGGGCTCAAAAGCTCCAGGAAGCTCTATTGTGCAAGGAATTATTCTGAGTGCTGAATGGGTTTAAGTTGTTCACAAACACATTTCCCTGGCTGTGGCTGCCACGGCGAGGACGTGTTTGTTGTCCACGACGATGTTTCCTCCAGAGTCAACCCAAGACATGCTGTATAAAGGAATCAGCTTCCAGCCCGTGGCGTTAAAACACATGACTAGTAACATTTGCTTTTTAGGTGAACATTTTAGTTGGATTCTGGGTTTTAATGATGTATGGGGAGAATTGTTACAAACCAGTTTCTTTTCATCATCCTCAACACCACCTCTCCAACCTCGTGAAGACCCTGTGTCTCAAATCACTGAGGAAGCTGCAGCCTCTCTCAAGGTAGAAGAGTGCAGTAGAATGATGATTTTTTTTTTTTTCCCCAGAAAGTTCAACATAAATGTGCGCAACTGAATGTCCTTTCTACCACTGCAAATTACTGTTACTCAGACAGATAAACTGGTTTTTACAACTAATTGTTAACAACTCTGAGAACCAGAATGATAAAGGTGTTTAGTTTGTGGTTCAACATGTACAATCTCGAGCTTAGTTTTTAATTAATAAAAATGGTTTTGCACTGTGCAGTCTGACTGGGAAAAAAATGTTAGTAATTGTTTGAAGGGAACTGTGGCAGTTACTCTGTTATCTTCTATACCACGCTCATTTAAGCTTTCTGCGCTGGTGGGTTGGAGTTGGACGCATGATTCACCAGCTGATCGCTGCGTCTGATAACGGCCGGTTAGCCTGAACCACCAATAGTTCATATAACCTGACTGTAACTCCTGCAGCTGGAAATTAAATAACTATTGATCTGAAAAGAGGCTGCAAATGAACTGGGTGCCAGCCTAAACCCAGCTGTTCAGTGTAGTCTCAGGAGAACAAAATAAAACTTTTGCAGCAATTAACAGTAAAGGTGGTGATGGACAACACTGAGTTAGAGCTGTAACTCACAGCATGGCAACTGCTGAATATAATGAAATTTGGGATTTAATCATTCTGGAAGAAATACAAAGTAGTATACTAAGGTTCTGCTGCAGCTATTCCTCCCCCCCCGCCTTAGCTATTTAAGCAGTTACTGGTTCTTTGACCTCTTGCTGTACCAGGCTTCTGCCTTTCAGGAACAGCTGGGTCTGTTAAGAACCATTTCCAGTTCCACACCAGGTGGATCGGATGACTCGCACTTTATCACCCCTGGAGGTCATCTCAAGGACAAAGAAAAGAGATACACTCAAAACTAATGTTTTTCTACCAGGGGGCAAGTTTGTACCCTGATCCCTTGGTGAGCACAGGACCTACCCGGCTAATTAGAACCTGAAGTCCTTCTGCTTCCTTCCCTCTTCAGTTGCCCTTGCAGGTGTTATTTCACTGGAAGGCGATGTTCTTCGAGCCGCCTGAAGGTTGGCAGTGCTTCAGGCAGCCGAGCTCCCAGGGAATGCTGTGGGTTTTAGCTCTCGAAGCCTCTGGAGACAAAGATTCCTATTTATCTGTCCTGATACACATCAATGCCACTCGGCCTCCGCTTCTGAAAAGAAAGGCCATGCTGGGGGCAGAGCTCTTGCATGCCGTGGTTAGTCACTCCCTCAGAAAAAGTCTAAATACTTGTGAAAATATTTAAGCTGTGTTATAGTGAACTGTTACAGTGTAGGTCAATAGTATTTAAGCTGTACACGCCCCTGCTAACATTACAATTACTACTCCAGAGCACCTTTTTTATTTTGTCTTAGCTGCCACAGGTGGAATGTTGGCTAGAGTTACTTTTTCCCCAGCAAATGAAGCTGAACCAACTGAATTACTACACTCAGCCTGCAGACCCTTCACGTCCAGTGCTCCTGACACAGTTGGAAGGTCCCAGAACAGCTGATTCACACACTCACACCCGCTGCTGCAGGGCCGGCCTCGGAGCGCGCGAAGGGCAGTGACAGCGCGGGGAGGTCAGGGGAGAAGCCTCTCAACAAGGAGGGGGTTGCTTGGGGTTTTTAATATATATATATGCATATATATATATATATATTTAATGTCAGAGCAGAATGAAGAAAAAGGATAGACTGACTCCTAATTAAACTATACTACCATGAAAGGCTTTATGATTTATTTTCTTGCTACATGCTTTGTTATGTAGATAATTATTCAATCAATTCGTATTCTCTGAACTGTTGGCATGGGAGGCTCTGAACTATTGTGCAGCGGGAGAAATTGCAGAGTTTAGTTCAGTTTACATCTGCAAATGACTGCGCAATAAGGGGTGGGTTTTACTGGGGTGGCATTGGGGTTTTTTTTCCTGAAGATCCTAGTACCTGCTTTGAAACTACACTGCAGTACCTCAGCTTTTAGTCCAGCAGAACCAAGATCTTTTGGCTTTTCAGTCCCGTTTGAAACAGTTGTGAGTCACAAGACTACAACCGCATCAAAGCCAACCCCTGGGCGCTGACCTGCAGGGAAGGGAGAAACGTCCTCCACCGCGGGAACCTTCCCCTTAAAAAAAACACCACTACAGCCTCTACTTCCGCGCCCGGCGCTAACTGTGGCTCACGCTGTTCTCCAGCATCCTGAAAGTGGAAAATAACACAAAATAGAGGCAAACCAAACGCCGGCGGGTGAGCTGAAGGTGCAAGCAGGGCCTGGGCACGTGCTGGGGCTGAGCACACAGCTCCCCGGGGCCGAGCGTTGGCAGCTGCGGGATCGGGTGAGGAACACCACGCGCTCTGGCGCGGGCCCAGCAGCAGCCGCAGGGTCCCCCCACACCCACCCGCGGCCCAGCGACCCCAGGAAACGCCGCGGGGGGACAGGGACTGCCCACGGGCAAACAATTCAGCACAAGGACTGAGGAGCTCCCGGGCAGCTTCCGCTGAACCCGCACCACTGCACTCGCTTACGCCTTTCCTGCTGGGAAATGCGTGTACACCGAATGCTAACAGAAGTTTGCTGTTTTGCTAATGCAGCTGGGGTATTTTAGCATTGATTCGAGATTTGGTCCTTTATTGGTATTTTAAGTTTACAAATGGTAACAAAAGCATTCCACGCTTCCGAAGAAAACACATTGAATCGCATTTCCGAGTCCTCAAAATACTTCTTTAAAAGTCCTGGATTATTTTGTGTTTAAATACACATAATGTGTTTGCTGATCTTCCGTAGGCTACAGGAATTGTTTTACATCACAAACGGGTTTACCTGCGATGCCAGACACCGTTCACTGAAAACACTGTCCCGTCACAGTTTAGTCCTTGATCTTCACTGGTTGATTAACTGAATTTCTTCTGACTTCTACTATTCTTTGAGTCCCAGAGTATAACAACATTAAAATATACCAAAAATAATAAAAAGTGTAAGCAAGAAATAACAGAGACCGACAGGGGGAATAAATCGGGTAACCTGTGTGGGGGATGCACCGCGGCGCTCATTAGCGACAGGACGCCCATCAGGGTTACGGAAAGAAGAAACTGGAAGAGAAGGAATGGTCCATTAGCTACTGGTGATTTAACACCTCAAACGAGTAAGCTGCTACTTTCATCACTTGGGTGCTCTGTATTTAATCTACACACAGATGACACGGCAGAATAAAAGTTCTAGCACAGCTCTACACTGATCCAGTGTGGCTTCATGCACAGTTACAGACAGAAAACTGGTTTGTGTGAGTACTCCAGTACCATGAAGAGCTGCGACTAAGAGTTATAGGAATTAAAATTGCTTACCAGACACCTGACAATCTTTGGAAATGACTTAAACCAAGAAACGTATCCCTTCAGGGAAAGGGAGAATGGTTTCAGCTGCAGGTCCTCTGCTGAAGTCTTCTCAAATATGGAAAAGGCAGCCAGGGAGACCGACAGGAACGCCAGCATTGTCACGGCGTAGGCCAGCAGCAGGCCGTCTTTCAGCAGAAGAGGCAGCATACTGTTCAAGCAGAATTGGGAGTGCACATTCCGAGTTGTGTTTCAAAGAATGTAAAAAGAAGAGGAAAAAGAATGCATTTATTTTTACTAGAATTGGGGAAGAACACGGTTTTAAAGTAATGTTAAGTGTCCAACTCACCTGAAAGTCGATACAAGTAAAAACCACGTAGCCATAAAAGGGATTTCATTTATGATCAGGCAGACTGGTCTAGAATGAAAAGAGGAAAAACCAGATAGGAAACGCTGAAGTGAGAGCACAGCCTCCTCAACCCTTCCGGTGGATGCTGCACTCCCAGCGCAGAGCTTTTCTGAAAATCCAGAGCAGGCAGCACCCAAAGCGCCTTAGCCGAGGGCGCAGCCAGCCTGGTCCTGGGCAAACGGCTCCGGAATCGCAGGCGGAACGCTGGCCCGGGGAGAGGAGTGAAGCGGGAGAAACCAGCCCAGCTGTACGTGTAATGCTTACATTTACAAGTTATTCAGAAAAGCAAATGTGTAGAGTTTTTAAAAGCAGATAGATGTGTGAGTGAGAAAGCAGCATGCAATAACAAAATGAGGAAAAGATCAAAATATATCCAGAGAAAAATAATTTACTTACACTGACACTAGAAGAATAGATTTTTCATGTACTTGAAAGGAGAACAGGAAAAATGACAATGCACAACTAACCTTAGAAAAGGAAATCAGAGATATATTAGTCTATGTGACTGCAATGCAAAGCGCTGTTTTAGTTTCTCTACTGGCATAGACTTTGCATGATTGTATGAGCTAAAGGATCGGATTTTTCTAATTAACTGCTACATTTACTCCAGTGCCATTTACAAGTTCACAGAGCTGCTTCTGTAACCACCTGTACATGCTACAACATACGCTGTTTGAGAGTTTACCCAGAATTAATCAGAAAGCTCTTCATGTAAAGAGCTCTCACTTAGCTTTTCTGACAAGAGAATCCCCACCAAGTAAACACAATATTCACCTACATAAGCACAGGCACAATTCAGTCACGGGAAGAACTACCCACCTTTCCGACCTAAGATTTTGTTCATCATCATGAACAGCCAATACAAAGTAAACAAACTTTTTCCCCACCAAGTAAAAAGCACACTGGAAAACATAAACTAAATCTTAGAAAAGATAAATGTTAGTTTTAGGCAATGTTGCAATAAACTCTCAAACAGCACTCACAAAATTAAAAATAGAAATTATCTTGTAACTCTTGAAACCTTAGGACCAGCTCCATCTAATTTGAACTTCAAGGAAAACTGATTTTTGCACGTAAGTCATGTGAGTGTGCCTAAATTCAGTGATACAATATGACTAAGAAAAGGCAAACATTTGGGAAAAATTGTATCATTTTCTTTTCAAACTGCTAATGAGCTTACAATGTCCATCTTGGGACTTTTTTATTGAATTTTGCAGCCAACGCATAAGAAAAACTAGCACTTTGGAAGCTAATCAAAAAGAGGGGAAATTCCAATTCTATATGAGGTTTTAATGTGTATGGAATCTGCCAAGGACTCTTCAGAGAAGGACAATAAAAAAATAGAGTACTGAATAAAAAAAAAAAAATTGAGGCTAAGGAAGAAAGTCTGGATTTAAAAGACAGGTCAGAGCCCCTGGCCACGTGATAGCAAAACACTTTTTAACCAACCTCTTCCGCAGAGCCAGGACGGCATTTAATGGTGCTCGCACTTCTGCGCGTTGCAGAGAACTGTCAGTTGTACACCGGTGCTCAGTGGTGGGTATAAAACAAGGAGCAATTAAAGACATACACTTACCAAAGCGAATTTAAATCCTCGGAGCGAAGGCTGGACGGTTAGTTTTATACAAGTAGGAAGCAGGCTCAGGAATGTTACAGCAAAACTAAAGAATTTTGTAAGAAAAACAGTTTTAATACATGAGGAACTACATCCATGATATCATATAATCACTTTTGAAAACTATGCAAGTTAGGAATTCAGTTGTGATTTTCAGAAGTACAAAATCACTCAAGGAGACTCAATCACAAGAGAAGAGCACTGAATGGTCCTCACTGACAGAAGGAATAAAGCATTTCCATTAATATTTCAGACATTTTAGACCTAGACTTGAATTCTTCACTTAATCAAAAAAAAAAAGGAACTGGGGACTCGAAGAGGAAAGCATGCAAATTTTACCTCAGTTTTAACCAAGTAGCTTAAATCACTGTATAAACAAAGAGGAAATTTTACAGTGATAAATATTAGAATGGTTTGGGTTGGAACTAGGTCATCTAGTCCAGCCTCCTGCAATGAGCGGGGACATCTTCAACTATTCTCAACAGTACTTGAGGAAACCCTTATCACTTGGGAGAAAAAAAATCTACATTTTTTCAAGATTTTAAACTCCACTTCTCATAATTCTTTGACAAAAATTACTAATTTTGCAAAAAACAATGCAGATACACAGCTGAAGTGATTTAGGTAGTTTCTTACCTGAGTTTTAGCTGAGTTTGAGGTGATACAATATTCTTTATCTTTATAAGGACACTTAGGGTGCACCAAATATTGGCTACTTTATCCTGGAAGGGCGAGGAGAAAAAAAATATTATCAGTGATAATGACATTCATTTAAACTTACGTTTGTGACAACAGTGGCACTTGGGAGGTGGGGGATTGTTGAGTTTTTACCACGATCCTGCAAAAGACACTTGCAGATACACATCATACTCTTAGACGTACTTTAAATTACTCTGATCTTCAAAAATGGGAAGTTTCAAGAGACTCAATTAAAACATGTTCTGAAATAACAGGGAACTAGTTCTTCAGCACAAGAGACTACTTCTTAACTCATGAGATCACACATTTTGTGAAAATAAGGCTCTGAAGCTATCTGCCCCTGACTCAACACTAGCATATATGAGTCTTTTTTTCAAATGTGAAGACACTCTGTATACTGTCACATTTCATTACATACCTGAATCTATTTAGCTGTGCTTACTGTTTGCTAGCAATGACAGAGTTAACCTCTAATAAATCAAGAAGTCTAAAGACATTAGCAGTTGTGCTAGGATCACTTTCAAAATTAAATTTGTAACTACAGCTATCATGCTCCTGAAACTCATCCCTAAACAGCTGCTTGAATCACAGCTGTGTAGACATAACAGCAAGAAAGCCACCAGCACCAACAACTGAGCCATCTTCCTCATGTGCTCACCAGCCATACGGAATATGCACTTCAAATCTGCTGAGGATTACAAGTGAACAGAGGGCTTGGCAGCACCAGCAAGCACAGAGGACGCCTACTTAATAGCCAATACGATTTTACAACCATCAGCATTTGTTACTGCTTCTGTAAATGGGAACCAAGTCAAAGAACCTGTCACACGCACCCCAGTATAAATTTACTGCGCGTTGCTTACGTGGACAATTTCTCATTTTATCTAGGTTAGCGTCCAGCAAGTCACTCCCCCAATCAACTCAGAAAATATTTGGGCTAATATTAGACTAAAATTCTTAAGCTCTTTCAGACTCTTTGGTTATTGTCATTTACAGATTGTATTTTTAAACTTGGTACCGAATAAAAAGTGTGGTGACCAAAACTATTTATTTATAAATTCCAGATAAATCTCAAGGAATAGGGTCACTGGGGTTGTTGGGGAGGGGTGGGGGTGTATATTTTGTGGAGGGGGTTGGAGTTTTTTAAATAAACTAGCAGAGTACACAGAGAACGCTTTGTACCACTCCCTAAATAAAATGCTGCCTTTGGTACATCAGCATTAACTTCTGAAGAAAAAAAGTGCCAGTCCTGATATTATTTACACTTAAGAAAGACTAAAAAAAAATTTAACATGAATCACATTATATAAGCATTTGTTTCAATCCCTGTGACATCAAAACCTGGAAATTCAAAGCATCGTTTTATCAGTTAAACTTGAAAGTGGAGAATCTGCTTTTTAAAGTGTAATATTAAAGACTCCTGCCCTAATTAAGCAAAACAGCAGCAACGACTCATTGCTACTTGGGAAATGAGTTTCCTTTCTCTTATCAACAACGCTCCTGTGGCCTCAGCATTAGGAAAATGAGTAATTGCTTTACTGGATTAAGGCTGCGTACTCAGCACCCTGCAATATGCAAACGTCGATAGCCAGAGCGAAAAAGAAAAGGAAAACTGGCCTAAAGTTTTTGGAAAATACTGTGGAAACTTGCACTGAAAATGCAAGGTGGGTCACAAAAAGTAAGTTCCAGGCTCCACCTGAAACACTTTTTTTTTTTTTTTTTTTTTTTTTTTTTTTTTAAAATAATGAATCCCACTGAAAAAAGTTGAGCAGAACCAAAGACAGACTGAAGCTGTTAACTTTTAAGGTTACATCTTCTGACACTGTCAATTACTATGGAATCTATTTCAATGGAAAAATGCATGGATTGAAGTACGGGTTTGATGATGGGATAAGTGTTGTCTACTCATATAATATCCTGGAAGATGCCAGCTGAGCTGGGGTTAAATACTGGATTAAATAACTGGCAAGAAATGACTGCTGAAGAAGCCAGCTCAAATTACTAGTTCTGTGGTGTGTCTCCCACATGAAATCCCTAAAGGTCACGATGAAGGTTTCTCAAGGGATCTAAGAATACAGAACATTTACAGCGGGGTGGGGGAGAAGAAAACATGCATGCCTCAAACAAGCCTCGGTCAATGGGAAAGAGTCTTCTGAGTACTTGCATGATTTGTTCCATGTCGGTACAGAACGGCAGCCAGCAGACAGCAAAGGAAACCACCACTGTCCCTGCTATTTTAGTTAACAATACTAATCTGCAAGCAAGAGAAAAGCTTACATCAGAAAAGAGAAATGCAGCTACTGGTAACAAAATACAGTTCTTAGTTTAAAGCACAAACCTGTTTTTAAAAGGGATGCAGAACTGAAGGTAACAAATCTAAACAGAAAGAGCTACCAGTCCCACCAAAAAAGCTCATCACCCCCGGATTGGTGAGAACAGCGCCATGAGAACCACTGAGCCACTGCTGTCCATCTAATCCAGTTGTCCACTGCAACCCATATTTAATTTAGCTTACAGAACGAAGAGTACTAAATAAGGACACCTTAACAGATTGTACTATCTGCTCAGTGGAAATATTTAATGTAGATCTCAACAAGAAGTGTTTATTGTGCAGGACAGGAATACATTGCACCATGGTCACTATCTTCCAGTAGAAATTAATTCACAAGTGCCCACATGCAAATAAGGAGAACCACGTTCTCAATGCCAGGCTGCCTGGGTGTATTCTTGAGAAAGATAAAATGGTTTTAAGTCACTTACCCCTTTCCTTTCAGTCCCTTCTTGAAGCACTTTCCAAGTAAATAGCAAAAAAACGGCAGAGAATGGTAGAGTTCCATTTGCTTATAATTTAAGGCCAAGCAAAACGCCACTGACCCCAAAAGGTCCCAGTCATAAGACAAGCAGAGTACACCCCACAAGGCAAAGCCAAGGCTCACTGAGTTGTATATGGTTTTTCATGTCAAGGACAAGATACACATCTTAGTACTGGAAGTCAGTAATGAACGCCCTGAGGGACAAGTATAAAATAGCATGCAAAGGAAGTTTTTTCCAAGTTAGTTTTAAAAACACGTTGCCAGTTGTGACTATGTTGTTCACAGACAGAAATAATTTTATTTCTACATAAAGTGTAATTTTTCTGTTTCCAAGGCTGGATTCGAAACAAGTATGAGGACAAACTCTGTGTGTGTGTGTGTCTTAATTATACATGTAATATATATTCAGTTAACCAGGCTTTTGGTGACAGTACTCTGCAAGATGCATCGGGGTAAACCTTTTTTTCTTGTTATTTACATAATTAAAGCTTTCAAGAGTCTCTCCTCCCAGCTCTCAAAAGATATGTGCAGAATATTCAAATACGTCAGTATTTAAATTGTGTATTATTTAGTTCAAGGACTCCCGAGGTTTTTGTGATTATATTATCTCACAACGCACACTCATCCATGACCAGTTCCCTTAGCTGCTAATACTGTACAAACAATGAATAATAGTTACTAAAAGCAATGGTACTTCCCTAGGACTTTCAGAACAGGTTCCCAAGCTCAGTAGTTTGACGAGAGTAAGCTACGCTCACTATTAAATCGCAACAAAATATTAGCTTTGTCCTTCAGTGTTTTTTTACACTATGGGAGAAACCAAGAAGACATAATTACATGGTCAGAAATCCCATAATATTTTGTTTTCTCTTTGTCAACAGAAACAGCTGTGACAACACATTCAGATTGCCTGCCTTGTCTTCAGCCCACTCAGAATCACCATGTTTACTTGAGATCTCAGCAACTGCACATCAACAAGTTGTTATACCCAAAGGCTCTGGTCTTGCAGAGACGTGCAGCAGGCATTAAGTAAATCTACTGATTTCTTGGGAGCTGGTCACAGATAGTGAAGTTACTCACGGCAGAGTTAGAGGGCTGGAACAGACCACAGCAGACTACGCAGCACATCTGGCTGCTTCAGCAGCGTCTGCTACACCTACATCACCCTGACATGAGGTCTGCAGAACCTTTTCTTAAAGATATTGATGCTGCAGATGCCACAATATTCATAGACAAATCTATTCCAACATTTCACTGTAATTAAGGTTCAAAAGATTTTTTTCCATATATTTAAAAAACCCCAAATATTCCCTGTGGTAATTTAGGGCAGTTACTTCTTGCCCTATCCAACATATAACACACAGAACAGATTTTTGCCTTCCTTTTTGCACTTCTTTCACATATTAGAAAATTGTAACCCTGTGCCTCCTCCTGACCACCAGCTCCTCTCACCTAAGAGGAACTGCATTCACTCCCATCCCCATTCTTGTACGTGATGTCTCCAGATGACCTACATCTTTAAAGAGTCAGGCCAAAAATAGAATTTCAGAATTCCTGAACTGTAACTCAAATATTCAATAGCATTATGAATTTCTTTCCTTCAACATCTACTTTTTAAGGTACATTATATTCCAAATTCACCATGAAATCTCTTGGAAGAAAACCACAAATTAGTAAACTATTTGATTGTCAAAACTTGATTTAGTAGTAGACGATGAGATTCAGTATCTCCTTGGAATATTTAAATGTCTACATTGATCACAACTTCTGGCTCGATGGCACTGAGTGGCACAGCCTGCAGTAGTCAAGTAGCAGCATTTGCTTGTTGATGTGCAAAACAAGTGTAAAACCAGAAATCTTATTAAAAAAGACCCACCTCGGAAGGCATCTGCGACCAACAGTGACTAGTTGGCTCCGATGGCCTACTTCGTATTAGATGCCCAGTTTTTACATGGTTGGTCACTAAGTGAAGTGAATCCAGTCTCAAGTAAGTGTAAAGGCAAGACAGAATGGCACACTTTATAGAACTGAACATTTTACACAAACTACCCTAGACACACTCCTCCGCCATCTCAAATAGTTTAAGGTGATTCTCTCTCCAAACACAAATCACAGGAGCACAAGCCATCGTTCTTTTCACTGTCATAGTACCATTGACATTTTCTGCAATAAAGTGACTGACAGCTTGGGGTACAGAAAGAATGCTATTCACGTTTGGATTGATTAGTCCCAATAACAACTATTTACCTCCAGCGTATTTCAGACTTACGGTTTTTCTTTAATATCTCTGCTCTGGGGTAGGCAGAAGCGCCTCAGATGACTGTACACAAGAGTAACCTGCTCAGCTAAATACTAAACAGTGTTACTTCATAAATGGAAATTCATTTCACTGCAAAACAAGGATACTGGAAGTGTCCGTGGTCAATAAGAATGAGGCCTGGATAAAGCAGTATGCAGAGAGCACTGGAGGCCTGGGAAGAACAACCAAAAAAAGAGGGGAAAATAATTATTTATAAGTTAGACAACAGACAGAGGTACTTAGACTACTTCTCCAGTATGAAAATTGACCCCTCCATGGTGCATCCTATATGTGGGAATCTTATTCTCTGCAAGTAGTTTTCTGTCAGTAATATTTTGAGGAATCAAAGAAGGCAAAGATTTTCCATAAATAAGAAAATATTGGAGACCAACCTGCCCTTTGCCAATCAGCTCAAAGATCACCCTCACCCATCCTAAACCTTTAAACCACTCCAAAAATCAGAAGAATTATTATTCCAAAATGTATTGCGTCTACTATAGGGAGTGTGCAAGACAAAGCAGTTCTTAGATTCCCCCATGTCACGGCACAAATCTTGTTTTTACTACCCAAGTAATAAATTCAGAAAAAATATCATTCAGGAGTTCATGGCTACTAAACTTCAGAGCATCTCGTTATTGTTATTGAAAGCACTAAAATAATTGCTGTAAGATAAGTTAATGGCTTTTATCTTTTTAACTGGAAAACCTTTAATACGAGATATACTGATTGTCATCAGTTTTACATCAAGTGAAGGCACCACAGTGTTCCATACGTTAATTAACCCTCACAGTGTTACATTTCTACCCTGTTTTAAGAGTACAGTTTCTTTGTTTTTTAATTTACACACACACCAGGTACTTGCCTTCTTTTTAGTAGATGTTTCTTTCAAGGAAAAACAATATAAAATAACTGCAGGAATATAAACCAGCAAGTCAGCAACAAACACTGAAAAATAAAGATTAACTTTACGTTAGAATCCTCCCACATATCTCATCTTAATGCTATTCAACTCGTGTATTTTCATCTCGATTATGAATCTTTGACTCTGCTTACAGTTTTAGCTTCTTAATGCTCTATATGTTGGCTGTATTTGGTGTAAAAAAGCCTCAGATGACAGTAACAATAGAGTGTTGGAGTGAGACTAGTTGCCTACCTTTTGAATGGGGAGTTTGCATCCCTACCCTCCCTGAAAACTTCAGTCATTCAGTTTAACTGAAATTCAAAAGTCACGTGCCTATAGTTTCAGCTGAATATGCTTTTCTATTATCTTACACTGTGTCACAGTTTAATTCTTTTAAAGCTAGCTCAGGTTTGGCAGTTACACTACAGCTAATTTTTTGAGCAAAGACAGGGAAAAAATATAGGCAAATATACTTTAAAATACCAGAAAGTACTTCCATAGAATAAACTGAATAGTTCCACTTCAAAGGACAAAAAGAAATAGGTCTACAGAATTTGATCTTGTTAATGTTTCTAACGCTATCATTTCTGATGTCCAAAAGCTGCCGCTTCCATGTGTTCAGCTGTTTTGGCTTCTGGCACAGCCTCAGTCAGTAAGGGAGCACACTCTAGTTCCTCACATGCCAAAATGAGAGAAGGCATGCTTAATTCTCAAAAGAAATCAACTACAACTAGATCCAGTCAAGTTGTTTGATGGAACAGATAGTCTGGAGACACAAATAATTAAGAAGCTCCAGATTGTTACAATCTCCAGTGTGTCTGCGTGAATTACCAGTGATGTGGATAAACAGACTAAAACTAGTTCTTTGGCTTTGATTCTCTGCCTATAGCAAACATGTAAGAGGGTCAACAAGAAAACAGAACCAGCAGGTTCACCTGCCTAGAATTATGTCAACTCCTGCTCATGCTTAACCCACCAGGTGAATTCTTCTGCAGTGTTGTCTTAAGAGCCTGAGAAAAATCTCAGGTTATTTCTATAAACAGGTTTCAGAAAACATACAATTATTCCAAGGGGGAAAGTACACTTTGCCTCTTTTTAGTCACAGGCTTTGGAAGAAAATGTTCAAATATATCAATTATTCAGTGATGAATTGTTTTGCAAGCTTACGCCACAATCAAACAAATATACCCAAGGCGTTAGCAAAACAAATACACAGACACTTAAAATAAAGGTGTAATACCACCAGCTGTCATTGACCATTCTGAATTATTTTAATGTATTCTTCTAATGGCTATTGTTAAAAAGTGTTTATCAGTTCTCCTAGATCCATCAGTAGTTTGTCAAGTGAGTTGATTTCAAAATTAATAAAGACCATTTCAAGGGTAATTAAGTTCTAGTGATTTTTATTTTTTTTTCAATTCAATCAATTACTAGAGACCAGACTGAGATGTTTGGGAAGTGCAGAAAAAAGCTACTGATGAACAGCAAATTCTGCTGTTGCAACCAGAAAGCACTTTGTGGAACTCTAGTGTTATGCAAAGCAAAAGACAGATTTAAAATTAAAGAAAATAGTACAGGCTAATATGGTATCTGCCATTGCTTAGAGAACAAGAGCTCACTGGCCACACTGTTTGCAGTCCTACTGACACAGCTACTGAATTAAGTTATCTAGAATTTTTTTTCTGCACTTGTTTTATCCTTTTCTTTGTAGAAGCAGTTCAAAATAACCAAATGGTCAGAGTGACTTCAGGAAAATGAAATTTAGGATAAAAGTGGTAAAATACATTTCTACTTCCTTGTTAACGGAAGTTTATCTCTAGGAAGTGGTGACTGTCTGAAAGAAAAGGGACATCTTTAAAAAAAATCAAATATCTCTCTCCCTTTCAGATAAGGTGTATAGCTTATAATAAAGATCTCCGAGACATGAAGAGGCTGTTAAGTCAGTGAATTCCAGTATACATGCAAAATAATTTTACAATTAAAAATCCAAGCTAAGCTGAAAATGAAAAGCAGATTTATCAGAATGGAAGGGAAAATAACAATACTATTTTCAAAATATAAAAATGGATCCATGCTAAAAAAAAAAAACACAACAACAAACAAACAAACAAAAAAAACCACAAAACCCAGTAACTTTGGTTTAGAGTTTTTACTGAATCAACTGGGTTGAAAACTTGTTTGTATATTTTATATTTATCAGCTTCACAAATGATAGCAGAAGAAAAAAGAACACGGCAGTTTGGTTCATAAATGGACCTGCAAAGCCACACAAGTTAAAGAACTGAGGATAAACTGGTGAAGACAGAGAAGCTGCATGATATTAAACATGCTAAATTAGTAAGCAAGACAAATCTGTACAATCATCCTAAGGAAATATAATTTTCCTACCTGTTGTACGCATAAATAACTTATGTGGCTGACTCTCATACCCCCGAGATGTGTGCAGAGCAATCCAATCAGGATTTATTAACTTTGCACTGTAAAACAAAGTACAGACACATCAAAATGTAGACAGTTCTCATTTCCCTTTACACTCCTTTCAGCAATAAAGATGACATGCACATGAGCATATTCCAAGAATTAAGATGAATGAGAAGAAATATTTCAAAGAGCAATAGTGATCAATGGAAGACTTTCCTCACCACTGGATTAGTTTACACCATAGACTTTAGCTGCTATTTCACAATTAAAAAAAAAAAAAAAAAATCTTTGAAAATAGTAAAAACGGAATACATTATTTATTAGGACAAGATAACCACCTTCAGTCTAGTTCCACTGACTTTTAAAAAAACAATTGTAAATACCTTTCATATTTAAGTATTAAATATAAACCATTTACAGTTCACATAGATGCCCCACATAACTGTCCCTGTGCACTTTAACCTACATTCTTATTCCATAAGTCTCATTCCAACAGCAGTAAAGCCCTTGTGGAAAAAGTATTCCAATAACAGAATTCTATTTACATGATATCCAGTCATCAAATGTCACTTGGGCTCTCAATACACGAGCTCTTTCCCATGCGATGCACCCAACTCCTACAGCACTTTCCCCTGTGCATCACTGATCCAACAGTAGCTTATATGGAAAGCCAAATATCTAAGTCACATCTAAATCTGCTAAAATTTACAGACCTGGCAGTAAGAAGAATGTAACCCTTCAGTCCCCCTTCCAGTAATTATAAGACAGAAAGATAGCAGTATTAGTTTTAAGCAATAGGGATACACATAAAATCTATTTCCCTACCTTTAAGGTAGCAAACAATACTTGCAATTTCATTAGCTGCCCAGATAGGTAGTTTTTAGCTACTAGTTTCTCTCTTTGGTGTTTTGTATTCTCCACAGAACCAGAGAGTATATAAAATAATTAACTTACATGTAAGCACACACGAAACTGTGATAGGCAGTAAGAGGCGGATAATCAAGGCCCCAGTACAGTAGGTTGTTACCACTTGTATTGAAGTACCTAAAAAAAATAAATAAAAATTAAAGAAGGATCTACATTTCCAGCTTTGATTCAGGCCAAGAAAAAGGCTGAATATCTAACCAATTATTTTCATCAACATATTCAAAATCCATTTTTTACTTCACACAAAAAAAGTCTCAAGCAACAAAAGTAAAAGCAATTCAGAGTACATTCACTTGTGCTTGCAAAACCAAATTAAAAAAAAAAAAGCTGCTAAATCCTACTTACCTGGAGAGGGAAAATCCTTGATGCGAACAGAGTTTGAGAAAAATCCAGAGACTAAGACAAAGCCTGCACAAAAACAGTTGTACAAATCTATTGTAGCTCTAGATTTGTCTATGTGGTAGACTTTGCAGGTTCGCATCTCCATCTACAAACCAAACCTCCATTTTGCATGCATGTCAATTATTCCAGAAGACAGCAGTCAATTTGCCAAAAAGGAAATAAAACCAATGCAGTTAAAAGTGAAATTTAAAGGAAATGGAATTCCCTAGAGATTTTTCCTTATATTAATCCTAGATTTTTTTTTTTCTGGACTTGGACAGCACATTTAATATGTGACAATGACTTCTGAATAGTTAAAACTTCATCTGTGACTCTTATAGACTGTAATGTAGCAAGTTCTGAACTGCTTCTGTTCAACAGACCTTAATATGAAAATTCTGAAAAACCATCTGTTGAAGTTAAACTGCTGGAAAGCAACTGAACAGAAAAGGGTGGCATAAAGATACTACACAAACAAGCAAAAAGCAGCACAGGTCTGGAAGAAAACTGTGCCACAGCAGGTACACCTAGGCAATGCTGTCAGCACAAATGTAGGAAGCTAAAAAGTTCCTTAGAAGGCAACACCAAGTTACCCAAGTAACACCTCCTGAACAACCAACACAAGGTCATGAACCTCAGTCAGGTATGTCAGCCACAACCACTTCACCTAGTTCTACCTCAGAACTCAGGTGGAGCACTTGAGAGAAAGGAAAGGGATTTTCCTATTTGCAATTATGTTGTGTTGGTATTTCTAGGGAAGGCTGGCAGCAGTTAAAATTAGGCCAACTCTTCCAAATGAGAAAGAAAAGGTTTTATCCAAGGAAAAAAGAAGTTAGAAAAATAAGGGAACAGACCCTTTATATCTCACAGTGAAACACACTAACTAGTCCACTCTACACTGCCAAGGGGCAAGCTCTTGGCTTTTCCAGTTCCTCTCTTCAAATGCAGCCAATTTTTGACATTTATTATAGTAAATGATATTTCTTGAATTCTTTATGAGCTGCCTGAAGTATCTTGTGAACTGATGATAAATCATATTTCTTAGAGTTGCATCTCTGCTTCTTATGCTACAATTCAAGATTGCTCATGCCAAGGCAGTTCAGGTTCTTCATGCAGATTGTAATAGTCTGCAACTTAGTAGTAAACTTTCCAGTTTTGGTCTGGGCTTTTTTTTGTTTGGGTGGGTTTTTTTGGTTGGTTGGTTGGTTTGTTAATTTTACTTTCCATAAACTCATAGTTTCAACAGAAAACACAACCCTATAACCAGTAATATTTAGCAAAAAAGCCTTCAGTTTTAATTAGCAGTATAAGAAGAAAGAATGTTCTTAAAGTAGCCTTAAATAATGTCAAGAGTATAAAGAATAATATAAAAAATAAATATTTAAATTCTGGCCTCTGGTTTAGAGAAATATCACACAAGGAACCTAAGTACAAACCATACTGTAGTTTACTGCAGCGTTTGTTTGGGGTTTTTTTTTTAGTAAATCTTTGTTTTGGATCAAAGAAAATAAGCATGGAACTTGCAGCTATATTGCCTATACATGCCTGTTTAACAGTAAACGTGACAAGTCTGTGAAAAGATCAAGAGATCTTACAGGACTATGTCCTCATGAGAGAGCTGCTCTCTGTATTTACGTGGACAAATTCACAGAAAAACATGTGCTCGCTGCATAGACAGCTTTTCTAAATACTGAATAACAGCACTAGAAGTGATTAGAATCTCAAGTTCAAATTTTAACACTATTTTTACATACCAGAGTATAACATCTTTTCACACTGCTTATTTCTATAATATGGGAGGGGAAAGACACCCTAAGTATTCTAGAGTGTAATCCCTTGTATGTCAGCCAAGATGTTCTTTCCCAAATGCCCAAGACTGAATACGACTTCACTGTATTAGAGATCCAATTCCCAAAGCAGACCCAATTCCAACAAACTTCTGTTATAAATAAAACGAAGAGCAAATACAAGACTGAGATGCCCAACTGACAGCCCATAGGCTAAACCCAGCCTGCAATAGAGTTTCATCTGGCCTCTGGGAATGCCTAGAAATAATGACTGCTATAACTCTGAATTTTAAGTACATATAGTTCTGCATAGCAGAGTGGATCAAAGCTGCCAACTCTATTATTAACTCAGCTCTCCGTTATCCCAACTCTGGCACAACGAGGGGCTTGGATATCCCAGAAAAATGTAGCAATGATGATACAGATACAACTGGATGATCTGAAGTCACAATACAGAGTAATCTGCAGAGTTCCACAGAGTGCCATACTTTCAGAACTGGCCCCACATATTTACAGAAACACAACTGAATTATTATTCTATTCTGTCATATCGGTCTGTTCCCCAACAGATCACTGAGGAAAAAATTACACCAGACAAACAGAATGCGACCATCCCTGTTGAAAGATGACCGGGAGTTCCAATGTATACCAGTTTGTGTTGTAGCATATATATGTGGACTAAATTATCTTTACTGTTCCATACAAGCTCTAAGGAATGTTAGGAATAATGTAAAGATAAAAAAAATATTTGGAATAATTTTCCTGCTGTTTTAAGTGATCTGTACAAATAAAGTTCACTATCCTTACACATCTAGATTCCAGGCACCCACATTTTAAAATCTCTATTAAGAACACAGGTGTGAACAATGAAGTCGCAGGTATAAAAAACAATCAGTGCCTCCAGCACAAGAACTGAAGTCTCTGCATTACTGCCTTTTAGCTTAGGGGAGATGAGCAGAGTTCGTTTAGGTTTTGTCAGTGCTGACAATCGTGAAAGTTTTTGTGCGTTAGAGAACTGGAAATCAGGAAGCTGAACTCATTTTTTTCTATAACCAGGAAAACAAGCTTCTCTACAATCTCTTACATAAGCCTGTTAAAAATCTGCTTCTTGATCTTTCCAGTCAATTGGAAACAAAGCTGGAGCTTCACAACAGAGAGACCTACAAGTCAGAATATTTTGTTACATAAGCTCATAGCTAGCAAGTCAAATCTAGCTTTCTTGTGAAGAAAATGGTACCTCTGTCTAAGAACAGGATGATATTATATTACTACAAAAGAGATTTTAGAATAGTTCAGAGAACAGCAGAAAATGTTGCACAGATCTCAAAGGTATATTACAGTAAGATACAAACCAAAGTTGCATTACATTTACCCTTTTGTAAGCTAAACTACAACAGCACTACATACCACTGCCTGATGGGTAAATTGTAAGTAACTTCTTGCCAGTGTCTCTGAGCTTCATAGTCTCCATACATAGGTGGTTTTCCTGCACCTAAAAAGAGATGAGAGTATTTAGGAATTTATTCGGTTCATGCAGATTGCTTTCCCTCCAGATTTGTATTTGCATACTAATACCTTACTAATTTTATTCTCCATTCCCCTATGATACTTGAGAACAAAAAAAAGACCTCATTTGCTATGCAGTCTAACATGGAGGAAAGAAAAAAAAAAGTTACGCGTTCTTTTGGCTTTCTGGATATTTCTGTGATAAGCATTTATCAAGATATTCCACTGTGAAGAATTGCTTCCTCATCTGACAAAAGACAAAAAAAAAAATCACTTCCAAGAGTAGATGAAAAATGTGGCACTTTCTCTAAAAGAAGAAAATGTACATAATGGACATCTTATACTGATTTTGTGTGAACTACTACATTTCCTTAGTATATAATAATTGATAATGTTCTCACTTGTGTTTCAGCCATGTCATGGTACCTTACTATTAAAAGTAACAACCAGCCTTATTTTCACATTTACTTAGAACTAAGACTTCCTGCAAGTTCTCCAGTTGCTCTTGCTTTCCTCTGTTGCCTGCTTTGCAACACTAGCAGGAATACTACATCTGTCCCTTTCTCCATGATTCTTAATAAAGAGTTAAGATGAGCCATTTACTAAATCAGGCCATTCAGTACACAGAATAGGTTTAGAAGAATTTTTTCTTACAATCTACAAAGCTTTCTAAACAATAACTGCACCATTTTGGTTTATGGAATTCTCTCTCATACATTTTTCAACTGAGTGATTGTTATGTAGCAGTTCTGCAAACTGAATTATGTTAAAGGACACTCTTCACACATGCATATGTAAGTCTCTCAGGAAACTAGTAAATTTATTTGCATGGAAAAAAAAACTTTATCAATGCAATGCTTCAGATAACTACTCATAAACAATTCCCTCAACATAACCTAACTCTGATAATGGCAGTATATAAAGCACCTTTAACACAGAGTTTATTTACTTCTAATAGCCTGTGCTTATTGAGAACAGAAACCGGACTGATAGTACTTCCAGTAAAATATTGACACTAGCCAGACAGAGATTTAAGAGTTTCTTTAAAATATAGGAAAGCCATCTATATTTTTTTCACATGATCTATGTTTGTGGGAATCACACAGGCTCAGATATGTACTGTTTATTCCCGGGTAGTGGAAAGAACAGATTATCTGGGCTAATTTATTCCTAGGTAGTATAGAGAGTAGATTATCTCCACTATAGGATACATTCAACTAAAAGTTTCCCAAATAAGGGAGGTTACTGGACAATAGGAGTTTTATCGGTGTCCATTCTGTAGCTATAAATCTAGTGGAACAAAGAACCTGTCGTACAAGTACTAAAAAAAAAAAAAAAAAAAAAATAGGTGTTATCCAAATTTTAGAGTGTGTGTATACACACACATATATACATACATAAACACCCATATTTTATTTCAGTTTCCCCCCCTCTCAAAAAAAGAGGAAAATAAATTAATTGGCTTCAGAATGATCAAGAGATCTTAATCCAAAGGTTCAATTACTAAGAGCCAGAGCATCTGATCACATATCAGTTAGTTCGAGAATGTATATTTAGCTTCCATTTACAGCAAGCATCAAGTATGCAGCCAAACAGAAATAAGAATCAATAAAAACTGAGTATTTTATTTTAAAAAGGTCACAGATACTTTAGAGTTGTCTTATTCAGTTGTATTGTTACCTGGAAACAGACATTTTCAAGGGTCAGAAGATACCTTTCAACACAGATACTTTGCTTCTACTCATTTAGCAGGAGTTCGGCAATGCATTAAAAAAAAATTTATTCATTAATCTTCAAAGCCAAATTTTTCCTCAATAATTCTCCAAGACAACTAATCTGAGGTAAATGGTAACCTTTCAAAATTAGCTATTCGTTATCTGCTCTCTCACCATCATGGCCCTAACTCCTGAGGCAGATACAAAAGCATGCTAGATGGCAAGCAACAACAGAATGGAAACGATACATCGATCCCAGACTATAGAGTGATGAGGGCAGAATTAACCTCCATCCACACCACGCGTGGCTTCAGAGTACGCCGAATCAGCATGGCTCCCAGAGTCTGCTTCAGAGAACGATGACTACTTCTAATCCTTTGCTCAACTTTATTGCATTGAACAGCAGTGAATGCAAAACAGGACAACGTCAGTTCAAATGTTACCCTGCCTGATTTTTTTTTCTCTGTCCTGTCATTAAAGGTTTGTTACATCTGAAGGAAGAGAAAAAAAAAAACATTCAGTGTACTTATGCACCTGACAGCTCTTTCTAACATTCAGGTTTGTCTTTTTCAGCTAGCCCATGCTCAAAGTTAAGCACATGCTTTAATAATTTGCTGGATTGGAGCAGACTCAGCTTTTCCTGCTCCAAAAGAAGTTATATGATCATTGTGTAGGAAACAATACTTTATAATTGTTATTTTAATTCAGGCATTATTCTAAGGCCCTTTCAGAATCTTGATTAGTTTGAAATTCAATCAACTTTAAAAAAAAAAATCTATTTAGGAATGTAACTGTAAATTCTTGCAGTGCAACAGAAATTTAGTATTGTGTGGCAAAAGACAGGGTGTTTTTCTGCCTGTAGATAGGTAAGAAAGCCTCAGTTACCTACAGAATGGATCTATCACAACGGCATTTTCAGAAAGCAAACTCAAAACAACTGTGCAATAAGGCATGCATGCAACTTATCTTCACACAAATTCCTTCAAGTAAATGGAACCCAGGAGTTCCCAGTTTACAATCACTAGAATGCTACTAAACAGCTCTAGCTACTCAGGGGATGAGGCTCCCAATTGCCTTAACAGAAAACTAGAGTTGAATTTGAATGAGCTTGTGATTCTTCTAGCTGATGGGGATTGAAAGTAACGGTTCATTTAAAAAAAAAATAATAATAAAATCAAAAATTGCAGAGAGCCAGCTTTGTGCATGCTTATGCTAAGTGTATGAAGGGCATTGAGAGGTTTGGAAAAAAACTTGGTAGTTCTCTGCAAGCATTATGAGATGGGGAGAAGAAAAATTCATCTATTAATATATCTCTAGTTCATGCTGTAAACAATCTTAAGGAAGTATAGCTACAAGGCAGAGTGTAATCGCTCACTCCACGTCACCTTTACACCCTCTTCATTATCACCAGTACAGTTTTACCTAAAAATAAATTAAGGCTATCTCTGTTACAGAACTTAAAGGACAAGATTAAACAAATGTGCAATTGGACTGTAATAATATTCTGCAGCTACTGAAACAACAAAGGCACAGGGGTGAACAGCCAGCTGTTCTTTGGCTCCTCCTAAAACATTAGTGATCATCGCTTCCCCCAACACCACCCCCCAAGAAAAAAGTTGTGGTGTTTTTTTTCAGCGTTTTGTTCTAAGCAGCTGTGATGTTAATTATTACACACTTCAGAAAAATATGAACAAGGTATTATATGAACCTTAGGGAAATAGTGAGGCACTAAAATACAACAATACTTGAAGTAACACATTGCTTCCTATTTCTGATTTTACATGCAAGTTTATTTTAATTTATCACAAGCTCCGTAATTCGCCTTCATGTGGTTGTTTCACAGACCGTGAACGTGTATTACCTGAATAAGAACCAAGCGACACAGTCCAGCGTACAGTAAGTGCTAGTAAAACAGTAATTGTCATTAAGCTCCACTTCTCCATAGCTGGTCTTCGTAACAAGCCAAAAGGTACCTGAAAAAACACCATAAACATTGCTACAATACTGTCCGTGGTTTTGTTCCTTAGGCATTTAATGGCGCTACTGATAGTCCAGGGTTTTTCCCCACCCAGAAGCATTCTGTTACTAGCTCATGTCTGCAAGCATGCTGCAATCAGGAGGGGTTTTCAGTACAGAACAATTTCTAACTATGAAGCCAGAAGCTGCCCAGAAGCAATTTCTCCCACTTCTGAGCTAGAAGCTGAAAGGGATCTGACAAAACACATAAAAACAACAACAAGAAGAAAGGTAAACGATTTCAAACCACTGAAGAGAATTCAGATACCAGATCAAGACCACACACACATACTTAAGCATCTCCTTAATAAGCTCCACACAATTTGTTATGCAAACATGTAGCATGTTTCACCTGTAAGTGACAAGAGAAAATTCTGCAAGAGACCACCAGAAAAGATTGCAGTGGTAGTCAAAATATTCACACCAACCATGTATGTTAAGTAGCTCACAAATTAATATTTGCCACTGAACAAGAAAAATCTCTTCAAAGAAGTCTATAAAAATTCCTAGATTAATAACTCACTAGAAAAAAAAAATATTGTTAACAAGCATGTGGTTTTAAAAAGTCAGTAAATGTCCCAGTGTTAAGCTAATGCCACTTATTTTCTCAATTAAGAACACCACGACCAAATTATGCAAAATGCAGATCCAGTATAGGCTTCCCTGTCAGTTTAAACATACACAAAAGTAACTTAGAAGTTAACCATGTATTGACAGGTCTTATGTTGGATCAGGTACTGTCTGTTCTCCTGCAGCCATTATAAAAGCACAGAGCCCATCATAAACTTTGTATCATGTGTTCTAATTAATCCCACAGGAATAGTCATGAGTCAGTACATAATCAAAAAAATTAAATATGTACCGCTGATCTAGGAATGCAAACATCTGGCATTAATGATGAGAAATCCCCAATCTGTGATCTGAATCTTACTTCAGTCTCCCCAACATTCAAAAAGAGGCTTGAAACTCCATCTCTCCCTTCCCAAGCATAAGCACACTATCCATCAGCTACCTCTCCCTAGAGGATACACCAGACAAGAGCTACCAGGCTCAAGAGATTTTCTCCATTCCTCTACCCAAAAAGGCAGGAGGTCTGATCTCCCACCCAGCTTGCTTCACCATACTAAGGATTCAGTAACAGTAAGAAATGTTAGTAGGCCACATGCATCAAACTCAGAAATCAAGAAATGGGAAAATAATGATGTTGCCCTACGCAAAAAAACCTACAGAGTATGAAAACTTTGACTCAGAGGATCAAAAATATTTTAGTCTGAGATAAAAAAAAAAATTGAAGAAACTCCTCCAATCTTGACAGTGAGAGACAACACTAAATCCAAAGACTGCTCTTCTGCCAAATCAGCAGCAGTAGCACCATTCCCTCCCCAGTCAGCAACTGATACAATACAGAAGAGTGGATGTGCCTGAGTACAACTGACAAAGACTTTCCTTGCAAAAGAGGTACCATCTGATTTAAGTGAGCTTAATATACTTGCCACTGCCAAGAAAAAGCAGGAAAAAAAAAAAAAAAATCCCACACAGCACCAGTACTGAACTGCTGTTTTAGTAACTGACAAGCAACATCTAAGATACCTTTAGGTTATAAATCTATGACAGCAGTAGATCACCATCTATAGGTAGAAACGTGAATACTGATATTTGCTTGCTTTCAATGCTACACCTGTGCCTAAACCACAGGATAAGAACATTTATCTAAATAAAAACATTGAGGTCGACTCTGTAGATCATTTTAATCCAAGTGAACTCTTGTGCTTCCTAAGCTTGGGTCCAACAAGACCCGAGTCCTATATGACTTCCAAAATCAAGTGTCACAAGCCTGGCCTTTTCTTTCTATAAAATATTCACATCTGTCTTTCCTTTCTAACTCCAGTTAGAACAATTATTAATCATACCTTCGTAATTCCTACATAATGCCAGTCTCACCTACAGACACACTCCCCCCATCTCTGTTTCTCTCATTAACTTCTGCCATTCCCTACATTTGGAGTAGCTGTCATTCCTCTAGAGCACCGAGTTTCTTCCTTCTCACAAAAGTGGATCTCAAAATATTCTTTCCTACTTCTTTTTCATCTTTAATAATCATTCCTTACATTCTGAAACAAAAGACACGTTTTTATTAAGAGTCTAAAGCACAGATCTCTAATTTTTATTATCCCATGAGTAACAATGTTAATCAGAACTCTTCAGGAAATTATAAAACTGGATTAGTCAATCTCAAACTTTTTACCTTCTGTCTCTGGATGAGCAACACTAGTGGGTCTCTCAAACAAGATGCCACCTATAAGCATAAGGTGAAAATCACAGCTCCAAAAAACCCACTATCCTTGCACCCTGCCTACTATGAAGATTCAGATAAATAGAACCAATACAACTCCCACTCCCTGCCAAAAGGAAACGTACAGAACTCACAGGCGCATGACCCTTAATAGAACTCGTTGTTTTAAAAGAGACATCAGCACACACCTCAACAGCCTTTCCTTCCTCAAAAACGCAAATACTAAATTAAGAATTTCACTTGTTGAAGTGATACCCGCTCTAGAAGCCTACCGCTCCTCTACTCCTCCTCACAAGACGCATTTATTTCCCAAATTTCCTCATTCGCTCGCTCGCCCGCCCGCTCTCCCCTCAGCCCCCACAGGGAGGGACACCTGCCCTCGGGCCTCCCTGCTAATCCAGCCGAGCCGCCCTCAACCGCCGCCAGGCACCGCGCCTCCCCTCAGCTCGCTCCCGCCCGGCTCCCTCGCACAGCGGGAGGGAGGCGGCCCGCCAAGCCCTGAAGGAGCGGGGAACCGGGCAGCGCCCGCCGCTCCCGCCGAGCCCTGAGGGAGCGGGGAGCGGGGAATCTCCTCACAGGACACGCACCGCAGCGGCTTCCGGCCTCCCCTCACCCGCCGCGGCGCCGCGCGCATGCGCAGGGGGGCCGGGAGCGGAGCCGGCGCCTGCGCAGCTCCGCCCGCGGCGGGAGGGCGGGAGGCGGCGGGGAGCGGAGGGGCCGGGAGCGCCGCGGAGGTGCTGGGGGTTTGAGCCTGGGAATGGCGGCTCGACGGCTTTACCTCAGGAAGCGGGGCAGCGGCGCTGGCCGGCCTGCCCCGGGCGCGGTTTTCTCCCGCGGGTGCTGTCAGAAGTGGGCGCGCCTTCGTTTTTTAACTCTTGACGGCGCGCGTCCCTTGATGGCGGTGCTTGGGTCTTCGCTGCAGCAGCGAAGGGAAGCGGGAAAGCGCAATAAGGGGAATGACTGGTGAAAAGCGTGGTCCTGACACGCGGGAAGACTGGTTTTTTTCACTCAGGCGGCGAATTTAAGTGTGTGTGTGTGTTTATTTTTGCGGAAGGAAGCGAGCAGCTGGAAGACTTGTGCTTTCACCGTGCAGGGAAGCGGCTCCGCAGCCTTTATATCCAGAAGATATCTAGGAACTAATGTGAAGAACAAAGATCTTGGGCACCATAGGCCTCTTTCTTTACAACCATTCAGTTTTACCCCCTGTGATTCTCTTCAAGGTCTTGACAAAATTCATGCCATAACATAAATGATCCTAGGTCATCTTTATACAACCCTTACCAATATTTAAAAGTACAGTCTCTGTTTTTCCCTATATTCTTGTGTTCTTCTTCTGGTTATGTGTCTAACTGAGGTTGGGATAGGTAATTTAGTAGAAAACTGATTATTTTTACAACTAACACCACATCCTGAGGTTTTCATGACCAGATCTTCTGTGTAAACTGCCAGCGGTGCTCTCCTTGGACTGGAATCCCAGGACTAAAAGTTGTAGAGGTTTGAAACCCAACTGCTACAAAATGGAAGTATGGTCAAGAAGTATCTGGTCACTTGTAATAGAAACGTTAAAGTAACCAGAGATGATAGGGAAACAAATTTATTTGTAATTTTTTTTTTTTTTAGATGTGCAGGGTTTTTAAAAATATATCAATATTGAGCAATGTAGACTATTGCATACCACCGGAGATGGATTTTTTTTCCTTGAGGTTCTCCCAGTACAATCACATATAGAATACTAATTCCCTCTATGCTGACCATTTTTCAGTTGAGTGCTAGTCATTTGGACATCCTGGTCCCTCATACACCTGCCATATTTCCAGCATTCTTGGCAACAGTCGCTTGTGTGTGTTACCTCAAGCAGGATGGTACAAAGGGACTGGAAGTTTGTGGTCTTACACAGGTAGACATAAAAATCACACTAGTCTGCTGGCCTGTCGAGGTGTTGGGCGCCATAATCCAATCGAAAGGGGTGGATTGTGATCATCAAATTTTACATATTTTGCCTAAATCTGTTACACTCCAACACTTGTACTGCTGCTAAAGGAAATGCTGCCATTTTAGGGTATTAATAAGATCCTAAGGGATGTTTGGAGATGTCAAAACTGTAAAATAAGCAGTCCTAAAAATCTGACAACTACAAAGGAAATTAAAAGGTGGGAATTTATGCCTCCTGACCCCCACCTTGGCTTTGGCTGGTGTGTGACGCTGAAAACGCGCGTCACTAAGTGAATTCCCAGGCTAAGCCTAGGGGAGAATCACCAGGGCAGGTCCCCATTTTAGCTTCTCCCCTCCCAGCCCCGCTCTCCTTCTAATCTTCCCTCCGGGATTTTCCATGCCCGAAATTCCCTAAAGCCTGCTCCCGAGCCGTGAGGCCGGGGAGCACAGCGCAGCGGTACTAAACCACCCCCGAGTCCATCAGGGTTGCCTATGGGCTCCTACTGCAAAAAAAAACTGAATTAAAAAAAAAATATGATTTTTTAGGTGTTACCTTGCGGGTTATTGCTAATTGGGTCCTGGAGCCGGTACGGGCGAGCAGGAGTGCCCGGTTGCACATTCAAGTGCATTAATCCAATTAGCTGAGCGCTCTTTGTTGCAAGGTGAAATCCTTCACTCCCCGGGCAAGCTTTTTTATTGAATGCTTTCTAAATACTTGCATCGGTCACGTCGCCCGGAATTGAGTCTCTGTCACTAGTATTTCTGCGGTGACTTTGACCAGATCAATGACTGGAAAAGGCATTAAGGACACATTGATACCGCGGGGTAGCAGACAAGCGGGGCTTGGTTTTGGTTCTCAGTAGTCAAGAGAAACCGATAATGAGGAGATAAACGGCTTTTCTTAACCCTTGGCGCTCTCGGGAGGCTTCAGCGGGTCTACTGGCTCTTCTCCTCCACCCCGGCTCCTAGGGTTGATGTAAAGCCGAGCGGCTGGAAGGCAAATATCTCCCGGGTATTCCATAAATCTGGAACGCAATGCGGCCAGGATAATGAGCAAGTCTTTCCTAGGGCGGGCGGGAGGAAGGCAGCGCTGGGAGGGAGAGGCTGCGGCTATAAAAAGTTGCTTTCCAACTCATTTAGGATTTCGTTTCGGAGCCGTGATGCAGGAGCGAGCGGGGAAACAAACTCTAGAGACGTTTTCGATTGTAAATTCAGCGTCTGACCTTTTCCCGGGTTCCCGACACGAGAAAATCGGCCGTGATTTAGGGGGCTGGGGGAGGCGGTAGGTGCGAGTGCGGACGGACAGCCGGACTCCCAAACCAAAGCTGGCTGTAGCCCCGACCCCTTCCCATCCTCATTTCCCTATCCCGAGAAATAAACATATTTGAAACCATTACCACAACCTGCAGGGTGTTTGTTTCCTTCCTCCCACCTCACTTTTTTTTTTTTTTTTTTTTTTTTCCCCTGAAATACCAGCACTTAATAAAGTAATTAGAAAGGCTTGAGGGTTTGGGTTTAGTTTTCTTAAATTCCTGCCTCCTCCCCCCGAGGATGCTCCGAGCCCTCCCTAAACCAAGGCGAGACGTTCCATCCCTGAACGCAGAGGAGAAGCTCAGCGGTTTTCGCGTGTCCCGGCTTTTCCCATTTTGCTGAAGCTCAAGGAAACGGGAATTTTATTGAACCTGGAGTTCAAGGACTCTCCCTCTCACACATCGCCGTCTTAATAAAGTTGCGAAGTGCCTACTTGCTCAGCTTGCTTACCAAATCCTGAATTAATAAAGTTTACTTAGTTATCTAAATAGATTAAATGTCACATTTTAAATGGAAGGGGAAGGTTCTACCTTACTGACCTATTTTTCATTTCTGATTTAGAAAAAGGCAAGATTAGCATGGATATTGCATTTTCAAGGACCTCGCCACTATTAAATAGACTGTTAAGTGCATTTTATGGCTGAAGAGTCTGTTCCCAGTTCAGTCTGGAAGACGTGCTAAGTTCATCTCTACCTGCTACATTGAACATTCACTGACTAAAATACTTTCTGTGGATGTAATACCTATGCTCTGTATCTTTTAAGTACATAACGCTTAATGTTTTAGGACTAGTAAAACGTAATTCAATAAAAGCCCCTGAAATAGAAGTGTTGGCTTGCAAGAAAACCGAATCGCGGGTGTTTGGGCCAACTGCACGAATTCCCGGCTCGGTGAAGAGACCGGGGGAGGTGACACGAATGATGCGGAGATGACACGGATGCTCCCGGCCCCGGACCGAGACTTAAACTCCGCGGAGATTTAAGCGGGCGCGGAGCAAATGCGATCCCCGGGGGATGAGCCGTGCCCCGAGCCGCGGCCCCGCGGGGTTGGGCGGCTTAACTTCCGCGCGGTTTTCGCTGTGTTTCCTCAGCCTCTGCTTTTTAAAATCGCTTGCAGATACACCCCCCAAAATGGCGAGGCTGGTTCTCCGCCTTCCCGGGCCGGGCTGAGCTCCCGGGGCAGGCGGGGACGGGCCCCGGAGCTCTCCTCAGCTCGGGGGAGCTGCTGCAAAACCGCCCGAGGAGGCAAAATCCCATTGAATTCCCCGGGAACTGCCCCGCACTCGAGGGGTGGGGTGAGGAACCCCCCCACCCCCCTAAAGCAAATCTCCGTTGTATTTTTCCCGGAGTGAGAGAACCCCCCGAGGGTCCCACGAAGGGCGAGGGATGGCGTTTCCCGAACCGAAATACTCGTCCATCCCCCCCCACCCCCCCTTGCTTTGTTTCTGGCCTAGGACACGGAGCCAGGGCGTGGGGGGGGGGGGGGGGGTGTGTGTGGATCGGGACCCCGGGGTGGGCAAAAATCCCACCCGGGCAAAATCCACGGCCCCGCATTCCCCCACCCTGTATCGACGGCGTGGACCCAAGCCAGGGAATCAGGAATCCGTGTCCCAAAGGGTTTTTGGTGTCTCCACTGGGTGATTTCCCCCCGTCACCCCGCTCTGTGGGACAGGTGTCTGTCGGGCATCTCCCTCCCGGGACGCTCCCGCGGTTCCCCCCTCCGTGGGCACCAGCAAATCCGGCCCAAATTGCCAGAGGGAGACCGGGGCGGGGGGCAACAGGCCGGGCCCGGCTGCTCGCCCCGCTGCCCCGGGGCTCCACGACCCCCCGGGGGACGGTGCCAGCCGGGGGGCTGGGGAGGGGACCCCGAAAGCTGGGGCTCCTTCCCGAGAAACAACGTCCACGCGCGATAAATCTCCATTTTTAAATAACCGCCAAAAGATCTTTTCCTGCCTTTTCAAATGCTCGCCGCAGTCTTTCAACAC